AAAACGCATAGAAATCATTTCAGGCCTTCAAATTGCACCATGATCCAGGTGATCGGCTGAGCCAGCTTCACCCTCTTTCAGCGGCATTATGCTCAAACTTTTGGGATTCTTGAGCTACAATACAGCCCAAGATTTTTGCCACAAACTTGTCTGTGTTTTGAACGTTTCTAGGAGACACAGAGAACACAAAATCCCGTTTTCTGAGTCTTACAATTGGTTAAACAGTAGCCAAACTGAGATGCGATCCAAATTTAAAGTTTGATTTCTTGATTTTCTCAGAATTGGCTAATCAAATCCAACTCTATTTGGTGTAATTTGAAAGCCTGAGATTGAAAGATTGTAATTTGAAAGCCTGAGATTCCTCTATGCGGCTTCGCATTGACACTCTGCCTTTACAATTATTACGGATGTAAAAAGACTGATAAATGAAGGGAATGAGCTGCATGAGCATGAGCTCAACTGCATGAGCCAAATGACATTACCACTTGATGACATAGACCACTTCATGAGATATTAAAAGATGAAATCAGCTTTTCAGGCCATCGGACGATCGAAAATCGGTCATCGGACGTTTCAGATGATCTAAACCGGACGTCCTATTTAGACTTACAAGGGAAGGTCAACTGGATAAGCCAAATGACATTAGCCATAGACCATTCGACGCAGAATTTCACGCTGATCATGAGGCTGCTTTTCTTTTTTGCTATCAAGCACCCTGCCAAAGGTTATACACGTTTAAAGTTTTGCAAGGAGTTTCAAAAATCATACCGCGACATCGCAACCCTGTCTTCCGCGAGATCAGCGGTTGCAGCGGTGGCCCAGTGGTAGTGGGTGGGCTTTCTGGTGGTTCGAGTCCGATAGCTGATTGTCTTTTTTCTTTCTTACGTTTTAATGCCTTGGCCAGTACATCCAGTGCAGTTGGTACATCCAGCCTTGGCCAGTACAGTTGATCTTCCCTTGTTCTAAGGGAAGGCTAACTAGATGATCTGAATTTCATCTTCCCTAAATCTGACGGAAATCTAAATCGGCTATAACACATTGCCCATTTTTGTCATCCCGGGATCCTCGGCTCAGCGTCCCAAAAATTATCCAAGACAAAACTTGGAGGTACGAAGTACTGATTAAATTTTGGTTATGCCAGTCCAGCCAAAACATTTAAGTGTGATTCCTAATGTTATTAAGTGATATTAAACGCTATTTTTGCATTGAAGAAATATTGAAAAGCTTTTCTTGACAATTTTTAATAGAGAAAAGTGGCCAAATGACAGATTCGCCGAAGAGATGTCGACTAGCGCTCATTCAAGCGCTTGTTAAATGAGTTGTAGAAGTCGAATCGGGATGTTTTTGGTAGATAAATGTAGCCAAGATTCAGGACTACAATTCTCTAAATAACACTTGCCACTTTTGAAAGAAATTAGACATTTCCCAGATACTCTTCCAAAAAGTTGTTGCGGTAATTCTTGGTCACCCTGTAGAGTTAACTAATTTGTCTAATTTCTGTGTCTGTCTAAGAATTTGCTACTTAAGCCCCGCCCTTTTTAAAAAATAGACCCAAAAGTCAGATTCTCCATAGCCGAAAACCCCTGAGAGCGCGTGCAAAGCTGAATACTGTATCTTCTCTAATAGTAGTGCATCCCGCTGGGAAAAACAAAAGTGGCAAGTGTTATTTAGAGAATTGTAGTCCTGAATCTTGGCTACATTTATCTACCAAAAACATCTGTTTTCAGCACCAAGATCGATGGCAATATGTTAAAATTGATCTTTTTCTGATATTTCTGATATTTCTCTGCCTTTTTTCAATCAAGTTCATCAGTGGACTCAAATAAATTTGCATAATCGACTCCATTTTTTGACAAATCATACTCTTTCAACCGGTTAAATTTACATTTTTCATTGTTATTTCTAATCATTGTACTTTTGATCGCTTTCCTAAACTTTTTAATAAACTTCCTCAAGATTTACATCGATTTTAGCATTTCGCCCTTAAAAATGACGCGTTTTCAAACAACGAAAAAGGCCAAGATTTCAAAGATAACAGATCTGGAGACATTGAACGACAAAAAAAGCGAGCATTGATCCAAGTCTTTAAATTCTTTATTGTCAAAAATTGTGAAATTTTGCTATAAACATATAAATACGTATATTTTTGAAGAAAAGAGAAGAAAACCTTTTTATTTATCCAAAAACTTCTGCAATTATCAACTCGGAGGATTTTCAAATAATGTTGAAACAAAGATTGAAGCGAATTTTGCAAAAACCCTAACCAAAAGTTGTCTTTTTTTTCTGCTATTTCAGGGATAAAGAAGTTCTTTTGGTTTCTTTGTCTTTTTGCTGTTTCTTTCTTCTAACTCTTTCAACTTTGGCCCCATTGATCCATTGTAAAGTCGGCATTGAAAAAAATCAAAAGAAAAAAAGCTCTTTTTCACGCTAAAAAGATTAAAAGATTAGTTTTTTCAATAAAACTATTTTATATCATTGAAAAATCTTTTAGATTGCTCTTAAGAGAACACTTTTTATAAACAAAAATCTTGATACTATGCCCCTACCCTACACTGACAGCCTAAAAATTGGAAAAAGTATTGCGGAAATCCGCCTTCATTCTATTTCGTGCCCCAAATCATTTATTGTTTTGTAGCTTGTTAGCTGAATATCTTTTTTTAAAGCCTTTAAAGCCAGAAAAATCTTTTAGATTGTTCTTTCACTTTCTATAAACAAAAATCTTGATTTGCTTTTTTGCTTTGCTTTTTTGCTTTGCTTTTTTTGCTTTTTTTTTGAAATCAGCATTTTTAAGCATAGAGAGCTCAGTTTTCTAATAATATCATATAAAATAAATTTGGAAAACATAACTGACTTAATGCAATCACCGACAACTATCAATATGGCGAATAGCCACTAAAAAGTTACCTAACAGCCTAAAAATTGGAAAAAGTATTGCGGAAATGCGCTTCATTCTATTTCGCGCCCCAAATCATTTATTTTTTTGTAGCTTGTTAGCTGAATATCTTGTGTTAAAGTCTATATGTCGTAACCGTTTACGAAATTCAGCCGCTAACGAATGAGGGTATTTCCGGGCATCCAATCAAAAAGTCATCCACATAAAAAATGTTCATAATACATATATTTTATAATAAATTTTTGAAATTAGCTCATTTGGTTCAGTAGAAAATTTTTTTTGAGCCCCCAAAGTTTAGGTTCAAAAATGCCCTAAAATGGCTATAAAAAATTTTCTACTCAGCCAAAAAAGCTAAAAATTAACTTTAAACGAAAACTCTTTAGTAAATTAACGATGCCAAGAATTAGAGCTTTCCAATGATATATAATACATTCTACTTTCTAGAGAAAGGTTTACTTGTACTTGTAAAAACTCGTAAAAAGGTTTTTCCGTTAAAAGAAAACTTTTCAAAGCCACAAAAAATGGCAGCGTGCCTCGGGGTACTTGCGGATTCAGCCTCAAAGGCTAAAAGTTAACTTTAAACGAAAATTTAGTAGATTAATGATGCCAAGAATTAGAGCTTTCCAATTATATATGTCGTAGCCGCTAACGAAATTCAGCCGCTAACGAATGAGGGTATTTCCGGGCATCCAATCAAAAAGACACCCAGATAAAAAATGTTCATAATACATATATTTTATAATAAATTTTTGAAATTAGCTCATTTGGTTCAGTAGAAAATTTTTTTTGAGCCCCCAAAGTTTAGGTTCAAAAATGCCCTAAAATGGCTATGAAAAATTTTCTACTCAGCCAAAAAACTTGCCTATTAGCTCATTTTGTAGCCAATTTGATGTAGTTTCTTAAAGTAAAGTCATCTAAAACAATTTTTCGTTGAAAGTAGGAGAAAGAGGGCGAGGAACAAATTCAGGGCAATTCTCAAATGTGAAAACAGCGACCGAGTTGAACTGAAGTCGTTCCTCGCCCTCTTTCTCCTAGCTTTGAAAAACAAATGTTCAATGTTCATTTCCGTTTTTTCCCCAATTTTTGTAATTTGTCAATCAAATGCTCTCACTTTTCCTCAAATTTATCACCGATTGTGCAATTTTTTTGCTTTTTCTCTTTTCATTTACTCTTGCGTTCTTTTCAGAAGCAAGTGTATAAATAAAGAGAAAACTCCGATAAGAATCAAACTGATTCTTGAAAGAACAGCTGGGAATCTTGATAAAGCTGTGGTTTTATTGATAGATTCTGAAAATTTTCAACATTTAAGTTTTAAAATCAATACTAGCTCTCTCAAGATCTCAAATACTTGATCTCAAATACTTGCTAAAATCCAAAGAGTTTTGCGTCTTTGAATCTGCAATTCAACTTCTAGAATTTTGAGTTCTAGTAAGTTCTAGAACCTTCTAAAGAAAAAAAGAAAGTTCTAGTAATTTCTGGTTCTAGTAAAATATAATTCCAATCATTTTTCTTTTAATCTTTTCACATTATGTTCTCCTTTTTGTTTGTTTAACCTTTGAATTGATACGGGTCAATGAGAGCAGCTGGCTCGAAAGATTTGTGATCAATTTCCCGCTTTATTTTAGTTCTTTAACACATTCACGACAGTCCGGCCGTACTAATAGCGATTATTTTTAGTCTAGGCTCGTTTTTTAGCTCGCAAAGAGCTCTTAGCTCACAAAGAGTTCTTTGTAACATTGTACTTTTTTAAAAAGAGATTCAAGGAAACATGATAATAATGTTTTGTTGTCAACTCAAGCTTTTAAGGACTTTTGTTATTTATTTCGCAGAAAGTTCTCGATAACTTTGTATTAGTTTTCAAGAGGAGATTCAGGGCTATCGAATGACTATAATAGTTTAGTTTATCTTTGAATTTACACAAAGTTATCAGTAAAACAGTAACTGTGCGTCCATTTTAAGCCACCGTCGCAAATGTGTTAAGATTCTGCCTACAAAAATGCCTACAATGCCTACAAAATCCCCCAATTCTTTCGGATATATAAAATTGTTAATTGCCTTGTGCTGGCTTTAATTTGACCGTTTAGATCTTTCCCTTCTTTGCCCGAAAATGAAGGATGACACGTTTTGTGTTCTCGCCTCTCTTTTACTTGGAATCCTTGGGATCTGCTCATTTTTCGGCTTCGATATTCTCGTATTTCTCTCTGAAACTATTATGCATTCAGTTCAACAACGATGCCCAGATTGTATTGTGAAATTTGCTGGGTATTATGGGTGAGTTTGATATGATTGTTACGTTAAACTATTGGGCTGTCCAGTTATGAATGCGCGTTTTTACTATTTTGTAAATTTCTCAAGATATCGAACAGATGTATATGAGTGTTATATATCATTCGAAAACTGAAGATCTCCTCTACATTTTGATATAAAAACCTTTGGAATTTGTTCAGCTTTTTGGGAAATGGACTGCACAAAGGGAGAAGTCGTTTTCTAGACTCAATACCTTAATCGCGACTGAGTACCCTATTCTAGACTGAATACCGTAATCCAGCTAATTTAGACTGAATACCCTATTCAATATTGAATACCCTAATCCAGATAATCTATACTGAACACCCTATTCTATACTGAATACCCTAGTCTGAAAAAATCCATTTCAGCTTAGCTATTCCTCAAGTTTTATGGTGTAAAATAACCGCCCAGAAAAGAAAAGAAAAGTAAAGATGCTCTGACATTGTTTTATTTTTAAAAAGTTATATTGATATATCTATTGGCCAAACATCAAACGGTTAACTCAATTTGAGCGGAGCCAAAACTTGATCCAAAGGCACCCTTCCATTTTTTGGCCACCTCTTCTTCTGTGCAGTCAATTTGCCCAAAAGCTGAACAAATTCAAAAACTTTTGATATCAAGATGTAGAGGAGATCTTCAGCTTTCGAATAATACTCATATATATCTTTTTCTTGATTTCGATATCTTGGGAAATTTACAAAATAGTAAAAAACGCGCATTCATAACTGGACAACCCAATATGAAAGCTTTAGTGCTGTAATTGCTAAACTGTGAAAGGTTTCAATCATTAGAGATTAGATCATTGAGCATTAGATCATTGGGCCTTAGATCATTAGAGATTAGATCATTAGACATTAGATTATTAGGCATTAGATCATTAGACATTAGATCATTGAACATTAGATCATTAGAGATTAGATCATTGGACATTAGATCATTAGATCACTAGATCATTAGACATTAGATTATTAGACATTACATCATTAGACATTACATCATTAGACATTACATCATTAGACAAAACTTATCAATTTTTGAGAACAAGATTGTTAATTATAACTTTTCTGATATATGACTGGTGCAAAAGGTGTTCCAGGTCAAGTTAAGTCAAGTGAAACCAAACTAAACTATGTAAGTCAGGCCAAGTGAAGGCATAGCAAGTCAAGGAAGACAAAGCCAGCATCAGATCCGGGCCTTACTGATTTTCCTTACTGCTTTTCCCTAGATCTAAAGAACAAAAGAATTTCCACGAACTTTTCCCTTTCAGTCAATGTCTCCTGTACATCGTTTACACATTCGGCAATCTAATTGCCCCAGTTGTTCTCCACAAATTAGGCACGAAACGTACGCTATTCGTCGCTGTTTTCTGCTTCGCGATTTATTCCTCAAATTTCATCCTCATTCGAAATTATATCTATTTCCCAGCGTGTGCATTTGCTGGTTTTGGAACAGCTTGTAAGTTTTGAAAAACTTTCAAAAGCTAAACCAGTTTTTCAGTGTTCTTTTGCAGTACTGGTGCCTATATTTCAAAGCATTCGACGGAAAAGACTTTGTCTAGGAATCAAGCTCTTTCTTTTATGTTAATGGGTAGTAGGTTTTTAAAAAACCCCATTAACTTAAATTAATCAAAAAATTTCAGTATGCTTGTCAGTGGTAATTTTATGATTATCTCGTCGGAGATCTCGAAAGAGCCACAACAAGAGAATTTGACTCAATCGGAGGTATTTTAGGTAAGAGCTGAAACAGAATGAAGTTCAGGATGGAGCTGCTTATCGAGATTTCTCCGACAAAGAGATTCATGTCTTGAACATTGGAATGATGACGATGTCTGTGGTCGCTTTGATTCTTTGCGTTCTTATGCCAGGTCGTCAAATCAAGGGCTCTTTGCAGAAGAGGAGCTCCGATGCCACTTCGATTAGTCATCAATTTCGTGAGTGACGCTTTTGGGTTGTAATTTTGATGTAGAGCTTTCTGGTGCATTCAATTCTTTACAGGTATTTAAGAACTAGTAAAGCTTGAGTGCTTTCAGGAAATGTTTCTACAACAACGATAGTACAAGAGCTGTAAAGCTGAAGCTGAAACTGAAACTGAAGCTGAAGCTGAAGCTGAAGCTGAAGCTGAAACTGAAGCTGAAACTGAAACTGAAGCTGAAGCTGAAACTGAAACTGAAGCTGAAACTGAAACTGAAGCTGAAACTGAAGCTCTCTGTAAAGCTGAAGTCAGATATAAATTGAACCAAACTTGAATGATTCTATAAACTTTAAATCTTTAAACTTTAAATCTTGAACTTTAAATCTTTAAAGTTAAATATCTTGATGCCCAGCTATAAATCCCATTCCAGAAAATTCCAGAACTAATCTTCCAAGGCCTGAAGACACCCGGCATGATCAAATTAGTGCCGTTATACTTTTTCTGTGGAATGTTCACTGCTTTCATGAACTCCATCTACACAACGTCGGTCTCATTCACGCATAGTCTTGCCGGCTACACGAATCTCATCGCTTTCGTTTGCATGAGTGTTTCGGCGGGAGAGTTGATTGGTGAGTTGGATTGGGTACAGTACCTTCAAGGAAAAGTTACTATGGCTTGGCCTGACTCTAATCCTAGCTTGGGCTGGCCTGGCTCTAATCCTAGCTTGGCCTGACCTGGCTCTAATCCTAGCTTGGCCTGGCCTGGCTCTAATCCTAGCTTGGCCTGGCCTGGCTCTAATCCTAGCTTGGCCTGGCCTGGCTCTAATCCTAGCTTGGCCTGGCCTGGCTCTAATCCTAGCTTGGCCTGGCCTGGCTCTAATCCTAGCTTGGCCTGGCCTGGCTCTAATCCTAGCTTGGCCTGGCCTGGCTCTAATCCTAGCTTGGCCTAGCCTAGCCTGGTCTGGTTTGGCCTGGCCTAGCCTAGCCTGGTCTGGCTTGGCCTGGCTTGGCCTGGCTTGGCCTGGCTTGGCCTGGCTTGGCCTGGCTTGGCCTGGCTTGGCCTGGCTTGGCCTGGCTTGGCCTGGCTTGGCCTGGCTTGGCCTGGCTTGGCCTGGCTTGGCCTGGCTTGGCCTGGCTTGGCCTGGCTTGGCCTGGCTTGGCCTGGCTTGGCCTGGCTTGGCCTAGCCTGCCCCTAACTCTAAAATAATGAAACCGACTATGGGGGTTGATCCGGTTGATTTGTCCTTCCATCTTTTTCAAATTTCCTTAACCATCAGTTGGACTCACCATGGGCTACTTGAGCAAGCGATACCGTGATTTTGGTCTCTTACCAGCGATGGCTTCAACTTGTGGATCTTTCACAATTTATGCGACTTTGGTGGTACTCTTCACTCCACCCGAAGCCTCTATGAAGCCGACTATTGACGAATCTTTCTTATCACCAAGGAAAGCAAACTTATCCTTCCCATCAGAATTTAAAAATCTAGAACTTCTTTAGACTTTACATGTGCCTAATAATTGGTGTTATTTGTGGAATCGTGGACGGAAGCATGAACAATGTGAGAGTTGTTGCCTCAGCTGTTGCTTTACCCAAACAACCGACAATAGCTTTCAGTATATCAAAATTCTATCAGGTGGGTTGATTTAGCGTTAAGGTTTTGAAAAAGACTTTGCTAAACGCTACGAAAATCGTTTCTAACAGAATAAATTAGAAAACTAACGCAACTCATTCAGATTTTCTCCTATTCTTATTTCTAATGTTTAGCTCATTTGATGAGGAGTCAAACTGTGAATTGCATAAGATTAAAAGTAAGTAGGACGAATGAAATCTGATGGGGAGATTACGATAGTTTTCTAAGATATCGACTTTTTAGAAACGGATCCTCATGAGGAACACAATAAACCTTATGCTCAAACAGATTCCAGGCATCCGCTTCAGCTTTCTTCTATTACCTTAGCTCAATACTAACTATTTATTGGCTAATGGGGATTCTTTTTGCTACTTTGATAGCTTGTAAGTTCTCAAATCTCAAATCTAGTCAATCTAATTTTTAGCTCTATTCATGTTCTTTTGGTTTTTGCGAGATCTTCGACTAGAACGAGAGCGATTAGAAGAGCTTGGCGAGGAGAAAGAGAAGGAGAAAGAGAATGAGAATGAGAAAGAGAAAGAGAAAGAGAATGAGGAAGAGAAAGAGAACGAGAAAGAGAAGCATTTCGACAAACCAATTGAGAATTGAGAATTGAGAAAGTGTTAACTTTGAAATAAAACTTTAAACGATCAAAACTTTACATCAAAATTTACAGGTGATTCGAAATGAAACAAACAAAAAAACAGACCACAGCCAATCAATTGTTGAACGATACAGTCAAATTTCTGTAGTTTTTTCTTCCAGCAAGAATGTAAAATCTTAAAAAAAGACGTAACTGTTACCGTTCACCATTCTACCGCTCAACCATTCTACCGCTCAACCCTTCTACCAGTCTGCGCTCAATCAGGGTGCGCTCAATCAGGGTGCGCTCAACCAGGGTGCGCTCAATCAGGGTGCGCTCAACCAGGGTGCGCTCAATCAGGGTGCGCTCAACCAGTGTGCGCTCAATCAGGGTGCGCTCAATCAGGGTGCGCTCAATCAGTGTGCGCTCAACCAGAGTGCGCTCAACCAGTGTGCGCTCAACCAGAGCGCGCTCAAATATTGGTCGCTGTGAGTGAGATCTTAAATTCAAAGCCAACATCTTGAATTCAAACGAAACTTGAAGTATTACTAGTATTACATGAACTCCATTTCAGAACATTCCCCAATTAGCTCAATGTATCACCGATGAAATTGACGCCAACAAGTGGTGCGATCATTTGAAAATCTGCACAATATTACGGCAAACAAATTGAAATTGATTTGAGCGAATAAACTTTTGGTTGTTTTTAAAACAAAAGTAGAAGATGTGAGTAATCAAGCAGTTCATGTAGACATCTGAAAGAGAATTTTGACCTTGTAAAGTAAGAGAAAACTTCAACTCCTTGAGAACAAGAGTTTCCATTTCAACAAGCGAATTTGTTCAAAAATTTCCTCACAATTTCCTCACATTTCTTTCACCAATCTCCTCTTTTCTTTGCTAAAATGTTAACTCTTCAAATCTACCATACTTATTCAATCAATTTACGTTTAGTATTAGTCAATATTGCTCTAAAACCTTCAACAAATCTGATTCTAAAAGGACTGCATCTAAGCAAAACCAAAAGCAATTCTTTTGAACAGCCTCAACTGCTTTTACCTATTTCAATCAAGTTAAAAAACTTTTATAGAAAAATAGTTCTTTCTCTCTTTAGTAGGGTCAAGCGGTATAATCTTTTGGGATTTCTATGAGAGACTGCAGGAGACTAACCCACTTTTGAAACTCTTTGAACTCTTTTCTGACAATAGACACACTTGTAACTACCACCTATTTGTACTGTTTCACTACTTTTCTTTAATAAACTCTTGAATTCCTTTGAATTTCTTGAAATCTCAATCTTAAATCAATTTCTCTATTGGATTGGTGAATTGAAAACTGCCGGCTATTGTCATATGTCACAGTTTGAGCACTTTCTTTAAAAGAAACCCATTTTGGTGTCAATGGAAAAGTTGTAGAGAATCAAAAATCAAGCTTATATCCAAATTTTCAGAACAATTCAAAAACTGGTTTTCAAGAAATGCGAAATTTACGAATTTTCACAAAACTTTCATTTTAAGCGAAACTACTAAGTGTATCTTTTTGGAAATTTGGCTAAAAGCCTAATTTTTGATTCTTTACAACTTTTCTATTGACACCAAAGTGGGTTTCTTTTGAAGAAAGTGCGCAAACTGGGCTGACAGCTGACATCTCCAGTCCTCCATTTTTGAGTCTCACACTTGTCTCACACACAAACCAAAATCCTACTACGAAAGAGGAATCCGCAAATTGCCTGTAAAATGGGCCGTTAATGCCGTTAATGACGGCCGTTAATGAAACCAAATACAGTGAACAGTTGGGAAAGGTGAATGAATCCCTGAAGCAGAATAGGCCCTCCAAGTCAAAGATCGTTCTCATCCACGACAACGCCCTCATGTTGCAAAACTGACTCGCTCTAAAATAAATAGCCTTGTTTGGGAACTTTTGGCGCATCCCCCATACAGTCCTTCTGGCGCATTCCCCAATTGGATGACTCCAAATTACTTGAACTCATTACCAATGACCATCGGGTATCATCGCGTGAATTGGGAAAAGAGTTAGGGGTTGATCATGCTACAGTGCTAAGACACCTTCATACCCTTGGATTTAAATGGAAACTTGGGGCTTGAGTGCCCCATGGCCTCAATAATCAAAACTGACTCTAAAATAAATAGCCTTGTCTGGGAATTTTTGGCTTATTCCCCATACAGTCCGGACCTTGCCCCTTTTAATTACTATTTATTCCGGATAATGAGTAATGAGCTTGCGGGAGAACACTTCGATTCGGAAGAAGCAGTCAAAAATTGGCTTTGAAAGTTTCTCGATTCAAAACCAAAATCCTACTACGAAAGAGGAATCCGCAAATTGCCTGTAAAATGGGCAGAAGTCGTCAATAATAATGGAAATTATTTGGAAAGAATTGATGGTTTTATGTTGAATAAATTTTAGTTCAAAGTCCCGCAATTTTCAATTCACCAACCCAATACTTCTTTCGACTTCTTGCATTGACGATTTTTTTCCTGAATTATTGCTTAAATGGCTTAAATCTACTAGAAAATTTGCGTTTTTAGATTCCCGGCACAAAGTACAAGAAAAAGTCACTCTCGTGTCACAAATTTCCTCCACATGACCGGCCTTGTATAGAGCTGAAATGGGTGAAAGCTTTCAGAAAAAGAAAAGGAAAGAAGTGAAAGCTGCGATCCTCGAAAAACCCGTGAATAGAATTGAGAGACGAATGAATAAAGTTGTGAAGATCGAGAAGAGAAGAAAGACTAAATGACATACCTCGCATTCATAGACACCTTGTTATTAGCCTTTAGAATTGCACATTCCTTTCTCTAGCAATTCTTTGAGTATTAGTAAGTCAAAGTTTTGTAGGATTTTTCTTGTTTCATTGTAAGATTCTCTGAGATTTTTATCTAGAGTCCGTTTTCTATGTTACAGTAATCTTACCTTCAGTTTTGAGCCGATCATCGATAAGATTCATTGAATTAGATACTTTACCGACAGTTTTCAGCTGCTAATACAGCTGAAGACTGCTGTGTTAGCACTTCACTTTCAACCGGCAGCAATTTTCAGCTAACACAGCTGAAAACTGTTGCCGGTTCAAGCCTCACATAAATTTAGAATCCTTGTTGTCCAATCGATAAACACATTGTCTTCGTGAGCGGGAATCTTTTCGGCTTTTCCTGCTGGACAGCTAGGGCTGAACGTAGTCGGGGATCCGTTTATTTCATTTATCCAATTTGTTTTAAACCCATTCCTATCGTTAGCTCATCCAAAATATGGGAGTCTTCAGGGAGAACGGAAGGCTAGGAACACTCTCCTCCATGGCCCAGATCAAAGATCTGTAGCTGGGGGCCATGGAGCCGTAAAAAGGGCTTTTGAGTTAATTTTTCCATAGCTTATTCGAGAACTTCATTGTCGACAATGTTGCGTTATTTGGACAGACGGATGACTCTTCCCTTTAGCAGAAAACTATCGAAATTGACTCTTCGACAGTTAAAATCCATTTTGAAAGGAAAAGCAAAACTAATTTTCTCGAAGGAGGACCGAACCCGCGACCCCTCAGACAGACAGACAGACAGACGGAATCGGATAGAACTGACAAATAAAAAAACGTATCTCGACATCGACCTGGGCAGGCGAGATAGACAGACGGATAGACGGATAGACAGACAGACAGACAGACAGACAAATAGACAGACAGATAGACAAGCAAATAGACAAACAGACAGACGTCTCTTCTGCTTTATATATAGTAGATTTATATATCTTTTTTGAACTCTCATAGAAACAAGCCGAATTCGATAGATTGGACACAAATTACGGTTGTTTTAAGCAAAATTATGATATCGTTCTTTACTGAAGCTTGCTAGATTTCCATCAAAAGCGATTCAAATTCGTTTTTTGCTCAGCTAACCATTGACAATGCTAACCGAGTTTTTCCAAGATTCTTGAACCACTTGCCTGAAATGTTTCATTGAAGAGCCAAGCCCTCAACTCTTCAATTCCTTTTTTCATTCAAGTACTCTCATCTTTGAAAATCCTTTTTGAAACTAGCTTTTTATCAAATCTCGTAATCATAAACCAAAACCGTTTTCAAAAAAATCTTTAGATAATAATTTTCTTTAGATAATGGAGTTTTTACTATTATTCTCGATGATTATTCTATTCGTCGATTGCAGAGAGATTTTGAGGAAACAAAGGAGTGCTGAGTGGGTAAAATTGTTGTTGAATTGTTGAACTACATTGTTGAAGAAGAATTTCAATTTTAATTTCAATTTTTAAGCTAAATCAACTTCTAATATTTGTAAAAGTTTATAAGATATTGGATTTTCTTGAAATTTGAGGAAATATTTCTCTTTAGCCGTCGTAGCCAACCGGATAGAAGTCTTGTCTCCTATCCAGGAGTCTGTTCCTATCCAGGAGTCTGTTCCTATCCAGGAGTCTGTTCCTATCCAGGAGTCTGTTCCTATCCAGGAGTCTGTTCCTATCCAGGAGTCTGTTCCTATCCAGGAGTCTGTTCCTATCCAGGAGTCTGTTCCTATCCAGGAGTCTGTTCCTATTCAGGAGTCTGTTCCTATCCTATCCTATCCTATCCAGGAGTCTGTTCCTATCCAGGAGTCTGTTCCTATCCTATCCTATCCTATTCAGGAGTCTGTTCCTATCCAGGAGTCTTGTCTCCTAGTCGGCTGGACCTCCTAGGTTAAGGGTTCGATCCCGGCGGCTAGAAAGATTTGTTCTTTTTATGGGTTTTTCTTAACAACATTTAGGCAATAGGGGTAATTAGGGGTAAAAAATTTTCTCCGTTCTGTTGTAATTCATTATTCATGTCGAATAAATATACATTTAGGGACGCTTACGGACCAACCCCGCCCGAAGAGAAGCGCTCATTTATTGAAAAGTGGAAGTAAGTCTTTAAAAAAGATTCCAGAATCCAGAATCCAGAATTTTCTGCATTTTTTACTATTTAGACTATTTAGAACCTTTTTGTTAACATTTCTTTTATTTTACAGACTTCAATTGATTTTTTTATGTGCGTGAGTGTGCGTCGATTCACTTTTCAAGATCGAACGCTTTCTGGCTTTCACCTAAGCCATGTGTTGCTCGCGTCGAACTTTTGAATACTTTTTCAATTTTTAAAAGCTTTCTCTCAACTTAAGATTCCAGGTTTCATGATTTTTTAGAGAAATCTAACTTCTAACAAGTTCTTAGGTTGGCAAGAACCAAAGTTCTTGCCTGTAGTTCTGAAAAAACCATGAAACTGGAAGCCGGAAAGGTATTCTTGGCTTTGAAGCGGCCACAAACGATTGGAAAAGACCACCGTACTCTTGGAGAATCTTTAAATTTTCAATAAATTGCAAGTATCTACGTAGCCACCTAATATAAGGTTGGCCTTAGGGGGGATATATAGAAAATTCATTCGGCTCAATCTTTGAGGCTCGAATCTCAAGGTTTCAATTAGAGCCAGCTGAAAATAGTGAAAAGTGAATCGACTTTTTTATTTTAGAGACTTCGATCAAACCCTCGCTTTGAGAAGAGAACGATTACTGAAGCAGTTGAGGGATAAAGTACAGAATGTAAGTGTTTTGAAATGATCTAGGACCAGTGAAAGTCGATGATTGGGTTAAGATGAATCCTAGCAACCATTTTCAAGAGTTACCTTCAATTCCTAGGCTTCCCCGCCATCGATTCAACCAGCACCGCCTGGAATCAACCGTGACTCGTACCAAGAAATCATTGAAGAAAGCGAGAAGCCAATTGATGTAACTTTCTGTTCTTTAGCGTTTATCTTTAAAGATCTTTAAAGTCTATTTCTACAGAATACCAAAAGATATTTGAATAAAATGCTTATTTAACCTGTAATTTTCTTGTAATTACCAACTCTTTCAGGTTTCAACTGTTGCTGCAAGCGCTGCTGTTGAAACTGGAGCTCTTTCGTCAGGTAAAATTAAAAATCTATCTATTATAAAGCTTGTCAAATCTATTATAAATTATATTTAATATCAAGCTATAACTTTAATTTCATTTTTAAAATCCTATTTCCTTTTTAGAAAGAGCAATCATGACTATTAGCCAAGGTGAACTCCGAGAATTGAATGAGATGAAAGAAGTCGAATTTGTACAAACAACAACAGAAATGAGTGATGAAGAAGGTAAGTTAAAATTGGAAATTGTTTAGAAACGCATTTTCTAAACGATTACAATCATTTCAGATTGTGCTAATACAAATGAAGGAAGTGGTGCCCAATTGACGCTAAATGTCGAAGATGAAGCATTTCTGAATCGAGCTGTCGAGAAAGTTCGTTCAGTTTTTAGTGGAAAACATTTCAAAGCTAAAATTGTATCTAGATTTGGTGTTGTTCATTGATATTGTTCGTTAATATTGTTCAAGAGTACTGTAAAAGAAAACCAAGTTAGAGTGGGCCCGATTGTGATTGCGCCGAGATTGCGCCGAGATTGCGCCGAGATTGCGCCGAGATTGCGGCGAGATTGCGCCGAGATTGCGCCGAGATTGCGCCGAGATTGCGCCGAGATTGCGCCGAGATTGCGCCGAGATTGCGCCGAGATTGCGCCGAGATTGCGCCGAGATCTCGCCGAATAGAATTGCAGCTTCTCTCTCACTTTGCGGTCATTTTTCTTGTACTAGACAACAGTTTTTCTAAATGTTTTTTATAGCATCATGTAGCCCAATTGAAGGGCAACCTTTTAATACCAAACTCACAAAGCGAAGGCTCTGGTAAATGACAATTCCATTCGGCGCAATCTTCATAGTCATGAGTACGATAACAAGGTACAAAGAAAACAAGTTTCAACGCCCAACAAATAAAAATTTTGGAATTCAATGGGTTCTCTGATTTCTAAAACACTATCGTAATCAAACTACTATTTCAAATATAGCTTCAAATCCCTTTCTTATCGAATTGCAGGTATCTGGTGAAGTTCGAACGCGTCGACCGTGCATTGATCACAATGGTTTGAAAGAAGTGAAGCCATTGGTAAACTTGCTCACTAAACAAAGAAAGTAGAAAGTATAGAACGCCGAGCCAACCATTGAAGCAAGCATCCAAGAAGTAGAGAAGCCAGAAAATTACACGAAGCTAGACCCGAGTGAGATTCAAAGCGGCGAATCCTTATTGAAAACTTCTGCTGGATATGGACTTGAAAACGTTTTGCCTAAAGATCAGCAAACTGACAAATTCTTGGCAAAAGCTGCTGAAATCTTGGAAAATCTTGGATCGGAAAACAATTCCGATTTTGAGAATTTGAAGCTTGATCCGTATGGATCGATTTTGGAGAAAAGGGGGTTAAATGAGACATTGGAAGCGACAAAATTGGATCTGGATTTGGTGAAAGATTTAGCTGACTCTAGTTTTGATGGAATAAAAGGTTTGTGGCTTGATTTTTTTGAGTTTAAGTTCAGAATTGTTTCAGCAGATTCAACTCTTTCATCTACAGACATCATGATAGAGAAGTTGCTGGAAAATGGAGAAAATATTTTCACGAACGATGGGGCTTTTGAGTCGGTGAAGTTGAATTGGACAGCTCCGACGAAAGGAGCTGTTATTGGTAAATGTTATATGAATAAAACCGAATTAGAAGGGTAAGACTTGGCTTTACAATCAGCTAACAACCTCTAGGCTGTCCACCGCCGAAACTTTGCGCGAAGAACTGTTTTGTGACGATAAACGAGAAAGGATGTCAAGACTGTCAATGTCTTTGGATATCATTAAGTAATAAAACATTTTGATACTCTAGAATTAAGATTTAGCTTGTGACAATGATCTCGATTGTCCAGAGGAAGCTCAAGCATGCGATATGGGGAAATGTCAGTGTCGATTTGGATGGGAACAGGATATGAAAAGATCTGGATATTGTCGAGGAGCTTATCCTAGAACTGCTAGAGTGGCTGATCCTACGGGTTTGATTTTATTCAGAGATTTATGAGCTTCAAGACAATTTGCAAAGCTTGCAAAGCTTGCAAAGCCTACAAAAGCTTGCAAAGCTTGCAAAGCTTACAAAGCTTACAAAGCATGCAAAGCTTACAAAGCCTGCAAAGCCTACAAAAGCTTACTAACTAACTTTAGCCAAGTTCAAATCTCAGCATCGCTCGATGGGCTCACCGTTAAGAAAAGTTGAGGTGGCAAAGAGATTTATGGATGCAAAAGATGAGTCTATGGTAAGATGTTAGACTTGAGACTGTTAGACCTGAGACTGTTAGACTTGAGACTGTTAGACTTGAGACTGTTAGACTTGGGACTGTTAGACCTGAGACTGATAGACTTGAGACTGTTAGACTTGGGACTGTTAGACTTGGGGCTGTTAGACTTGAGACTGTTAGACTTTCAATCTAAACCTGATTTCATCTTTGTTATATCGTTTATTGGCTGATTGTTCTGAAACTTTGGCTACAAATAGAAATCGATTCGATTGATCGAAAAAGAATTAATCGAAATCGAATTCGAATTCGTAGTCTGCCCAAGAAACAGAAAACAAAGATCGGCTAGGTTTGGATGGAGTTTTTCCACAACTGGTAGATGAATTTGGCAAACATTGACATCAACTAACTTCAGAAATTGAAAAAGCTGAGAGATCCGGAAGAGTTCACAACGGCGATCCCAGCTAGCGTTTATTTCTTTGGACGGCAGAGTCACAGAAGAAAAAGGGACACGCTTTCAAGGTGAGAGAAAGGATAAACTGCTAATTTTTATAAACTCTTTTAAGCAGAAAAGATTAGCTCTTCCAATTGCTACAAGAGTTACAATTATTAGGTTGTTCGGATATAAACGAGCGTTTGCACTGCTTAACTCGTGAGGAAGCCATTGACATCAACTAACTTCAGAAATTGAAAAAGCTGATCGTCTGCTCGTCTTTCCAATGGCTTGGAGATGCTCTCAATAGTAGAATTTGAAAATAGAAACTGTTGAGCAAGTTCACGCGTCATTTGACATGGATCCGATTCGATGGCAGCCCTCAAAATATCGTTGTCTACTGCTTGAGGTCGACAAGAGTGTTCCCCTGGTCGACCTCGAGATCATCCTCCAGACTTTCATCACCATTCCGATGGAACGTTGGAACCAGGCTCGGCATCGGCTTTCGAACAATACATCATTCCCAAATGCTTTGACCAAATCTTAATGGGAGAACCAAATCTGTTTTGCCCAGTTTAAAGTCGTAAAGTAGGCTTATTGATAAGTAAAGTAGACGCGAACCTGATATTTTCGAAATCGGTCATCTAAAGCAAGAAAAAAGATCTTAAAAATAAGAAATTATCCGTTTAAAAATATTCCATATATACACAAGATAACGTACATTTAAATACAGAAAGGCATGTTTTTAAAAGCTCACAACAATAAGTTTAGCAACGCATCCGAACAACCTCGCATCCGAACAACAACGAACTTATCAAAATTTCAGAGAAAACCTCAAATCCTTCGAAAAACCGAGACAAAGTGAGAGATTGGAATGGCCAGGTATTGAAAAAGAATGAAGAAAGCTGCACTTTCTTTTGTTCTGTGCATAACTAACTTATTTTGTCGTATATCTTTTGCACATTTGGTGAATAAAGTGTTTAACACGGTGATTTTGGTGATGGGAATTACTGGAGATGGTGTTGGTTCAGGTGAATGCATTTATGTGCGCAAATCTCTTTTGTTTACCACAGTTGGTGGTGGTGGTTGAATTTAAAAAGCGGATGAACTCTTTATATTCTTTCTTATCCATCAATTTTCTTGATTTCATCCGCACATTTCTAAAAGCTTAACAATTAAACTTCAAGAACATTATTCCAATAATTATTCTTGTAACAAGGCTACCGTGTCTACAAAGTGTTCAACAATTGCGAGGATTAGTTTTTAGAAAACCTTTGATACCGAAAAATCTTTCCATAGAAAGTAGAATGTATTATATATGTCGTAGCCGCTTACGAAATTCAGCCGCTAACGAATGAGGGTATTTCCGGGCATCCAATCAAAAAGTCATCCACATAAAAAATGTTCATAATACATATATTTTATAATAAATTTTTGAAATTAGCTCATTTGGTTCATTAGAAAATTTTTTTTGAGCCCCCAAAGTTTAGGTTCAAAAATGCCCTAAAATGGCTATAAAAAAATTTTCTACTCAGCCAAAAAACTTGCCTAATAGCTCATTTTGTAGCCAAATTGATGTAGATTTTTAAAGTAAAGCCAACTAAAACAATTTTTCGTTGAAAGTAGGAGAAAGAGGGCGAGGAACAAATTCAGGGCAATTCTCAAATGTGAAAACAGCGACCGGGTTCAACTGAAGTCGTTCCTCGTCCTCTTTCTCCTAGCTTTGAAAAACTAATGTTCAATGTAACTTTACTTTAAGAAACTACATCAAATTGGCTACAAAATGAGCTATTAGGCAAGTTTTTTGGATGAGTAGAAAATTTTTTATAGCCATTTCAGGGCATTTTTGAACCTAAACTTTGGGGGCTCAAAAAAAATTTTCTAATGAACCAAATGAGCTAATTTCAAAAATTTATTATAAAATATATGTATTATGAACATTTTTTATGTGGATGACTTTTTGATTGGATGCCCGGAAATACCCTCATTCGTTAGCGGCTGAATTTCGTTAGCGGCTACGACATATATAATTGGAAAGCTCTAATTCTTGGCATCATTAATCTACTAAATTTTCGTTTAAAGTTAACTTTTAGCCTTTGAGGCTGAATCCGCAAGTACCCCGAGGCACGCTGCCATTTTTTGTGGCTTTGAAAAGTTTTCTTTTAACGGAAAAACCTTTTTACAAGTTTTTACAAGTACAAGTAAACCTTTCTCTAGAAAGTAGAATGTATTATATATCATTGGAAAGCTCTAATTCTTGGCATCGTTAATTTACTAAAGAGTTTTCGTTTAAAGTTAATTTTTAGCTTTTGAAGCACTTCGGACTGAATCCATGTTAAGTATTTCGAGTAGAGTGTGTTCTTCTCGAGTAATAACTTTCTATAACGCTTCCAGGGCAAAATTTCAAGATATTCAGTTAACAATATTGAATATCTTGAAAGTTTGCCTTTGAAGGGCGAAAGAAAGCTATAGAAAGTATAGAAAGCTATTACTTGAAAGAAACACACTAATCCTGAGGCATGTTCACATTTTTCCTGGTTTTCTAGGTTTAAATTCTTATGAGAAAACCTGAAAACATACTTAAATTTGTATTTTATTTTATCAAGATAAATTCAATTCAAAAAAAAGTCCAAAGTCTCGGTCAGTAGACCCGGAAAAATGCAAATTCCTCTACTCGGCAAGAGCTGGAGTTTACAGTAAGTTATGACCTTGTTTTAAGCATTAATCTCATTGGGATTTAGTTTTATTTCAAATCAAGACAATTCAAAGACTTGTAAAAAGGGTTTTCCGTTGAAAGAAAACTTTTCAAAACACTCCTCACATTCAAAACCACAAAAAATGGCAGCGTGCCTTGCGGATTCAGCCTCAAAGGCTAAAAGTTAACTTTAAACAAAAACTCTGACGATGATGATGATTGTTTTTGTTGTTCAGCTTGGGGAAGGGTTCCACGTGAACAGCAGTTGAATGTGGGTCAGTCGATCCTAAGATACTGACGAAAGTCTTGTATCACTGAGAGCGGGAAGTCTCTTCTCTCTCGGCAATCGAAAGGGAAACGGGTTAATATTCCCGTACCCGGATACGGAGATTTGTACTCTTCTGAGTGCATCGGGCGGTAACGCAAATGAACTCGGTGACACCTAGCTAGGCCTGAGCCAGAGTTCTCTTCTCTGGTTAAGGAACGGACTCGCTGGAAACGGTTCAGCCGAAGATAGCGACGTTGTTTCCGTAAAGCGTCACGGTTTCTGTGGCGTCTCGTGCGCCTGGCTGGGTCCTTGAAAAACCGAGGGAACCAATTTGAATCTCGTACCGGATCGTACCCATATCCGCAGCAGGTCTCCAAGGTGAACAGCCTCTAGTCGATAGAATAATGTAGGTAAGGGAAGTCGGCAAATTAGATCCGTAACTTCGGGAAAAGGATTGGCTCTAAGGATCTTTAATTTGACCTTTCCAACAATTTGAATGTTTAATCCAACAATTTGAATGTTCTCTTTCACTTACAGGTCCTTGTAACGACGATGACAGTTGTCCAGAAGATCTTTACTGCATCCAGGTAACAGAATTCTTATCATTAGATAGCAATCAGATCATTTGTTTAACCTGGTTTACTTTCAGGGAGATTGCTGGAGCCTCCCTGACAAACCTCTTCAATCTTTCACAGCTCTCAGTGACTTTGAGAATCGAAAACTATCTGATTTTTCAAGTAATTCAGTCGAATAAAAGAAAAATAGAAAAATCAATGATTTCAGGTTTGACTGGGAGAGGTTTTGAACACTTTGGTCTACAAGGATTCCCAGATTTCTCCAAAGAAGCGTAAGGGGTTTTAGTAAATGAGAATCTTCTATTTTTCAGTAATCGTCAAGCAAACAGCTTCTCTACCAAACTCTCTGTATGTTTTTTTAAAATCTTTCTCAATTTCTCTCCTAGAATAAGCCGTCTCCAATCTCAAAATCAACACATCCGCTCGCTAAACCAAGACCGAAAAAGGTTATTAACGTTGTAAGTATCACTGTTTTGAGTAGACTTAAGTAATCTATTTGTCTAACAGTATTCCATTCAGATTTCACCGCCCGGCTTTCTTCCGACTTCTGAAGAAGAACTTGTGATTAGATCAGCAAATAGTCAAGGAAAGAATAAGGATGTGAAAATGATTGAGATTCGGAGTCGAAATCTCAGAGTGAAACCGGAGAGAAGGGTGGGTTTCTTGGAAAAGTTTATAATCGAATCATAAATTTATATGATGAGCATCATTAAATTTCTTTAATATTGGGTTGGTGAATTGAAAACTGAGGGCTATTGTCATATGTGACAGTTTGACTTTCTTCAAAAGAAACCCATTTTGGTGTCAATAGAAAAGTTGTAGAGAATCAAAAATTAAGCTTATATCCAAATTTCCAAAAGATACACTTAGTAGTTTCGCTTAAAATTTGCGTGTTCTGTGTGTTCTTCATGCGGTCGCGTAATCGCTCGTCGTCTGGCGTAGGGCTTTTGCATGACTCCCTTTCCACTCTTTTCGCCAAAATAATCGGGCCGGCTCCGAATTCTCAAATTGGACATTGACTTCTCCTCAAATCAAGGCTAATCTCAATCTATTGGGTTGGTGAATTGAAAACTGCGGGCCATTGTCATATGTGACAGTTTGGGCACGTTCTTCCCAAAAAACCTATTGGCAGCAGCTAATGGCCACATCACCTAGAAAAACTTGTACAGGGTGCTTCAGAATTTTAGGTGACAAGACGCGCTAGCCTTGTTTTTCTGATATTTTCTTTGTTACGATTCCAATACGGTTCCTATTTTATTCCAATATGGTTCCAACACGGTTCCTATTGGGTTGGTGAATTGAAAACCGCCGGCTATTGTCATATGTGACAGTTTGAGCACTTTCTTTAAAAGAAACCCATTTTGGTGTCAATGGAAAAGTTGTAGAGAATCAAAAATCAAGCTTATATCCAAATTTTCAGAACGATTCAAAAACTGGTTTTCAAGAAATGCGAAATTTACGAATTTTCACAAAACTTGCATTTTAAGCGAAACTACTAAGTGTATCTTTTTGGAAATTTGGCTAAAAGCCTAATTTTTGATTCTTTACAACTTTTCTATTGACACTAAAATGGGTTTCTTTTGAAGAAAGTGCTCAAACTGGGCTGACAGCTGACATCTCCAGTCCTCCATTTTTGAGTCTCACACTTGTCTCACACACAAACCAAAATCCTACCACGAAAGAGGAATCCGCAAATTGCCTGTAAAATGGGCAGAAGTCGTCAATAATAATGGAAATTATTTGGAATGAATTGATGGTTTTGTTGAATTGTTGAGTAAATTTTAGTTCAAAGTCCGGCAGTTTTCAATTCACCAACCCAATAGATATCAGGCTTGTCGTCCTTTTTGTGTTGCAATTTCTTAAAAACCATGGTTCTTATTTATCAAAGGACAAGTATTATATCTTCCTATTTATTAAGCATCTTTTCTTACAAACTGAAGCTGACTAGACTCCGTTAAAGTAGGCATGGAAATTTTTGAGTTCTCGACGATTGGCCAAGCGCTCGCTCGCCAAACAAAAGCTAATTTCTTGAAAGGGGTAGCCAAAAGTATACAAAAATAACAAAGACAACAATATTTTGTGTTGCTGTTTCAGTTTCAAACAGCTTTTTTAACTCCACCCTTTTTTGATCGGTTTGCCGTTGGCAATCTACGTATTTTGCTCGTAACTTAGACAGATTTGTTTGAAAAACGTTCAATTTGCTTTCATTCGACTCGAAATCGAATCTTCTATCGAATGAAATTAAATTCAACGTTTTTCAAACAAACCCGATCTAGGTACGAGCGAATTTGAAACGGCAAACGGTTTGAAAAAGGGGCAGAGTGGCTGTAATGGCTGTAAGGGAAAGCAAGACTCAATACCAGCAAATGTCTTGAACTTTCAGAGATTTAGAAAAAAAGGAAAACTTTTACACCAACCTAATAACATTCAGAGAGCCCCAGCTAAAAGCACAACCACCAGCCCATCACCGGATTTCGTTTTCTCACCTCCGACCACTGCTCGAACGTCTAAAGAACCGCCATCATTTGCCATCAATGATGCTCCAAATCATGATGACTTCATGCAAGAATTTTGGAAACAAAAGCTTCATCTAGAGGCTCCGTTGGTTACTTGTTAAACTTGTAAATGAAATATTTAGAAACAAATTTCACGAGCTAGAGGAAGAAGTCACTACAGCTGCCAGTCTTGATGATCTGGGTAGGCAAAATTTAGTTAAAACCCTGAGAAAGCTATCTTAAAACTGTGGGAATTGAAAATTTGAATTGAAAATAGCCTTATAATGTTTAGAAGACCATGAACCAGGAGTTTGGTACGAGATGAAGCCTGGAGAATTCCCGAGCTTTGGAGCAAGGTCAGACATTCGGGAAGACGATTTTCTAGTTTTCTTGCTTTTGTCATAAGATTGTCAGAAGATTTTCTAAATCAGCTTTGCTTTTCTAACCCTTTTAGATCTTTCTAACCCTTTTAGACCTTTGTAGATCTAGAATTCTAGACTTTTTCTAGACCAAATCCAAGTGCGAATGTCCCGAAACGATCGGATCGAATGTTCTACGAATACACGAAAGACAATCTCATCAATAAACCCATTCAGATTCTTTCTGATAACGCAAAAGGTTTCATTTGTTAAAAATTGATTCCTTTCTTTCTTGCTCATCTTCAGATTTGAAAAGATTTGTTAAGGAAAAGTCCAAGATGAATGCTCAAAGGATTCCGATTGCAGTTTGAGAACAAAATGCTGTCCGAAAAAGTGGTGTGATCGGTGAGGGATTTGAATTGTTGAGAAAGTGTCTAGATCATTCATGATCAGCCCTCAACTCATATTTTAGAAGCCAAGAATGCGGGAATGCGAATTTCTGCCTACCGGACTGCTCATTGACCAAAATGGTACACCAAGATGATGGCCGAAGACCGCAAATGGATCTCATTTATGATTGAGACTTTGATTTTGATTAGTGTAAAGAATTGGTACAGATTATTGGTACAATTTATTGATACAGAGTGAATTTTGGTTGCAAATTCTTATGAATTCACATTATGAATGGGTCTTGAAAGAGACCTAAGTCTTCAAAGATGTCTAAGCTTAAAAAAAAGTCATTCATTTCCTCCATCATCAACTGTCGGCTCAACTGCTTTATATCCAATCACTAATTCTCCATTTCTTCTTTATTGGTACAGAAAGAATTCTCTTTGCCAAGAAGTAAACAAGTTTTGGAATGGATTCTTAATATAGAAATCAAAATTTCAACTGATTAAACAATTGGATTTCAACTGATAGTATCACTTTATTTTATATTATGAATTACTAGTGTGCTTTCATATGAATTACTAGTGTTTCAGTGTGCCTTGAATTCACTAGATGTGGTTAGATCTATGTGCTTTGAATGAATAACAAAACCAAGTGTATTTAATACAAAAAGCGTGAAAATCTCTCAATAAAGCTTAGTGTAAAGAATTTATTGGTACAGAATGAATTTTGGTTGCAAATTCTTATGAATTCATCTTATGAATGGGTCTTGAAAGATGTCTAAGCTTAAAAAAAGTCATTCATTTCCTCCATCATCAGCTGTCGGCTCAACCGCTTTATATCCAATCACTAATTCTCCATTTCTTCGAGTTTTTGGAGTTGACGATCCAAGAAAGTAGATTGAGAATGGTTCTTTACCGGGTAACGAAAATTGAGTGAACCCTTCAGCTTTGAAACTGAAAACATTTCTTTGCAATTGTAGAAAACCGAAATTTTGTTTACTTTGTTGATCCATTTGTGGATTTGACATAGAATTGATCTCCGGCGTCTAACGTTCCTGAATACGAGAATTTTACAGCTTCGCTCTTGTCAACATCATCAAAATTCCAGCTGCAAGCAAGAGATGAACAAAACTAAATGTTTATACTTTAGAAAATTCAAGTTGGAATATACTTTTGCCAAACTGAATGCAATGTTGACGTTCGGGTAAAGCTCCGGTGTATCAACATCTTTACGATCGTAATTCGTTAGCATATCAGGACAAGTACAATCTGGAGATGATAGTGTGAAGGCTGAAGTCTTTCAAAGCCAAAACTTCAAGTCGGAAATCTTGATTTAAACTTACCAGCTGGTAAAAACACTTGACGAAATGATATTTTGAACTTTGGGGCGTTTTTATTATATCTAAAACAAGTAACAAGTAGCTCTTCATCTTCAACTCTTACTTAAAATCGAGCGCATAATTGTTGACCAAGAACCGATGCTTTCCTCCTTTTCCACCAATGACTCTGAACGATTGATAATGATCAATGATTAATGACCAATGATTGACCAATGACACCAATGACCAATGACACCAATGACCAATGACACCAATTAATGGTCAATGACATCAATGGTTGACCCAAAGACACCAATGAATGACCAATGACACCAATGAATGGTCAATGACACCAATGAATGGCCAATGACACCAATCAATGACCAATGACACCAATGAATGGTCAATGACACCAATGAATGGCCAATGACACCAATGAATGGCCAATGACATCAATGGTTGACCCAAAGACACCAATGATTGACCAAAGACACCAATGATTGACCAATGACACTCATGATTGACCAAAGACACCAATGAATGGCCAATGACATCAATGGTTGACCCAAAGACACCAATGGTTGACCCAAAGACACCAATGATTGACCAATGACACTCATGATTGATCAATGACACTCATGATTGACCAAAGACACCAATGAATGGCCAATGACACCAATGATTGACCCAAAACACAAATGATTGACCAATGACACTCATGATTGACCAAAGACACCAATGACACCAATCAAACTTAAAAACTTAAACTTAAACAAACTCGAAAAAGTGATTTCCTTCTGGTGAGTCGAAGGAAAAATCAGTGTACAATTTCCCGGGTTGCTCATTCTCTATTTCGAGCTCGACTTTGATGGAACCAGCCTGAAAGCTGTTCAGATTTAAAAGTACAGAGAACTGAAAAGAAAAGAAATCTTGAAAAGACTGGAAAGACTGGAAAGACTGGAAAGACTGAAAAGAAAAGGAATCTTGCTCAATTGATTGAAAGGTTTTCAATCACCGGATCACCACTTCCTCCTTGATGTGCCCGAATTTTGTGAAGCACTTCACCATTGTTTTCCAGCAATTTATCATCCTTTTCAAAAGTAAAAGGTTCTTTATGATCATCAAATGAAAACTCAGCACTTCTTGCCACTAAAACAAATGTTTTGATGTTTTAAATCGTTTTTTGAGTTGTCAGCTTTGTTCTGATGAAAACTCACCTCTCAGAACGGTATGCGAATTGATTTGATGAATTGTTGCAATTAGCAAAAAGATTGAAAGATATGACATCTTTTAAGTTATAAGTTTCAATTTTCAAATGTGAATTTCCTTGAAAGTTCCACTGTTTATAATAGTATGGATTTTGTTTTCTGTTTTCAATTTCAAGGACATTTGTTTGGGTGACATTGATAAACCGGGTTGAAGAAGCAGGAAGTGATAATTTTTGATTGAAAATAAGAAGATAATTGATCAGCAGAGCTCCGTAGAGCAGAGCAGAGCTTAGCAAAGCAGAGCAGAGCTCCGTAGAGCAGAGCAGAGCTTAGCAAAGCAGAGCAGAGCTCCGTAGAGCAGAGCTCCGTAGAGCAGAGCTCCGTAGAGCAGAGCTCCGTAGAGCAGAGCTCCGTAGAGCAGAGCTCCGTAGAGCAGAGCTCCGTAGAGCAGAGCTCCGTAGAGCAGAGCTCCGTAGAGCAGAGCTCCGTAGAGCAGAGCTCCGTAGAGCAGAGCAGAGCTTAGCAAAGCAGAGCAGAGCTCCGTAGAGCAGAGCTCCGTAGAGCAGAGCTCCGTAGAGCAGAGCTCCGTAGAGCAGAGCTCCGTAGAGCAGAGCTCCGTAGAGCAGAGCTCCGTAGAGCAGAGCTCCGTAGAGCAGAGCTCCGTAGAGCAGAGCAGAGCTTAGCAGAGCAGAGCAGAGCCTGGCAAAGCAGATCAGAGCTTAGGAGAGCTCCGTAGAGCCTTCAAAGGAAATGACGGGGGAAACACATTGCAATACTGGCAACAAGTCTACTCACCAGATCCTGTGGCAGGTAGGGTTAGACTTTTGCATTGTTCAAATTGGTTGTCCAAGTCTTTTCGTTCCTTTTCGTACTTCTATTGGGTTGGTGAATTGAAAACTATTGTCATATGTGACAGTTTGAGCACTTTCTTCAAAAGAAACCCATTTTGGTATCAATGAAAAGGTTGTAGAGAATCAAAAATCAAGCTTATATCCAAATTTTCAGAACGATTCAAAAACTGCTTTTCAAGAAATGCCAAAATTTACGAATTTTCACAAAACTTGCATTTTAAGCGAAACTACTAAGTGTATCTTTTTGGAAATTTGGCTATAAGCCTAATTTTTGATTCTCTACAACTTTTCTATTGACACCAAAATGGGTTTCTTTTGAAGAAAGTGCTCAAACTGGGCTGACAGCCGACATCTCCAGTCCTCCATTTTTGAGTCTCACACTTGTCTCACACACAAACCAAAATCCTACTACGAAAGAGGAATCCGCAAATTGCCTGTAAAATGGGCAGAAGTCGTCAATAATAATGGAAATTATTTGGAATGAAATGATTGTTTTATGTTGAATAAATTTTAGTTTAGAATAAATAAATAAAGTCCGGCAGTTTTCAATTCACCAACCCAATAGTTTAAGTAAAAAGCTTTTCCTAAGCTAGGCAAGCACTTTTTCTTTCCTTTTAGCCATTTTTGCATAATAAACTCGAGTTTTTCTTAAAGCTTTAAAGTAAATCTATGAATTTACATTATAATTTCTAATGATTAATTGATTTCAACGTTTAATTGATGAATCAAGGCCATTTCCCACCAACTGTAGTTTGTCCTTTGCACGTTTATCATACGAAAAGAGCGAAAGACAAAGAAAAGGGAAAAGAAAGGAAAAAAAGTGAGCAGTTTTGGATTATTTTATTGATTTCTTTACTGCTAAACCTTTGTTTTTCAAATTATTAAATTCATTTTCTTTCTTTTGATTCACCAAAATGGAGCCCGGACCATCAGACTCGACAAGAAAACCTCCACCACCTTTACCTCCAAGGCCAACTGGTAATTCAATGTGTTTATATGTTATTTAGTTACTTTTTGGAATTATTAACTGCTAGATCTTTCAGACGACTTTCAATACCTTTCAGACTACAGCTAGTATCAAAAATTGCAGTAAAAAACAGTAATAAACAGAAATTGGTCAAGATCACCATCAAGATCTATATTTTAGATTCTTTTTTGTTTCTTTTATTGTTATTTAAAGTCTTGTACTTAACCTAAAGCTGATTATTTGCTTAAAAGTTGTAATAAAAAGAATTAGGTGACCTTAATCATGCTCCAATGGGAAGCAATGGAATGTATGGACCATCATTTGGAGCACCGATGAGCTATGGAGTTGGCTATAGTGGATACAATGGAATGTAAGTTTTGATAGAACTTGATAACGATATCTAATTTGATTTGATTTTTAATTCTATGCCCTTTTAGGTACGGTGGCGGAATGGGTGGGATGTACAACAGCTATGGAATGGGAGGCTATAGTGGATATGGATATGGACAACAAATGGATGGGAATTTCTCGAGATTGGCTGAAGGTTTGTACTAGTTATAGTTGGCTATTGTATGCTATGTTCTATTTAGAATGTTTTCTCAAACAGATTTAATCATTTATATCATTCGAAAGCTGTGAATCTTCTCTCCAAGATAGGCTCTCTTCTTCAAGATCATGTTACCGAGTTTCTCGAAACGTTTAGATCAATTAAACCCGAGTCTATTAGTAGATTCAATAAAATGAATATCTCTAATAGATTTGCCGGCCCTGAAAATCCCTGGATACAAATTTACGCCTCAATATCTTCTTTTTGGGCCATCTACAATACAAAAGAGAAATCCCAAATGACTGACAAAATGTTCTTTGTGTTGGGGCGTAAACGCACACGATCTGGCACATGGTCTCTGCCTATACCGCTCCGCGAACGGCTCTTCTCAAGGAACTTGTTCCTTTCATGGGTACCTAGTACCCACCAAGCTTGTCTTGGATAATTTTTGGAAAGCCGACCTGGGGATCCCGGGACGGCGGAATTGAGAAGCCGGCAAACGGGCGGAGCTGAGGCATGTCGGGGCCGTAATGAGAACTAAGGCCCATCAGGGCCGGCAAAAACTTACTCTTGGACAAGAGCAAAGTTATCAATTAATATTAACGATTCAAAAGGTTCTAGATCCCGGGACGGCGGAATTGAAAAATAAGGCATATCAGGGCGGTATTGAGAACTAAGGCCCATCAGGGCCGGCAAAAACTTGCTTTTAGACAAGAGCAAAGTTATCAATTAATGTTAACGATTCAAAAGGTTCTAGATGTCAGATGACATCAACATCATCAATTTAGAATCTTCTCGTGGAGCTTTTCAATCCATCGAATCCGTGGTGAATGCAGTGACCTCAGTAGCCAATATGCTTTCCTCAACTCACAACGCAGTCTACAGTTCTTTTAGGTAAACAAGCTTTTTGTTTTGTTTTCAATTCTTGCTCACAGAGACATTTCAGAGCCGTGATAGGAGTGGTTGATCAATTCTCTCGCCTTAAATTTCAATTCTCGAGTCTTCTTGCCTCCATCGCCGTCTTTCGATTCCTTCAAAAACTCTGGCGATATCTTCTCGTATTGTTGCGATTGAAGCCTGCAAATTATGCAAGTGCTGCGGAAATGGCTTGGTCAACAGCTCAAACTCCGATAGGTTAGTTGGCAAGTAGAATAATGGCAAAATGGCTTCAAACGATTTCAGGAGCCGATTCGTTGGGCGGTCCATCTCCTCCAGTCAACTGGCCAGCTCTATTCTTTTGGGTGGTCGCTCTAGGTTTCCCCTACATGATTTACAAATGTGTGAGTCGAATGGTTCAATCGGCTGAAGAAAAACGAGTCTGGGCCACTGGGGCAGCGAATCATTACCGGGCTGAGGTTTTTTCTAGATTTTCTATAAGTCTAACGAGTCTATAAGTCTATAAGTCTATATTTCAGGCTCTATTTGACTTCCAAGCTCAATCCGAGCAAGAGCTTTCGTTTATGGCTGGTGAAAGACTGAGGATTGCGCCAAAAGAACAACAACCGAGAGTGAGAGGATGGCTGCTTGGAAGGTAGATCGTGTAAAACTGTAATAGCTAATAGTAAGCTAATAGTAAGCTCTTAAAAATAAGATTTACTGTATCTTTGCCTAGTCAGTAAGTCAGAATACGGATATCGATCTTGACTTGAGCTAGATTATTATTAGGTTGGTGCAGATGAAACTTCCGTTGGAACCATAAACAAAATTTATTATAAAAATCCTAATACAGAACCTCAATCCAAAAGATATTCGCCATCATTATCAATGACTCTTTGCCATCTTCCACGCAGAGAATGGATGCCCTTTTCGAAGAGCTCGGGCAACTGCGACTGGAAGAAGTTGGACACCCAGATTTCAACTTCTTCGCGGTTTTTGAATTTTTTTTTCTGCTAGAGAGTGCTGCATCGACCGAAACAAGTGGTAGTCGGATGGGGCCAAGTCCGGGCTATATGGCGGATGAGGCAGAACTTCCCAGCCCAATTCCTCGATTTTCTGCTGGGTGATCTTTGCGGTGTGGGGTCGAGCGTTATCGTGGAGGAATTTTGTAGTCGCTGTGTTATTGCCTTGACGACGCAATGCCTAGTCCACGCGGCTCAATTGGGCTTCGTAGAGATCCGCCGTGACTCTTTGGCCCGAATCCAGCACCTCAAAATACACGGGACCTTTACTATTCCACCAAATACAAAGCATCACCTTTTTTTTCGTGGATATTCGGTTTGGGAGTCGGTTTTGGCGGTTCACCGGCGTCCAACCACTGCCGTTTTCTTGTTGTGTTGTCGTAACATATCCACTTTTCATCTGCCGTAACAATGGAGTCGAGAAAACCGGCGGTCTTTGCGCGGCGGACGAGAATTCCAGCCATTGTAGCTCGGGCCGCTTTGTTTGCGTCGCTGAGCTGATGTGGCACCCATTTTCCACACCGATTCGTCTTACCAATTGCGTAACATGGCGGAGAATGGTTGTATGGTCGCAGTCAAACAGCTCTGCAAGCTCCCGAGTTGTTTGGCATGGATCCGATTCGATAGTGTTCTTCAACTCATCGTTGTCGACAATTTGAGGCGGATTCCCGCGTTTTTCGTCTTCCAAACTCTCATCACCGTCTCGGAAGCGCTGAAACCAAGTCCGGCATTGACGTTCGGACAACACGTCATCGCGGAATGCTTTGCACAGAGCACGATGAGATTCCGCAGGCGTTCTGCCTTGTTTAAAATCATACAACAAGCAAACCCGCACTCGAAATTTTTCGTCAACCATTTTCTAGAAGCTAAAAATTACTTCAAATTATGTAAAACGCATAAGTCTTAGATATCAAAAGACGCGCAAAGAGACGCTCTTTCAGATAGACAAATATCTTCAATAAAAACTTTTATTAGGTTCAAAATATAAACAAACAAGTGTGACGGAAGTTTCATCTGCACCAACCTAATAGTATGATTTGGTCTGGCCAGGAAATTTGATCTAGAACCAATCCTAGGCTGAACAACTGAGCCCAAGCCTAAGCCTAGGCTGAACAGCTGAGCCTAAGCCTAAGCCTAAGCCTTTAAACTTTTTCCAAGCATGTAATTTACTTGAGAAAAGTTTAAAGTTGAACCAATCAATCAGGAAAATTGATTGGTTTAGCTAGTTTTGGCTCAGCCAGTTTTGGTTCAGCCAGTCTTGGTTCAGCCTGGCTTGGTTCAGCCAGTTTTTATTCAGCCTAGATTGGTTCTAAACCAAATTTCCTGGCCAGACCAAATCATACTAATAATCTAGCTCAAGTCAGGATCATTTAATGACTTTCATAGTTTTGGTCTGACTAATTTAAAGCCAGTGGCAGGCCATAGACATGGTCAATGACCTTGTCTTGTCTTGTCTAACTACAGAACTCTTTAAAAGCCACCTAGGTCAGCCCAGGATGACTAATCTAAAGCCAGATCGCTTGATCGCTTTGTTAACTTCTTAATCTTCTTCTTAATCTGATCCATTTCTCAAACTTTAGCACAAGTGATGGCTCAAAGATCGGCCTCGTTCCAATCAACTATGTGAAAGTTGTCGGAAAGCAGAGCTCATCTCCACCTCCTGTTGACGCATTTGAGAAATCTTTTCGACCACCAAGTTAAAGTGTTTATAGTTAAAAGTTTAACAAATCAAGAACAAAGAACAATTTGCGTTAAAAATAAATATTCTCATAGCTGTACTGTAGCTCCAAATGTCGATTGACTTTTGGATTCGCTCCACTGATAAAATAGACTTCCAATGGGTCAGCTCCAGGAAGTTTCAGCTTTTGAGCTTCGTTGGATTTTAAAGATAAACTAAAAATGAAATCTTTCTTTTATTTAAAAGTTTTCAAACTTTATAATCCCTTTCGAACTTCTCACGTAGAATTTATCGGATGAATCCAAGTTTCCCTTGAAAGTAAACTCAATATCGAGGGTTTTGTTTCGAGCTGGGCTCATCGCCCATCCGCAAACCGTGTTTGAACAAGTCTGGAATTGAAATTGCTGGTGTGGATTGATGCTAGCTAGGGTTGGTAATGTAATTGCTAATTGCTAATGCAAAATCTGTAACTGATCAACTTATTTACCTTTGGCTGATCATCAACGAAATACTGACTTGCGTATTTCAAATAGTTTGGCAAACTATCGTTGTATTTTTCGAGGAAAACTCCGCAACGACACTCTGAAATCTTTTAGTTATCTTTTTATTAGTTATCTTTTCAAAAATCCATTGCAAGGTTGCAAGTCAACTGGTCAGTAGATGCAGTTGCAAGGCAGCTGGTCATTAGATGCAGTTGCAAGTCAACTGGTCAGTAGATGCAAAGACTGCTCAACAAACTCACCAACATCTCGATCCGTCTCACTGAGCGTTACTTTAAAATCCGGAGCGTTTTTGTTGTACCTAAAGCAAAATAGATTCACTTTTAACTGGCAGTAAGCTTATACAGAAAGCCAAGTCAATCCTGTGCAAGCCAATCCTGGCAGTAAGCTTCTACAAAGAGCCAAGCCAATCCTGTGCAAGCCAATCCTGGCAGTAAGCTTCTACAAAGGGCCAAGCCAATCCTGTGCAAGCCAATCCTGGCAGTAAGCTTCTACAAAGAGCCAAGTCAATCCTGTGCAACTCACCCAAACATTAAACCACCGTCAACGACAACGAACTCGTGTTTCCTTTCTTTGTTGCCAATCACCCTGAAAGTACAGTTTTTCTGTTGTCTTTATTCTGTCTTTATCATTGATTTATATATCTTTATATTGATTATCTTGATAATTAAATTGAATTTTCTTTGAATCTTTGAATTTTATTTGAATGTTATTTGAATCTTCTTCCTCACTACTTACTCAGCCCAATGTCTCCCCTCCCAAAAGATGTCATCGATGGAGAAATCACTGTACAGCTTTCCAACCTCTTCTTTCTCGATTTCTAGCTCAACTTTTACACAATTGAGCTCATTTCCGTGCTGAATAAGTTTGATTGGATCAAAGAGATAATTAAGATCATTTTTCAAATTATCCAAGGCTTAGAAAACGTAGAAACGTAGAACACAACAGTTTGAGCAGTTAGAACTATTGTAACAGTTAAAGCTTTTAAACTGTTAGAGCTTTGCCCTATAAATGCTATTATATTCGTTTGAGTAGTTGGGCTTTGAGTAGCTGTTTGAGTAGGTTTATACCTTTGAGTGGCTTTGAGTAGCTTGGTTATAAGTTTGGCTTAGGCTTAGGCTTAGGCTTAGGCTTAGGCTTAGGCTTAGGCTTAGGCTCTGAAGCTTGGCTTATAACCAAGCTTAGGCTTAGGCTTAGGCCTAGGCTTATTAGGCTTAGGCTTAGGCTCAGGCTTAGGCTTAGGCTTAGGCTCTGAAGCTTGGCTTATAACCAAACTTCAGAGCTTATGCCAGGTCATTCGGGTTTAGTTTAAAATGTTGTCTTATCTCTTGGCTAATCTAAAACAAAGCTTTTGTCTAACTTACATATCCATGAGTAGTAATATCGAACTCGACAGCTCCGCCTTTTTCCGTCAACAGCGTTGAGTTTTTTCTCAACACAAATGGACCCTTTTGCTCGTTGAAATTCAAGCGAACCATCTTCAGAAAGCCTAAATTTACATTTTAATATCATCTAATTTTAAACTCACGATTCGGCTTATCGGTAATAATATCGTCTCCAGGGAAAATACCCTCCAATCCATAGGAGAATGACAAAAATTCTAAGATGAACAATAGCGGGAACATATTAAACAATGAAATCTTAGTGAACAATGTTTTTGATCGCTTTTTAAGCGATCTGAAAAACTTTTTACAGTCTTTTTTTTGACGATTTGACAGAGAAACGATAAATCTTTGTCATCGATTGAGAGAGATCTTTTTGAAATGAAAAGGAAGTGTTTAGAGTGAATTGGCGAAGGGATTGAGGTCATTAGATGACTCAATTTGTTTTGAATATGTTTGAAAAACAAATTTCAACTTTATAAATTGAATACAAATTTGAATTTTACACCCTTCTTGTTTAGTGTTTTTTTTTTCTGCTCAGGCTTAGGCTTAGGATCCCCTTGGACTTTTGAATAGCTAAAGCTTGATCTAGTTTTGAATACCGTATTTTCTCTAATAGTACTTGCATCTAAATCTTCAGGAATCCCCCTTGGACTTGTGATGTTTGAATCAATTGGTGAACGAGTGAATACAATGATTGTTTCTTGTTTGCATAGGGTTTGTTGATCTTGAACAAAAGAACAAATGATAAATCTTTTCTCAAGAGTCCGTCGTGAAATGAAAAATTACATACCGTATTTTCTCTAATAGTAGTGCACCCTGAGCGTCGCCTAAATTCGTCGAAATCTCGAGAACCGCTTATCAGAACCAATCGATGTGGGGTCGGAAAATGTAGCTGACGATGAGATCTAGTGGAGGATTTGAGTGTTGAGCTTCTGTGGAAACTTTGAAACTGTAAAATAGTCATCAACTCGGCTCGCCGGGGTGCACTACTATTAGAGAAAATACGGTAGCTGAAATGTTGCTACAGTACGAAGACAGAAAAGGATACACTTTAGCAAACAATGGTTCGTTGTTCTTTTACATTGATGGATAGTGCGTTGATTTTCAAGCCTAAGCCTAAGTGTAAGCCTAAGTCTAAGCCTAAGCCTGAGCCTGGACCTAAGCCTGGGCCTGATCCTGAACCTGAGCCTGAGCCTAAGTCTAAGTCTGAGCCTGGACCCAAGCCTGGGCCTGATCCTGAACCTGAGCCTGAACCTAAGCCTAAGTCTAAGCTTGAGCGTCGTCTAAATTCCTCGAAATCTCGAGAACCGCTTATCAGAACCAATCGATGTGGGGTCGGAAAATGTAGCTGACGATGAGATCTAGTGGGGGATTTGAGTGTTGAGCTTCTGCAAAAGCTTGGAAGCCGTAAAATAGTCACCAACTCGGCTGGCCGGGTGCACTACCATTAGAGGAAATACGGTAGTTAAACCAAAGCCAATAGTTAAACGACTATGTTGTACGACTTGTTGTGAACAACTCAAGCACTCTTTGATCATCACCTTAGTCCACTTCACTACTTGAATTCACTACTGACCTTGAGTTAACTTTTTCCATAAAATCAGTTCATGATGAAATTCTTCTTCTTTTTACTATTTTCAAGTCTATTTAAGAGGCTTTAAGTTGGCTTAGGCTCTTAAATAGACTCGGGTTCCGACTTCACATTGAGCTGTAGTTCATTTGTGTTTGTTGTAAACAGATCACCTCACAAGTGGAATTTATGCTCGTCAATCCGATAACATTTTAATCCGCACATTTATCTCACACTATTACCTTGTTTACCTTTACCGTTTTGTCACAAAAAATTCCATTTTCCTGCAAAAGATCGTTCATTTTCCAAAGCGCAATTTGTTTTCCCTTAATTTTTTTTGTCTTTTTCTCAATCCGCACTTTTCATTGACCCTTCTCTATCTTTTTTTTTACTGTTTTTATCTCTCTAGTTTATAGCTTTCTAGTGGCAAATTTTTATTGGGTTATATGCTCAAAAATTATTTGTTGATACAAGAATTTTTGAATCTTAGACAATTATTTTCTTATCATTCAAAGTGCCATTAAATTCCCATTCTTATCATTTACAGTCCCATTAAACCAATAATTCCCCCATTTACATTGCATTTATAAAAAGAAAACAAGAAAAGGAATAGTTTGATTGATTTTTGATTTTATTGGATTTAAAAATAAATGCTTCTTTATAGGATGCTTTATAGGATACTTCTTTATAGAAAACTTGTTTACGAGGCTTTTTGTTCAACTGATACAATGAAACTGAAAAGGGTAAAGCTTTTCTTAAGCTTAACTTAAGCCTTTCTTAAGCTTATCTTAAGCTTTTCTTAAGCTTATCTTAAGCTTTTCTTAAGATAAGCTTAAGAAAGGCTTAAGATAAGCTTAAGATAAGCCTAAGAAAAGCTTAAGATAAGCTTAAGATAAGCCTAAGAAAGCTTATCTTAAGCTTATCTTAAGCTTTACCCGTTTAATAGTGCAATTTTGTTAAAAAGATCTTACTTTCATTGAAATATTGCTAGATTGATCAATTTCGATATTGTATTGTAGAAATGAGCTCGAGACTTTTCTACAGTTCAAATCTTCTTATCATTTACACTCCCATTAAACCAATAATGCCCCCATTTACATTGCATTTATAGAACGAAAACAAGAAAAGTTTGATTGATTTTTGCTTTTACTGGAGGTAAAACTAAATGCTTCTTTATAGGATGCTTCTTTATAGGATGCTTCTTTATAGGATGATTCTTTATAGGATGATTCTTTATAGGATGATTCTTTATAGGATGATTCTTTATAGGATGCTTTTTTATAGGATGCTTCTTTATAGAGTGCTTCTTTATAGAAAACTTGTTTACGAGGCTTTTTGTTCAACTGATACAATGACACTGAAACGGGTAAAGCTTTTCTTAAGCTTATCTTAAAATTATCTTAAGTGTTTCTTAAGCCTTTCTTAAGCTTATCTTAAGCCTTTCTTAGGCTTATCTTAAGCTTATCTTAAGCTTTTCTTAGGCTTATCTTAAGCTTATCTTAAGCCTTTCTTAAGCTTATCTTAAGAAAGGCTTAAGATAAGCTTAAGAAAAGCTTAAGATAAGCCTAAGAAACACTTAAGATAAGCTTAAGATTAGGCTTAAGCCTTTCTTAAGCTTTTCTTAAGCTTATCTTAAACTTTACCCGTCTAATAGTGCAATTTTGTAGTGTAATTTTGTTACAAAGATCTTACTTTCATTGAAATATTGCTAGCTCGATCAATTTCGATATTTGTCAGCTTTAGATTCAAATTCAAAACCAAACTTTCGTTATATCAGCTCCTTTCAAACATTTTGTATTGTAAAAATGAGCTCGAGACTTTTCTACAGTTTAAATCTTTTTCTTTTCTTATATTTCCAACAAATCTATCATATTTAAGCAAAATAAATCAACTTTTAGCTTTGATTTTTTGAATTTGAAACAATTTGATTTTTGATTTCGTTTATTAACACTCTCTGCAGTCATGCAAAGATCAGATTTACTTTCCCATTTCTTGAATCGCTTTGAAAGCAGTCAATCAATCAAATCACAGTCAAATTTGCTATTGAAATGTAGAATTTTAATTGAAATACCAGTTCTCAAGGTTTTTAGTCCATTTTGCCATTTTTTCTGAGGTTTTTAATGGTCACATGTGGGCCAAAAAGAAAAAAGAACCAAGCTCCGCCCCTTCCCCTCACTTTCCTCACTCCAACTCCAGAAATTTCCACAATCATTTGACAATTGCTCAAATCAATAATTTCCCAATCAGTTATCAATGATTTCTCTCTCTTTTTTTGTCTTATCTTTTCTTTATCAATCAAATACCCAAATCTAACCAAATCTAACCCCAACTCATCACAAAACTTTAGCCATATCTGTTCAGCTGTGATTTTTTGAACTCTCAAACACATTCCCTACTCTTCTGCTGTGATAAAATGATATCTAAAGTGTATAGAATGTAAAAAAATTGCTTTTACTGTAATCTTTGATCATGAAAGTTTTAGAATGTCTGAGTTTAAAGCTCCCGCCGATCTTTCGGGTGGTCTCTTCTTTAGAAATGGAAAGAGGGTAAATATCGATGGAGAGAAGACTTTCCCAGTCGTTGAACAGAGAATTGGTTTGTTTTTTTTTGAAGCTTTTATTTGTTTTAGCAATTAAGCTCAAGTTTCAATTTTTAAAAGCTCTAAAAGTCTGGAATAGTTTTATCAAAAAGAATAGTTTGATCTAGGCCAAGAGGCCAAGAGTCTAAGGCCAAGAGGCCAAGAGTCTAAGGCCAAGAGGCCAAGAATCTAGGCCAAGAGGCCAAGAGGCCAAGAATCTAAGGCCAAGAGGCCAAGAGTTTTTGAACTTTAAGTTCTCTAGCTTTAAGCTTTAAGCCTAATTCTTTAAGCCTTGTTCTTTGTGTTCTTACAAAGGCAAGCATCTTGGCATAATCTAATTGAATGCTCAAAAACAAAGGACCTAAAGTAGGATCAGTGTACCAGATGACGTGCGCTTGCAAGAGTAAGCGACAGTGAAGCGGCGGATAAGATCCACCGCTTCACTGGCGGATCTTTAAAATAAGATATTACAATCTTATTTCAAACATAAAATACTCACTTATTGGTCAAAAAGATCAAAATTGATCAAATTTGGTATTTCAGGAGCTGAAGTTCGCCGCTGTGCCAACGCCAGCCCCGCTTTGGTCGACGAAGTTGTGAAAGAGGCCCGGACAGCTCAAAAAGAATGGGGAAACAAGACGCCACTTGAGAGGGGAAAGATCCTCCGAAAGGCTGCCGAGATTATTCGGGTTAGTTTAAGTCAAAGATTTCGATTCTTAATGATTAGACCAACATAACCGTTGGTCTGGTCTATCAGCTAACTAGGTTGGTGAATTGAAAACTGCCGGACTTTGAACTAAAATTTATTCAACATAAAACTATGAATTCATTCCAAATAGTTTCGATTATTATTGACGACTTCTGCCCATTTTACAGGCAATTTGCGGATTCCTCTTTCGTAGTAGGATTTTGGTTTGTGTGTGAGACAAGTGTGAGACTCAAAAATGGAGAACTGGAGATGTCCGATGTCTCAGTTTGAGCACTTTCTTCAAAAGAAACCCATTTTGGTGTCAATGGAAAACTTGTAGAGAATCAAAAATTAGGCTTATAGCCAAATTTCCAAAAAGATACACTTAGTAGTTTCGCTTCAAATGCAAGTTTTGTGAAAATTCGTAAATTTGGCATTTCTTGAAAACGAGTTTTTGAATCGTTCTGAAAATTTGGCTATAAGCTTGATTTTTGATTCTCTACAACTTTTCCATTGACACCAAAATGGGTTTCTTTGGAGGAAAGTGCTCAAACGGTGACATATGACAATAGCCCGCAGTCTTCAATTCACCAACCCAATAGATTGAGATTAGCCTTGATTTGAGGAGAAGTCAATGTCCAAATTGAGAATTCGGAGCCGGCCAGATGAGTTTGGCAGAGCCATTGGGAAGGGAGTCATGTGAAAGCCCTGCGCCAGACGAGCAGCGATTACGCGACCGCACGAAGAACACACAGAACACACAAATTTTAAGCGAAACTACTAAGTGTATCTTTTTGGAAATTTGGATATAAGCTTGATTTTTGATCCTCTACAACTTTTCCATTGACACCAAAATGGGTTTCTTTTGAAGAAAGTGTTCAAGCTGTCATATATGACAATAGCCCGCAGTTTTCAATTCACCAACCTGAGCCTCAATATAAACAAACATTACTCTTTCATTCAAAATTTGGTTACTGAATCGGGCACTACAAAACCCAATGTGAAAGTGGGCATGCTCAAACCCCAAAGTACATCAATTTAAGTTGATCTTTGAGAACTTGATCATACCATCAAGGCCATAAAAATTATTCACTTTTTTTGATCTTTCAACGAAATAAAAGTGAATGTGATCGAATGGGATTTTCCCATTTTATTTCTCTTCTCAAGTTGAAACCAAATGGCCAAATGTTACAGCAAAAAGAAAGGGCCAACTGGCCGTGTTCGATTGAGAAGAGATTCCAGAGGTCAGCTTGAAAAAGTCTTTTCCGAGCAATAAGATCAAATTCTTTTTCCTTTGAAAAGAAAAATGACAGTTGCTCTTTTTATAGCTGACCTAGGAAAGAAAAGGGATTTTAGAGGAATCAGCAAAATGAAAACAATAGAAGAAATGAAGAAATCGGCGGGAATTAGCGGTTTTTCTAATTAATGAACATTTTTGCATGCAAAAATAGCTTCAAAGACAGATAAAACCGTAAAATTAGAAGATTGTCCTTGGTTGAATCAAGTTTTAATTTGATTTCAATCTACCCATAAAGCTGCTCAAATTTCAATGGCTTCAAAGAGTACCAAAACTTTCATTTGTACAGTTTAAAGTGCAATGCATCAATAGATAAATAGATCAGCTATATCAGCGATAAATAGATATTCGATTTGATCACTCATTGAACTATTCCAGGCTAATCACGAAGATCTTGCCCGCTGGGAAGTTCGCACCAATGGAAAGCCGCTTGTTGAGGTTTTTAAAATACAAAAATTTAGGTTTAGCTAGATTCTAGTGTCTAGATTAAAATTAAGAACAGATCACAGTTACAATAAAAGATTTTCAGGCTCGCATCGACATTGACTACTCGGCTGACACTCTTGAGTATTATGGTGGTATTGCTGCCGCTGTTTTAAAGGGTCAGTGTTCAATTGAGAAGCAAGATTCTAGGATTTGAGATGGAAAGCCGGATTGTTACTTCGAAAAGAATATTCTTATCGTTTTCAGGAGACTACCTCGAGATTCCCGGTGGTGGAACGAGCCGATTCGCTTACACTCGCCGTGAGCCTCTTGGGGTGATCGGATGCATTGGAGCCTGGAACTACCCATTGCTCACCTGTGTCTGGAAGGTAGCTAATTCTTGGCTATCTTATCTATTTAATTCTTATCTATCAAAGTCTAGGTTGGACCGGCTCTTGCTGCTGGAAACGCAGTTGTTTACAAGCCATCGCCATTCGCTCCCGCTTCACCTGTCCTCCTTGGAGAGATCCTCACCGCTGCCGGACTCGCTGATGGACTTTACAGTGTTGTTCAGGTAAAAATGAGAACTAATACTGTGTTTATTATAAGCTTCAGATATTGGAATAGCTTTAGATATTGAACTAGCTTCAGATATTAGACTAGCTTCAGATATTGAACTAGCTTTAGATATTGAACTAGCTTCAGATAATAGACTCCTATTCTAACAGCAAACCAAACACTTCTGTACTTCAAGTACAGCTAGGACTTCTAGTACAAGACCAGGGCCAAGTGCAATGTACTTATTGTTAGTACAAGACCAGGGCCAAGTACAATGTACTTATTGTTAGTACCCTAGTCTAGTACCAAATTCTAATGTTACCTTTGAATTCTGTGTAATTGAATCTCAAAATTTCTAGGGAGAAGCCGAGACTGGAGAAGCTCTCTGCACAAACGCCGGAGTCAACAAGCTCTCCTTCACCGGATCCGTCAACACCGGTCTTGCCGTTCAAAAAGCCGCTGCTGAAAACACCTTAAAGCCTGTAAGTTGAGCTTAATAAATAACAAATCAATCTTCAAGCATCTTCAAAGCATTTCCCTCTTTTAGTGCACTCTTGAGCTCGGTGGAAAGAGTGAGATCATCATCTTTGACGATGCTGATCTCAACAATGCTGTCAATTGCGCAATGATGGCCAATTTCTTCAATCAAGGTTTGTGAATTTAAAGAAAAACAATAGTAAACTTAGGAAATATTCAATTTTAATCTAAAATCCAAACAAATTTCAGGACAAGTCTGCACAAACGCCACGAGAGTTTTCGTTCAACGCGGAATCCTCGAGAAGTTCACTCAAGAGCTTCTTAAAGTAAAAAAAAACAAAAATGCGTTAAAAGAATAGCTAACAATTGATATTTTAGGCTTGTGACGAGAAATTGAAAGTTGGAGATCCATTGAATGAGGAGACTCGAGTTGGAGCCAATATTAACGAATTTCATATGAATAAGATTCTTGGTTTCATCGAAAGTGCTAAACAAGAGGTAGTAAAGCTACAGAATAAACCTGAAGACAAGATTTAGGGAGGACAAGTGCTTCGTGGAGGAGTCCAAGTTCACCCAGAAGGAGTCGAGAACGGATACTACATTGACCCAGCCATTGTTACTGGACTTGGTGATGATGCAAAGGTTGTTCGGTAAGTTAACTGTGTACCTGGTTTTGGATTTGAATGTATTCAATCTATTTTGGCTCAATATATCAATAATCTTGTAGTGAAGAGATCTTTGGAGCTTGTCTCGTCATTCTTCCATTCGACACTGAAGAGGAGGCGGTCACTCGCGGAAACAACACCACTTTTGGATTAGCTGCTGGAGTTGTGACTAGGTATTGTATTGGGTTGTCCAGTTATGAATGCGCGTTTTATCAGCGAGTAGTAAAATTCGATGACTCGATCAGCTTGATCACTCGTACAATCGCGTAGTCTAGCTCCTTTTTAGAAAATCATTGATTCTCAGCCTCTAGAACTTTCCCAACTACACTTTTAGTATCAAAAAATACTAGCTTTCAAGAGCTATCATTTGACACCCAAGCGCACACTGTAGCTTAAAGCAGCACGGAGAATGGGGCGTTCGAAGTTAGACTACGCAATTGTACGCCAATCATTATGGAGTAGCGTTCTATTAGAGTATTTACGATAGGCAAAGTAACTTGAAATGTAACTTTTGCCAGGCAAAGTAACTTGAAAAAATAGAAATCAATGAAGTTTTAATAATTTAATGATTACTCTATAGCAAGTTTGGGGTTTATTTTTGCGGATTTTTGCGCATCACTAAAATAAGCTCTGGGAGTAAACAATATACAGTCGACTCTCTCTATAACGGAATGAAAGAGACTAAAAAGTTTCTCTGTTATATAGAGTGCTGTTATATCTAGCTTAGCGTCGGCCGGGACCAAATTTCCATTCCGTTATATAGAGTTTTCCTATATATATTTTGTTGTCCAGTTACAAATGCGCGTTTTTTATTATTTTGTAAATTTCTCAAGATATCGAACAGATTTATATGAGTGTTATATATCATTCGAAAGCTGAAGATCTTCTCTACATTTTGGAATCAAAAAGCTTTTGGATTCATTCAACTTTTTGGGAAATTGACAGAAGAAGAGGTGGCCAAAAAATAGAAGGGCGCCTTTGGAACTAGTTTTGGCTCCGCTCAAATTGAGTTAACCGTTTGATTTTTGGTCAATAGATATATCAATACAAGTGCTTTTAAAATATAACAATTTCAGAGCATCTTTAACTTTTCTTTTCTGGGCGGTTATTTTACACCATAAAACTTGAGGAATAGCTAAGCTGGAATGGGTTTTTTTTCGAAAACGACCTCTCCCTTTGTGCAATCAATTTCCCAAAAAGTTGAATGAATCCAAAAGCTTTTTTTATTCCAAAATGTAGAGGAGATCTTCAGCTTTCGAATGATATATAACACTCATATACATCTGTTCGATATCTTGAGAAATTTACAAAATAGTCACAGGCACGCATAACTGGACAACCCAATATTTTGAAACTTGAATTGTCTAATAGCTACGTCTAATTTTTATCTCAAAAGTTTCTTTATAACAATTCCGTTTAGCGATCTTGCTCGTGCTCATCGAATTGCTGCTCAACTCGAGGCTGGATCTGTCTTCATCAACACCTACAATGATTGTGAGGTAAAATATTGGATTCAAGATAGATTCAAGATAGATTCAAGATAAAGTTTAAGTTGCAATTTCTGCTTTACTCTAAGTTCTGCTATAGACTTCTAACTCTTGAAAACCAAACTCTCAGGTGAACGTTGACTTCGGTGGTTTCAAGAACTCGGGACATGGACGAGAGAATTGCATCGATGCTCTCAAAGCTCACACTCAAACCAAGGCCATCTACGTGAATCTCGATGCCTCAGCTACTTCTTATTAACTTCTTGATTAGCTTTTGAAATAAATATTCTTAAATCTAAACAAAGAGTTACACTTTAGACACAAATGGTACTTTATGAATGAATTAGCTTTATGAACGATTAGCTTTCCTTTGTTTGACCGTTTTTTGTGATTTCATCGATCACTTTATCCAACTGTATAGTGTACGGAGATGCTGTAACACTCGTACTTTCAGGCAGCAATTCCCATAAACAACTCCCTCAATATCCCACGAAATGCATAACATTATCTTCTGGTGGAGTTCTAGCTTCGACAAGTTTTGTTTTTTACCCAGGTCCAACCCAATGCTTGTTTCTTCGATAGTTGATTATAAAATTCCCCTTTTTATCATCAGTAAGAACATGTGGAATAAAAGAATATCGGTTGTATCTTGAAAGAGGGACGATTGAGTGATTGAGATTGAGAGATTGAGAGACGCTGCTATCTCATCACATCAGTCAGAGTATGAGAAACCCACGGCTCAAATTTAGAGACATAACCTATTGGTGACTTTGAATTGTTGTATGAAAAATCCCAAGCTGTTCTCCCAGATCCCTAGTTAATTGTTTGTTATCGATTTGTAAAAGTTTGACAAAAGCTGTTTCATCGAATTTCTTTTGTTTACAACCCAAATCATCTTTTAGAAAAGTCAAAGTGTCAAAGCGTCAAAGTCAAGGTGTCAGTGTCAAAGCATTGACACCAGAAGTTCATGTGTCCAATTTCAATCTTTGCATCCGTCCCTCACTTTCCCAAATGATTACGCCGAATTGTCATCAAGGTTTGCGGATTACATCAAAGGATTACGATGAATTCACTAGTGTTAAGTACAGCGAAAGTAACTGGATAGACAAATTGGATCATTTCATTTCCAGTCAATTCCAGTGAAGGAAAATTTAAGTACTATTTCGAGAATACTGGAGAATCGAAGAAATGAACAAATGAACAAATGAACAAACAAAAAAACGAACAAATATCTTAACTTGTTTCTAAATAAAATCCTTTTTTTGATCAATTTTCAATTCTTCAAATAAAAGCACTCAAAACACTCCTCTCAAAATGAACTCTAAATGCTTTTTCATTCCATTTCGCTGACCATTATTTTTGGATTACTTCAAAATGCCAATTCGGGAATCTACGAGATCTGTTTCATTTCCAAATTCAGCTCTGAAAGTTAAATTTCTCTAATATTGACAATGTATCATTATGATGCAGAAAGAAATGGAAATGAGCATACTTGTGTAAATTTTTATCATCAAGAAAGCTGATTTCTGACATTTCTGACTGATTTCTGACTGATTTCTGACTGATTGAAGACTTTTTAACTGAGCAAATCAACGTTTAATGCAGGATTTTCGTTTAAAATTAAATATTTAAGGATTTAAAAGATATTCAACTTTATAGTTAAATACTTGAACGACCTAAGCGGTCTGAGGAAACGTTCTGAGCTCGAAGTTTAGAATCGTTATTGAACTGTAGAATCGATTGATTCTATTGAACCTTATAGAATCAATCATGCTGATCAAAATGAATTAAAAATTAGCTTCCAACAACCACGCAAATGCGAGATATTTGATATTAAAGTTTAATTTCGTTAAAAGGCTATTTAAAAAGCTAAAGCAAATATAACCTGGCAGCCGAATGGATAAGAACATAGTATAGTGATGTATATTTATATGTAGAATACCTAAGCCTAAGCCATAGGCGAATATGATTTATCTTTTGCCTAGGTTCGATTCTCACTAAGACATTTCTTTTACTTTTCATGCTTTTTGAGTACTTCCAGCTCAGAACGTTTCCAAGTGTATTTAGTGGAGTGAAACTTGGCAGTATCTTTTACAAGCTTTTATTAAGGGAACTAGCGCCCGGAATTACGATCATCGCTGCCTAAAAGTGAGTCATCTTTTTATATAAAATATTACCGTAATCCTATTTGTAAGTTATACTTTAAATACTTTAGATAGATTTAGGTTTAGACTCAGATTCTTAAGACTCAGATTCTTAAGACTCTGAAGATTCTTTAGAGCCATATTCTTAAGCCTCTGAAGATTCTTTAGACTCAGATTCTTAAGACTCTGAAGATTCTTAAAACTCATATTCTTAAGCCTCTTAAGATTCTTTAGACTCAGATTCTTAAGACTCTTAAGGTTCTTTAGACTCAGATTCTTAAGACTCTTAAGATTCTTTAGACTAATATTCATAAGCCTCTAAAGATTCTTTAGACACATACTCTTAAGCCTCTGAAGATTCTTTAGACACATATTCTTAAGACTCCTAAGATTCTTTAGACTCAGATTCTTAAGATAGACTTCAGATCACTTTTATCATTTTGCTTTCTATCTGGGAAACCGCCGCGATTTTCTCCGCCAGCTTCCACATTTTTCAAATCTTTTTGCTCATTGCTGAGTGAGTAAAAGAAGATTTAAAGCTAGAAAACTTTACTTAACTTTAGTAAGAAGGATATTACACCGAAAGTTGATGAAAGCTTTGTTCTCTTGGCAATCATTGAATGCATTGCCGAACTTATAATCACTTTATTCTGGATTGGATCTGTTACATTGACTCTTTATGGACTTTTCTCTAAAAACTTTGCAAAACTCGATATTGGTGTGAAATTGATGGTAATCTTTGAGCTTTAAACTGAACAAAATCCTTTAGATTACTTCTGTTATTCTCTTTTTTGATCGTTGGCGCTACTTTCGCGGTCATTTTCAAAAATTATCCATATCTAATTGGGATCACAGGTTTGCTTGAATTGAATTTGCTGCTAAATTGAATGCTTTAATTTGCTTGAAATCAAATAAGCTTACTGTAAAGTCATATCTCATTAAAGTATGCTGGAAGAAACAAACAACATTCAATACTGTAGTCAAATCCTCAAATTTGATTTTGTTTTGCTTGAAATAGAGCTTAAAAACTGGTGCTGTTGCTAGCTAGCTTTATCAAACTAGCTTTATCAATTCTATGCTTAAAAATTGATTATTTGTTTGTTCCAGTTGGCTACTCGATTCTTCTTCTTCTCGTTATAATGCTCGGCAAAAAGAATCTTGAAGCTATGCATCGTTGCGAGATTTGCTATTGATCAATGGCTCAAATAGGCATAAAACAATAATCAGTTCACATTTTATCAACAACAATAAACTTTTAATTTGATTTTATCAACTTACCCACGTTTTGCACGCTCATTTACCTATCGTAAATACTGTAATAGTACTATAATAGTAATAGTAACCTTCTGTTTATACCGTCTCACCCAGTTTCTGCATCAAATATTCGTTTAAAAGACTCATAAAAAGTTTGGTTACTTTTCAGTATCACTAGGAAATGATTGGGTTGCGGAGAATGAAATCGTGCCGAACTTTAAAGACACTTTTTGCACGCATAAAGCCTTCTTTAAATATAGGTTTTGTTTCATCAAAAGGATTCAATATTTCTCTACAAAATGGAAGTTTGAAAGATTCCACAAAGCTTTTCTTTTGTTGAGTTTAAGGACTTTCAAAGACACAGCTAGATGGTAAAGTGGTAAAGTGTTCGACTCATCATTTGAACAGTTTCTTCCAAATAAACCTTCTTTGGTGTATAAATAAAAAAGGAAAGAGCACACTCAATTACATACCGTAAATACTGTAATAGTACCCCACCGCCCTCGTACAGTCGCGTAGTCGTTTTTCAGTATTTCACTTTTTTTCAAAGCGCTCGCACTTTCAAAAAATGCGTTTTTTGGTATCAAAAAATAGCCCTGAATTTCAGCTATTTTTTGATACCTAAGCGAGCATTTTAGCATAAACCAGTGTCGAGAAAAACTCGTTTAAAGTTAGACTACGCAACACTCCGCACCGTCATTATGGGGGTGCGGTACTATTACAGTATTTACGGTATGTAATGCTGTGTCAAAAATAAGACAGTATTTATCATCTTCTCAAACTTTTCACATCATTTTCTGTCAACTATAAAACAGCAGACCGAATTCTTGAAACAGAAAAACACGTTCGGCAAAGAAAGTCTACTTATTATCCACTTAAATACACTGCAGATTTGCACAACTTCCCGATTCTAAATTAAATTTGTTTGAATTTTTTCACCTGTATCGCCACAAACCTCAAAAGCAAAATGTTTTTACAAATAATTTTTGATATCCGCTCACTAAAATCACCAAAACTTGAGTGCTTTTCTGCAAATCTTAACTGTTTTTCTTCTACCGCTTTCAAAAGCACTTCCTTGTAAACACCTGTTTCAAATAGAAAAGGAAAGAATTGAATTTTTAGATTTTTACAACTCAAATCTTAATGAATGTACTCTTTATTGATTTCCATCACATTTGAATGTTCTATCTTGACTCATTTGAATGTCTCATTGTTTCCGGGTTATATTTTCTGATTGCATTCATTGATACAGGTTTAATTTGATGATATTGGGTTGGTGAATTGAAAACTACCGGACTTTGAACTAAAATTTATTCAACACAAAACCATCAGTTGATTTCAAAGAATTTCCATTATTATTGATGACTTCTGCCCATTTTACAGACAATTTGCGGATTCCTCTTTCATAGTAGGATTTTGGTTTGAATCGAAAAACTTTCAAAGCCAATTTTTGACTGCTTCTTCCGAATCGAAGTGTTCTCTCGCAACCTCATCATCCGGAATAAATAGTAATCAAAAGGCGCAAGGTCCGGACTGTATGGGGAATGCGCCAAAAGTTCCCAAACAAGGCTATTTATTTTAGAGCCAGTCAGTTTTGCAAAATGAGTGCGTTGTCGTGGATGAGAACGATCTTTGACTTGGAGTGCCTATTCTTCTTCGGGGATTTATTCACCTTTCCCAACTGTTCACTGTATTTGATTGCATTAACGTTCGTCATTAACGGCATTAACGGCCCATTTTACAGGCAATTTGCGGATTCCTCTTTCGTAGTAGGATTTTGGTTTGTGTGTGAGACAAGTGTGAGACTCAAAAATCGAGGACTGGAGATGTTCCAGTTTGAGCACTTTCTTCAAAAGAAACTCATTTGGGTGTCAATAGAAAAGTTGTAGAGAATCAAAAATTAGGCTTATAGCCAAAGTTCCAAAAAGATACACTTAGTAGTTTCGCTTAAAATGCAAGTTTTGTGAAAATTCGTAAATTTCGCATTTTTTGTTTTGTTTTTGAATCGTTCTGAAAGTTTGGAAATAAGCTTGATTTTTGATTCTCTACAGCTTTTCCATTGACACCAAAATAAGTTTCTTTTGAAGAAAGTGCTCAAACTTTCACATATGACAATAGCCGGCAATTTTCAATTCACCAATCCAATAGTTTAAAGTAAAAGATAATATAACAAAGCCAGATGGTTACTGTAAGAAAACTGTAGCTGGGGAAAGCTGTATACTGTAACTAGAGTGTTGTTGTAACGAGTTTTGTAACTGAATACTATAACTGTGAGTGTTTAGTAGCTGTTGGTTTGACTTGCTTCTTAATTCTACGATTCTCGACACCGGCGATGAAATTTTATAAATGGGCAGTGATGAACACTGTGGTGAGTGTTTTTTTAGTCCTTGTTGGCATTAGTTTCCATTTTCTTCATTTTACCATTTACTGTAAGTACTTAGAGCTCAGCTTAACCTCGAATTATGTTCAGGTGACGGGCTATATCTGTGATCTAACCGCTTCAATCGTGGCTCCAATCCTCATCGATCAATATATTGGTTACTATGTCTGTTCCCCACTTCCCTTCCATCCACTTGTTTTTCATTGCATTGGTGTAAGCTAACAAGAAACCTAGAGCTAGCGGTGGAATCTCGATAAGCTATCTAGCTATCTTGTAGAGCTTGGAAAGACGAGTTGAATGATGAAAAAATTAGCTGTTTATGAGCATTATAGCCACTAAAACTAGTTTACAAGCTTTTTTGTTTTGATAGTTATAGTTTTTTGAATCTTGGAAAAAGCAAAAAACTCCGATGGGAGTCGAACCTGCCACCCTCCCCTCGGGAAACCACTGCACTACCCACTAGGCCACCAAGCGATCCGTGGAAGGGCTTTGAAAACGTGTTAAGACATTCAAAGCTACAACAGTTAGCAGTTTTTCTTTACTAAAAAGTATTGAAAAGAGGTTTTGAGATTTGAAACAATTTTAGCCATTTGTTCCATTGTTATTTCTTTGCCATTTGTTTAATTTCAAGTTTAGACTACATATTTTGTTTTCATTTGTTATAAATTCTATGCACTAGGGTTGACGGTTTACTTTCGACTTCTTATCAGCCTTAACTTTGACTGGGTGAGAGCTTGGCAGACTTTTTCAACATGTTTTTGAAACAAATGGGTTCTTATCTAGCTTATCTAGCTTTATAGATCTTTATAGATCCGGCATTTTGAGAAAGCGGGTAAATTTTGCTTTCCAATCATCTATAGCACTGGTCCGATGGTATTCACGGCGTTAACGATTGACTATTTCAATGATATTAAAGAAACAACTAATCATTATGTGAGTTTTAGTCATCAATAAGGCTTAATTAATTCATATTTTTTAGATAGAAATCGACAATAACTTGGCTTCTTTGAGGGGGAAAAATGAAACAATAAAATTTATCTATGAAACAAATCTTTTTCTATGGGTATAGTTTATTGTCATTTCCAGGGATATTCGCTAAGATTGAAAGCCAGTTTAGACAAAGCCAGGCAGGCCAAGCAAGCCAAGCAAAACTGAAAAAGGCATGGTCAGGATAAGTCCAGCTCTGACTTTCACAGTAAAGTCAGATTGGACTGGCAGTACAGCCAGGCTAAACCAGGCTTAAAGTCAGTACTTGGCTTCTGGATTAGCCCACAAGCTTCTGGATTAGCCCACAAGCTTCTAGATTAGCCCACGAGCTTCTGGATTAGCCCACAAGCTTCTGGATTAGCCCACGAGCTTCTGGATTAGCCCACAAGCTTCTGGATTAGCCCACAAGCTTCTGGATTAGCCCACAAGCTTCTAGATTAGCCCACGAGCTTCTGGATTAGCCCACAAGCTTCTGGATTAGCCCACGAGCTTCTGGATTAGCCCACAAGCTTCTGGATTAGCCCACAAGCTTCTGGATTAGCCCACAAGCTTCTGGATTAGCCCACAGGCTTCTGGATTAGCCCACAAGCTTCTGGATTAGCCCACAAGCTTCTGGATTAGCCCACAAGCTTCTGGATTAGCCCACAAGCCTCTGGATTAGCCCACAAGTCTTGAATACTTACACAAATCTCAACTTTCACTAAATTCCTTTTCTTCAGATATCCCTCATCAAACTGGGCGCCGATGCGTGGCTCGGAATCCCTTTTGTCCTGGTAACGCTCATGTTTGCCTCATTCAAATCAATCAACGGTCACAATTGGCTTTTGTCATGGATGTCTGGAGTAATCGGAAAGAGATTAACAACATTGGCTCAAGCATTACTTCCTTCGCTTCAACGTAATTCAACTCAAAGCCACGTCTCACCACAAACCATTCAAATGCAGAAGCAATTGTTTACGGTTATGGTTGGACAGGTTAGTTGTTGAAAACAAAATATCTGCCTATTTGATCTGGATTACAGCTTGCAGGACAGGTTTTGTTTTCTTTAGGTTCTTGTATTCTGTATCATAATCGGCACTCCATGGTTTTCCTATACAACGGGATTTTTGTTCTCTCGAGCTTTTCAAATCCAATTTTCTGCAGCGCAATTCTTTCCGTTTCTAAATGCATGTACGGTAAATCGATATCTTACTGATTAACATGAATATTGTAAATTTTGTCTAGACAATTTCTGTCTTTCGGTCTAGAATTTCTGCCTTTCTGTCTAGAATGTCTAGAAAATCTGTCTAGAGGTCGGTTTGTTCGCTTTTTACAAAAAATCACCCAACTTCTTAATAAAACTAATGTCAGATTCGGAAAGAGCACCCAAAATTACATTCTCTTGCAAATTTTGAGCTCATTTGCGCTAGCCATTCACGAAAAGCAGCCGATTCAAGCCAGCCATTGAAGAACTGTTTCAGTTGCTGGACTGGCGCCACTTTTTGGCTGTTATCACTCGATTTTGAATTCAGCAATTATCATTATTGCGACGAAAGTGAGCTTTTTCTGAACTCTTTGCGTTTATCAACTGTTTTAAAGCAACTTTAGCCCTATCGACAAGCATTACTGAAACTTTTTGGTCTTTCCAAGCATCAATTCGTCGCCGTTCGACCCTCGCGGAGCATTTGCATTCTGGAATTGAGCGATTGTCACAACGGGAGCCAAGTTCATTAATTCGTTGAACCAAAAATCAAGTTCAAGAGCTTTGTTTCCAATTCTTATGTCCAATTCCAATTCCAATTTTATTTCCTCATAAAGCCATTAATCAAACGACAAAGATGACAACAGAATTTTTCCGATTTTCACAAAAGAAATTTCAATTTCACCTGCAAATAATCTAAAAAAAGAAATGAATACTCATTTCATAGAATTTGATTAAAACTCAATCTTAATTAAGCTTTTTATCATTGATTATCTTGTAACAGAATACCGAAAATCGTTCTCAAGTCCAGTTTGATTATTTTAACAGACTAGAACCTAATTCTAAACTAATTATGTTCTATCTGGGACCAAATGAACGAATTTTCGTGACATGGTTGTATCTAACAATCGGAATCCTTGATACAAGTATGTTTACACGATTTTAGTCACACAAAAAAACTTTTTAGTCTTCGTCTTTGCCTCTTGTTGGATCATGTACAAACACTCGACCGAATCGATGAAAGTTTATCGATGGGTGATGCTGAATTCGGTGGTGAGTTGAATGAAACTTTAAAAAATATATTTGTATCACATTATTCAAACGAATAATGTGATACAAATAAGACACAAGCACAACACTTCTAAGTCCTAAATATAGGGAAGAAAAAAAAGCTACATAATGGGAAAAGAAGCAATAATCTATGCTGGATTGAAACTTTGACCCGACTAAGATACAGGGCTCTTAGCCAGTCGGCTAGCGGCAATCGGCCAGTCGGTTAGCGGTAATCGGCCAGTCGGCCAGCGGCAATCGGCCAGATTCTTCTTCGACGCTTCTTTGACGCTTCTTCGACTCTTCTTCGACGCTTCTTCGGTTCTTCCTCGGCTCTTCTTCGGCTCTTCTTCGACGCTTCTTCGACTCTTCCTTGGCTCTTCTTCGACGCTTCTTCGACGCTTCTTCGACGCTTCTTCGACTCTTCCTCGGCTCTTCCTCGGCTCTTCTTCGACTCTTCGCTTTTCGACTAAGTAGAATCCTAGACTTTTGACTTTTATCTTGTAATCTTTCATTTACCAGCAACAATTTATCAACAACAGCAAAACTTTCCAATGACTGTTTAGCACTAGGTGCAGCAGAGCTTCATACCAACACAATGCTGTTTTTTCATTAGATATGACAGATAATCTAAGAATCAAAGTTAGAGATTCAGAGTTCTAAAGCACACTCTTGACTTTATTCAATTGTCTTGTTAGTTGAAGTTATGTCTGCAAGCGTACCAAAGAATAGATGAAATGATTTTGTGGCATTTGAATGCATCTTTTTCTCAGAATCAAACTTAGAACTCGACTAATAGAAGTATAAAATAAAATCCAAAAGTCCAGGATTCTACTCAAGAGATTCAGATAACCGGCTACATTTCCGATGTCACCGCCTCGATTTTTGCTCCAATTTTTATTGATCAATATGCCGGTTACTACTCGGCTTCATTTATCCAATTTGCGCCATTTCTTCAGCACTTGATAGCTGTGAGTTTTGCCAGAGTTGCCAGAGTTGTCAGAGTTTGTCAGAGTTGTCAGAGTTTGTCAGAGTTTGTCAGAGTTTGTCAGAGTTGTCAGAGTTTGTCAGAGTTTGTCAGAGTTTGTCAGAGTTGTCAGAGTTTGTCAGAGTTTGTCAGAGTTTGTCTGTGAGTTGAAATTCTGCATTACTTGACACTGAGCAATTATCTTGTATACGGATTGGGTTTTTTTAGTGTATCTACATGATTTTCGTGCATTACAATTACGTGGCCATCTCATTGACATATTACTTCCGTCTTCGAATCAATTTAAACTATGAAACGGTGAGAATTTGACTCAGTTTAAACTCAGTTTTAAGTTGACAATTTCCACGCTCACATTCTGTACCGCAGCTGTACCAAAAGCTATTGTTCAACGTGAACAACTTATAAAAGCTTGATTTGAGAATGGCAGTAGAGTTTGTTGATAGTAATATACAATACCGAGCAAAAATCTTGCAACATTCTACAGAAACATTAAAAATTGAGATTCAATCGGTCCACCTTTTGCCAAAATCACTTTATTAAGTCGTTTAGGCATTGAGTCGACTAATTCGTGAAGAATTGCTGGTCGAATTGAGCTCTAAACTTATCGCATGTAGAACCATAATTCAATTTTTGTGTAGAAGTTTTTTCCTCGTAACTTTGTCTTCACGTAGGCCCATAAATTCTCAATAACGTTTAAATGAGGCGACATAGGGGGCACATTGATCAATAAAAAACTATTAAGAGTAAGCCATCCAGGGAGATGAGCTTTTCCTCCATTTGAGAGATTCACCGTGCGACCCATCATCAGCTTGCTCTTGTGAAACGGCGAATTGTTCTGGTAGAGAAACCATCCAGGAGTCATGTGATCCTGAGCAAATGGAAGTAGACACTCTTCTAGTATTCCCATATACTGGCGAACATTCATGGTTGACTGGACGAGGACGAGCGGACCTGCCACACTTTTTGCCATCGCTCCTAGAAAAATACAAATTAATGCATGTATTATTAGGTGTGTGAAAAAGTAATCCAAATTTTTTACGTTTAAATATAAAAGACCATAAGTTTCGTTAAAATAATTTTTATTCAACGAAGTCATCACCATTCGAAAGAACAACCTTTTGCCAACGTTCTACAAGTAAAGACATTCCACGATAATAAAAATCTTGGTCCTTAGAGGCGAAGAAAAGATCAACCTCGGGTTTGACATCTTCTTCGGAATTGAACCGTTTATTGGCCAAAAAGTTAGACAGAGACAAAAATAAATAATAATCAAATGGAGAAAGGTCTGGACTATAAGGTGGATGTGGTAAAACCTCCCATCCAACACTCTGGATTTTTTGTCGAGTCTGTAAAGAGACATGTGGTCGCGCGTTATTGTTCATGCGGTATCCATTTGTCCAACTTTTTGATAAAATTCATGGCATTCAAGCGTTTCCTTACGGTTGACCCATCACAATTTAATGTAAGGCCTATTTCTGAAGAGGTTGAACGAGAGTTTTCGAGAAGACAGCGTCTTATTTGGTCATCAGATAGAAATAAAAAAACGTGGATTACTTTTTCACACACCTAATAGAAATAAGGCTTACCACAAAACACATGATTGATCCTTCGCCAGCTCACATTGTAGATTGCACATATTTAAGGAGTATTTGCTTTTCAATGGGTCGTTATGTTTCTCATAACGTTTTATGACATATTACTTCCGTCTTCGAATCAATTTAAACTATGAAACGGTGAGAATTTGACTCAGTTTAAACTCAGTTTTAAGTTGACAATTTCCACGCTCACATTTACAAATACAACTGTACCAAAAGCTATTGTTCAACGTGAACAGCTTATAAAAGAGAATGGCAGTAGAGTTTGCTGATAGTAATATATAAAATTGTTGGCTATAGTAAAATTGTTGGCTAATTCTTCTGGTACAACTTTTAGACTCGTCTCTCAAACAAGGCTGTCTCCATCGCTTACCCATTTCTCTACATGACTGGACCGGTGACTTTATGGGCGATGACAATGCTGTATTTTGAGGACATTAACGGAACAACTAATTCATATGTCTTAAAAAAGCATTAACTTTAAAGTATTGCTTGAATAGGTGAAAACTGACCCAAATCTAGCACCTCTACTTGTAAGAGATGCGCCACAAGCCTACATTTACTCGATGGAGAGACCATTTTTGTGGGTGAGTTTGGGAAATGGTTAATGTAGCTTCTTGGATCTGGATTCTTGGATCTTTACGATTCTTGGATTTTTACGGTTAACGGCAGGGGCAGCGATTATCGGCGGAGAGGGGGTCAATTTTTTGGCCAATTTGCATCTCATTTTAAAGCACCTTAAACTTGTTAGTTCAGGAAGTTTTAATAAGATTTAGATAGCTTAGAACGTTAGCTTTCAGAAACTATTTGTTTTATCAAAAGTTATTAAGATAAAGTTATATAAAATCGGATTACAAGTTAGTCAAAAACTTGGCCCTGGCTGATAATTGCTAATCGCTTAAAGGGGGGGGGGGCATAATCGCGGCCGGGTAACCATAAAAAATTTTTTACGGCAACCACCTGTTTTTTTATTTTAATATCGCTGATTTTATTCTAAAAAGAATAAAAATCACCCGGATAGAGCGATTTGATGGGTTTACAAATTTTTGGAGACGCTGCAAGGCTCGCGTAGTTCATCTATTGGGTTGGGGAGAATGAGTCGGCGCCGAAAATGAAAAAAATGTGTAAAACTTCTATTCGACTTCGTCAAATAATATGCGTTTGATATGAGTAGAATGGTTAACTAATTCTCTACAAAATCACATTTAAAAGAAAATTCAAACAGCGCCTCCGCTCAAGAAAAAGCCATTTTTTCACAAAAACTACAAACTGTGATCTAGAAAAAACCCATTGGTGGGATCTTCCTGCAAATTTGGCAACTTAAGTAATTGAATGTGCTCTATCTTTTTATATAAACACCAAAGAAGGTTTATGTGAAAGAAACTGTTCAAATGATGAGTCGGACTCTTTGCCATTTTAACCAGCTGCGTTTGGAAGTTCATAAACTCCACGAAAGAAAAGCTTTGTGGAATCTCTCAAAAGTGATTTTGTAGAGAAATAGTGGATCCTTTTGATGAAACCAAACGTATGTTTAAAGAAGGCTTTATGTGTGCAAAAAGTCCCTTTAAAGTTTGGCGCCGACTCATTCTCCTCAACCCAATACAAAGTAAGTGCGAAAGTAAAGCAAAAGTCAGGCATTATGTTTTCTTTAGACTTTCGATCTACACTTTTGGCTTTTAACATCTCAAGATGGAGATTTTATTTTTAGATAATGCAAAAGTTTATTAAGCTAATCTAGCTGATGGTCTTCTAAATACTCTTGTTTTTTCAAAAGCCAAGAAAACTGTTAGGAAACAAAAGAAAACCACAATCGAATGGAAAAAAAAAAAGATCTAATTGCGTCAATCAAAGCGCTGAAGATGGGGGAGATCCAGTCATTTATGCTGAGGATGCGCTGGAAATTGACTAAGATAGGAAGCCAATTTGAGAAACTACTGTACTTGAGCGAAGATGAAAGTGAGCAAGAGGAAGAATTATAGATTAACAACTTATTTTTATTGTTTTTTTTGTGCTTTTTATTTTGTTTTTAAATTTATCTGCAATTAAAAATCGATCGATCTAGACTGTGCTGAGGTATCTGATGAGTGACGATCTTGTTTTTTTCCAAGCCTTGCAGCGTCTCCAAAAATTTGTAAACCCATCAAATCACTCTAGCCGGGTGATTTTTATTCTTTTTATAATAAAATCAGCGATATTAAAATAAAAAAACAGGTGGTTGCCGTAAAAAATTTTTTATGGTTACCCGGCCGCGATTAATACCCCCCCCTCCCCCCCCACATCCGCGCGAAATGGTGTTCTCTATCAGAATTTCACGTTTGAATATCCAATCGACGCAGAAAATTGTGCTGAATCGAATGGTGAAGAAATTATCGAAATCCGTTTGACTCGATTTTTTAAAATCGCCTTTTATCGAAAAAACCGCACTTTTACAATGAACTCGCTCGCCGCGACCAACTTTCGGTGGCTCGTTCTCAGCGTGGCCGAAAGATTGCGCCCTTTTGTGTGGACGGGTGCAAAGATCATTTTGATACGAAAAAAATAAGAATTGATCAATTCTGCAAAGACTTGATGCCTTTTTGGTTAAATGGGTGAATCCGGGACACGCCCAAAATGCTATTTTTTTTGCTTTGTTTTATCTTCCTAAGCTTTGTTTTAGCTCCCTGAGCATGTAAAACTAAAATTTAGTTGCCGGGAAACGATTTATAAATCGTTTTCCGCTATTAACATGTGCCCAAAATTTTACTACCCACAACGCTTACAAACAACTAAGCCAGAATCAGTAACTGATTTGCTAATTAATTTTCTTTCTGTGCTAATGGCGCGGAAAAAATGGCGGATCCGAGACACGCCCAAAAGGTATTTTCTGCTTTGTTTTAACTTTAATAAACCTCCCTAAGCATGTAAAACTAAAAACACGCCCGAGATTGTCCGTACGTCACGTAGATTGTCCACGTTTTAGCGGGCAGAATGTCAAAAAACGTCATTTTCATCTTTAAAAGGCATCAAGTCTTTGCAGAGTTGATCAATTCTTATTTTTTTGGTATCAAAATGATCTTTGCACCCGTCCACACAAAAGTTATCGGTTTTGAGGGCGCAATCTTTCGGCCACGCTGAGAACGAGCCACCGAAAGTTGGTCGCGGCGAGCGAGTTCATTGTAAAAGTGCGGTTTTTTCGATAAAAGGCGATTTTAAAAAATCAAGTCAAACGGATTTCGATAATTTCTTCACCATTCAATTCAGCACAATTTTCTGTGTCGAATGGATATTCAAACGTGAAATTCTGATAGAGAACGTTTTTTTGCCTTATTTCGCGCGGATGTGCCCCCCCCCCTTTAATACAAAGCTTTCAGTTTTCACATCTATATTAATACCCAGATCCAGATTCTTTTAACTTTTAACTACTATTAATAGCTTTTATTGATAACTTTTAGATTCTTTTATTAAAAATGGCTGTTGATGCCTGGTCGGGGATCATTTTCTTCTCATTGACACTAATCAATGCTTCTGTTAGATCAATCACCGGACACAATTGGCTTAAAGAATGGTTTTGTGGAAAAGCTGGGAATCAGAGAAGTTAGTTTTGGGAAATGAAAAAAAAGAAAAGAAAAAGACAGACTTTAAGATGATACAGTAAGATTACGGTAATGTACTTGAACTGGAAGCTAAACCTTCACGTTCAGAAACCCAAATCTCACCTCAAGCTCAACAACTCCAACAACAACTCTTCACCGTAATGATCTGCCAAGTAAACCAACTATTTTATTTCAAATTCGAGTTCACGTTAAGCTAATCTTATTTTGTTTTACAATTGGATTGCCACTTCTTTCGTTTGTCTCTGGTTTCCTCTTGCATTTACTCAATTTCAAGTATTCTGCCGCGCAATTGTCCTGGATTTTAAACGCAAGTGGGTAAAAGATTTTGATATTATGATTATGAGAAAAATAAGTTGCAAAGCAATGACGCAAAAAATAAGTTCCAAAGCAATTGCATAGCAAGCAATAACGTTTATTTGAAAGTTTATGATTCAGTTTGCGGCCTCGCTCCACTATTCGGTTGTTATCACTCGGTTTTCAACACCTCAATTATCATTTATGTGACAAAGGCTAGTGGTAAAGAAAATGGTTTGATTTCAATGTTTTAGCCATATCGCCATTATCTATTGAAGAAGTTTGGGTACAAGTTTGGACAAAAGACTGTTTCGCTTGGAAACTCACAACACCACTCAAATCCCTCTTTTCACAGCAGTTCTGCTCAACGATTGAGCTAGTTCTGATAGCTAGATTGGATTGAGCTAGCTCTGATAGCTAGATTGAATTGAGCTAGCTCTGATAGCTAGATTGGATTGAGCTAGCTCTGATAGCTAGATTCGATTGAGCTAGTTCTGATAGCTAGATTGGATTGAGCTAGCTCTGATAGCTAGATTGGATTGAGGTAGCTCTGATAGCTAGATTGGATTGAGCTAGTTCTGATAGCTAGATTTGATTGAGCTAGTTCTGATAACTCTAATAATCATTTCTTTTGTAATATTTGAAGTAAATCTATGCTTTAAGCGCTGAGAATAGTTTTTTTCTTAAGCGTTAACATAGCATGGATCAAATTGATATAAAATTTTAGACGATTTTGACATTTTTCTTGTCTACACAAAATGATTTGTCCCATTTTTTTGTCTTATTTTTCTTGTATTTGATAAATTCAAGTGATACACTGAAAAGTGCTCAATCTAACCGAAGAATAGCTATCATTATACAAGCATCGCTTCAACAACCTTGAAGGAAAGCTTGTATATCAAAAAGCGTACTTGTTTCAAAATGATTTGAGAAATTTGATAACTTTAGATGTGTTTACTTAAGCTTTAATTGGTTAAAGTTAAAAATCCCGTAAAATCTATTTCGTTTCATAAAATGTGTCCAGTTTATGTCACAAAAAAACTTATCCAACAAGGAAACTCTACATTCAGTCAAAAGTACATTTTTATAACAGTAAAAAGTACAAAAGAAACTGTACAACAGTGCATTTTTTGCGATTATCTCGAGTGTGGTTGGATCAGAAGCTCGCAAAGAATAATGCCGCATACTTAATGCCAAAAAGCTCCATTACATTTCACACCTTTCACTTTTACTCAAATAGCTCCAGTACATTTCATTCCAATTGCAACATTTGACTGCATTCAGTCAAAAGTACATTTTTATAACAGTAAAAAGTACAGTAACAGTGCATTTTTTTTGCGATCATCTCGAGTTATCGAGGTGGGAGTTATCGAAAAGAGTTATGAAATCAAAAATCGCAGTTCTGTACTCATTTTAGTGTGAATTGGTAGTACCTGCTTAAATCCGGGCTCATTTTTGAAAGCTTATCAATGTTGCTCGTTTCAGCAAAAATCAACTTCAACTTCAGTAACTTTTTAGTTGGTTCCTGAGTTGGATCTGGAAGCTTCACATCTAGTGAGGTTGGATCAGAAGCTCGCAAAGGATAAGTATGCCAAAAAGCTCCATTACATTTATTGGGTTGGGGAGAATGAGTCGGCGCCGAAAATGAAAAAAATGTGTAAAACTTCTATTCGACTTCGTCAAATAATATGCGTTTGATATGAGTAGAATGGTTAACTAATTCTCTACAAAATCACATTTAAAAGAAAATTCAAACAGCGCCTCCGCTCAAGAAAAAGCCATTTTTTTCTGAGTTTTCGTCCAATTTCTGCGTATTTTTTTGAAGATTTTCTAGTTATTAAGCTAATTGTAAGTCTTTTCTATAATTTCTAATAAACTCATGACAAAATCCGCTAGACTATACAAGCTTCCATTTTAAGAATTTCCATTTTCTTCTCGAAAATCTTCTTAAGCAATCTGCAGAAAGTTTCCCCTTTTTCCTCTTGAAAATCCTCTTTCAAATGTCATCAATCTATTCTAATCTATTACTTCAACACTACCAGATTAGTTATAATTCTGAAAATAGTCTCAATTGGACTGTATATATTGGGTTGGGGAGAATGAGTCGGCGCCGAAAATGAAAAAAATGTGTAAAACTTCTATTCGACTTCGTCAAATAATATGCGTTTGATATGAGTAGAATGGTTAACTAATTCTCTACAAAATCACATTTAAAAGAAAATTCAAACAGCGCCTCCGCTCAAGAAAAAGCCATTTTTTTCTGAGTTTTCGTCCAATTTCTGCGTATTTTTTTGAAGATTTTCTAGTTATTAAGCTAATTGTAAGTCTTTTCTATAATTTCTAATAAACTCATGACAAAATCCGCTAGACTATACAAGCTTCCATTTTAAGAATTTCCATTTTCTTCTCGAAAATCTTCTTAAGCAATCTGCAGAAAGTTTCCCCTTTTTCCTCTTGAAAATCCTCTTTCAAATGTCATCAATCTATTCTAATCTATTACTTCAACACTACCAGATTAGTTATAATTCTGAAAATAGTCTCAATTGGACTGTATATATTGGGTTGGGGAGAATGAGTCGGCGCCGAAAATGAAAAAAATGTGTAAAACTTCTATTCGACTTCGTCAAATAATATGCGTTTGATATGAGTAGAATGGTTAACTAATTCTCTACAAAATCACATTTAAAAGAAAATTCAAACAGCGTCTCCGCTCAAGAAAAAGCCATTTTTTCACAAAAACTACAAACTGTGATCTAGAAAAAACCATTGGTGGGATCTTCCTGCAAATTTGGCAACTTAAGTAATTCAATGTGCTCTATCTTTTTTATATAAACACCAAAGAAGGTTTATGTGAAAGAAACTGTTCAAATGATGAGTCGGACTCTTTGCCATTTTAACCAGCTGCGTTTGGAAGTTCATAAACTCCACGAAAGAAAAGCTTTGTGGAATCTCTCAAAAGTGATTTTGTAGAGAAATAGTGGATCCTTTTGATGAAACCAAACGTATGTTTAAAGAAGGCTTTATGTGTGCAAAAAGTCCCTTTAAAGTTTGGCGCCGACTCATTCTCCCCAACCCAATAACTCTTTTCACTTTCACTCAAAAAGCTCCAGTACATTTCATTCCAGTAGCAAAATTCAACTGCATTACCGGTGAGAGTTATCGAAAAGAGTTATCAAATCAAAAATTGAGTTTTGTACTCATTTTACTGTGAATTGGTAGTAAACACTTGAATCCGGGCTTATTTTTAAAAGCTTATCAATATTCAGCAAAAATCAACTTCAACTTCAGTAACTGTTTTAGTTTGGTTCGTTGAGTTGGATCTGGAAGCTTCATTTCTAGAAATGATGTCCAATTTCAGAATTTTCCCTCAAAAGTTTATGTAGCTTTTTGAAAGCATTCAAATCCACCTTTTGTTGAAAATTTCCGTTTTCACTTTTATTTCTCTTTCCATTTCTCTTTCTCTTTCTCTTTCCCTTTCTCTTTCCCTTTCTCTTTCCCTTTCTCTTTCCTATCCGGCTTCATTTGTAGTCTGTATTTTGGGTTTTGAGAGACCAAAAAATGAAAGCCGTTTAATCAAAAAGAAATGTTTCGGTACTATTCAACAAGTGAAGAGCTCGAAGAAGCGCTTGTTGAGCTGAAAGAAATCCCACGATTAAAGCAATTTCATGGATCAATTCCCATCTATTTATCAAGATCAATTCCCAATTTGTCTCTTCATTTATTTTCTCTTAAAGAAGCTAACACAAAATATTGGATTGCCTTGAAGAGTTTTATGTGCCGGTGAGTTTTTTATTAACAATTAACTTCCACCAGTTTTTCTGTTGTTTAAATTATGTTAAATGTTTGATTTTTGAGTCAATTTTTCATTTATCTACTCCAAATTAGTACTTAAAAGCTTAAAAAAAGCCAAACAGAAGCTTCAGGTTGCCATTTGCAATCTGTTTACTTCATTCTACTGTTCAAAAAGTTTCCAATTTTCTCAAATTCTGAATTCTAAATGTGAATTTTTGAGTTTTAAGCGATCTCTTAGATCCGTAAAAATAAGTTTTATTGTATTAGGGTGGCGCAAAAGAAACTGCCGATTTGACGGTAAATTCAAAAAAAGATGGGGTTCGATGGTAGCATGATCACAATGGAATATTTTCGCAAGATCTCGAGCAGATTGGCATGGATCGGCCTGAATAATTGGCATGGATTGGCATGGATCTGCCTGAATAATTGGCATGGATTGGCATGGATCTGCCTGAATAATTGGCATGGATTGGCATGGATCGGCCGTCCCTCAGCTTGGCTTCGTTCACGACTTCTGGTCTCGAATCGTGCTCGTAATCTTCCAAAGTCTCGTCTCCCTCTCGGAATCGTTGAAACCAAGTCTGACACTGCCTGAGAGACGAACTTTCTCTACAAATATGATTCCTTTTCTCTACAAATATCTCCGAAAGCAGCACAGAAAGAACGATGCGATTCGGCAGCAGACTTTCCAATTTTGAAGTTAAACAGTAATGCTGCAGCATAAACTTTTGCTATCGTAGCACAAACTTTTGCTCGACCATGATCTAAATAAAAAATATAAGCATTTTTAAATAAAATAAACCATTTAAAGCATTTAAACAACCAAAAAATTCAAATGTCGGAATAAATAGCAAACAAATATGCGAACAAAACATAAAAAATAATGCCGTTAGCATCGTTCGTTTCTGATAAATGAGAGCTGATACCCATTGGCAGTTTCTTTTGCACCATCAGTTTTTTTCTTTTGCACCACTTCTTTTGCACCACCAGTTTCTTTCTTTTGCACCACTTCTTTTGCACCACAAAGCTTTCAGTTTTCACATCTATACAGCCGCTGATGGTTCAGTTGATCGAAAAGTGATCCGACGATTTGTTGTGCAAATGCTTTCAACGGGAAAAGGTTGGATTTAAGAATTCAATTTTAAGATTTAAGATTTAAGCTTTTAAATTTAAGCTTTTAAATATCAAGCTTTTATTCTAAAAAGCTTCCAGATTGACACTTTCTTTCAGGATTAAAAGAGCTATGCGAGAACAAAGATGGTATGATCTTTGGAGATCCGGATTCGACTGCTGAGGTTCATTTTTGTTTTTCTTTGCTTTGCTGAGGTAGCTTTTCCTAAGTTTTTCCAAAAATCGTAATCGAATCAATTTTTTTTTGTATTTCTAAGCGAATTCCCCAGGTTCTTTCAATTCTCGCTCAATTCGGCGTCCAGTGCAAAGCCACTCGACCAGTTTACATTTTTACCTATCCACCAATTGTCGATGCACCAATTTTTGATAATTTACCAGAAAAGTTAGTAATCAAGTTAGTAATATTATCAAAATCTCATTAGTTTTGAAATCGATCAAGTTCGGGAAAACGACATTGAAACATTGATCTCAATTTGGGCATTTACTGCACATGGAGCTGGTCTGCAAACAGAGTTCGTTGAGTTTAGCTGGTTTTTAGCAGCTTTTAGAGGTTTTTAGCTGTTTTTAGAGGATTTTAACTGTTTTTAGAGGTTTTAGCTGTTTTTATGCTCTATTTATCCTTGAATTCACCTGTTTTTATCAACTCTATTTCATCTTTTAGATTGTAACTTATTCAATTCTTGAAATATTCAATTAAGAGCTCAAGCAAAGTATCTTCCGACACGAGTCATTCGAACAAAAGACACGAAAAAGCTTGCTGCCTTTGCTCTTCTTGAGCACGATGGTTGGTTTTAAATCTTGAAATAAGCAAAATCCTCTAGTAACTATTAGATTGGTGAATTGAAAACTGCGGGCTATTGTCATATGTGACAGTTTGAGCACTTTCTTCAAAAGAAACCCACTTTGGTGTCAATGGAAAAGTTGTAGAGAATCAAAAATCAAGCTTATATCCAAATTTTCAGAACGATTCAAAAACTGGTTTTCAAGAAATGCCAAATTTACGAATTTTCACAAAACTTACATTTTAAGCGAAACTACTAAGTGTATCTTTTTGAAAATTTGGCTATAAACCTAATTTTTGATTCTCTACAACTTTTCTATTGACACCAAAATGGGTTTCTTTTGAAGAAAGTGCTCAAACTGGGACATCTCCAGTCCTCTATTTTTGAGGCTCACACTTGTCTCACACACAAACCAAAATCCTACTACGAAAGAGGAATCCGTAAATTGCCTGTAAAATGGGCCGTTAATGCCGTTAATGCCGTTAATGACGACCGTTAATGCAATCAAATACAGTGAACAGTTGGGAAAGGTGAATAAATCCCCGAAGAGGAATAGGCCCTCCAAGTCAAAGATCGTTCTCATTCACGACAACGCGCGCCCTCATGTTGCAAAACTGACTGGCTCTAAAATAAATGGCCTTGTTTGGGAACTTTTGGCGCATTCCCCATAAAGTCCGGACCTCGCCCCTTTTGATTACTATTTATTCCGGATCATGAGCTTGCAGGAGAACACTTCGATTCGGAAGAAGCAGTCAAAAATTGGCTTTGAAAGTTTTTCGATTCAAAACCAAAATCCTACTATGAAAGAGGAATCCGCAAATTGTCTGTAAAATGGGCAGAAGTCATCAATAATAATGGAAATTCTTTGAAATCAATTGATGGTTTTGTGTTGAATAAATTTTAGTTCAATGTCCCGCAGTTTTCAATTCACCAACCCAATAGAATGATAAAAGTTATCAAGAATTCAATCTAGGCATGATTGTTGGCCTCAACGTTTTGCCGGAGTTCAGAGGGTTAAAACTCAGGTAACATGCTTAATTCTTGATTTTTTTCAGATTCTAGATGAAAATTTCATCATTTAGAGACATTCTGATGAGCACACTTGCTTATGAAGCCCAGAAAACGTTCAACATTATACCGTTTTATTGTTGTGAACCGAATAACGCTGTGATGACGAAATGGGTGTCAAAAAAGCATAAAGTAGATCAAAAGCATCGTTACCAAAAACAAAAATTCAATTGTTTAAGATCTCTCAATTTTTAGAGCTTGAACGTTAATGGAAAACAAGCAATCATCTTGTTCTCAGTACTGAAAATTGATGAAGAAGCTGCCGAGAAATTAGGGAAATTTACATCCACTTAATGTTAGAATAAATCAATTTTGAAAAGAAGAAGCAAGCAAAGCTATAAATACATTTAAAAGTAGTGATCTGCTTTAAAAGTCGTGATTAAAACTGCACAAATGGAAGTGCAAGTTGGGAGGAGTTGAGCTAAGTCACCTCCACCCAACACCTCCTCATGGTCTAGCTTCTTTTTAGAAAATCATTGATTCTCAGCCTCTAGATCTTCCCAACTACACTTTTAATATCAAAAAATACTAGATTTCAAGAGCTATCATTTGACACCCAAGTGCACACTGTAGCTTAAAGCAGCTTGGAGAATGGGACGTTCAAAGTTAGGCTACGCAACAGCGCCGATCTCCTGAAAGCCAAATATGATAGTTTTGAAAGTAGTTTTGAATTCGCAAAGTAACATTTCAAATGCAGTAACTTTAATTCAAATTTCTAAAGGTTAAGATTTGCATAGAAATCAAATATTGTTAGATCTTAAACATCAGATTACAAAACTCTTAGTATCTCTTAGTATTAGTATCAAGTGTTCAATCCATTCAAGAGTTGATTGGTGAGTTGATCGATGTCATCGTGTCCGCCACGAGTCATCGTTCGTTGTCGGATCTCCTGAAAGCCAAATATGAGAGTTTGGAAAGTAGTTTTGAAGTCGCAAAGTAGCAAAGTAACAACGTAAGAAAGTAACAAAGTAACATTTCAAATGCAAGTAACAATTGCCAATGTGTATTGTAAGCACTTTATCAGTTAGCTTATTGCAAGTACTAAACGATCATTCGAAGCTTGTTTTGATCTTTGAAAAGTTCTACTTTAAGCCGTAACTGTAATGCGCAACTGTGAGTTGAAGATCATAGTTTTATTATTGGCGAGTAGTAAAACTCGATCAGCTTGATCATTCGATCAGCTTGACCACTCGATCAGCTTGATCACTCGATCAGCTTGATCACTCGTACAATCGCGTAGTCTAACTTCTTTTTAGAAAATCATTGATTCTCAGCCACTAGAACTTCCCCAACTACACTTTTAATATCAAAAAATACTAGATTTATGGGGATATCATTTGACACCCAAGCGCACACTGTAGCTTAAAGCAGCGCAAAGAATGGGGCGTTCAAAGTTAGGCCACGCAACTGTACGCCCATCATTATGGAATAGCGTTCTATTAGAGTATTTACGATCTTTATCAACAGTCAGGTTTTGTCTTTTTCAGCTCTCTAAGTCAACCAATTTTTGCAAAGTTGCGATCAAAAATCCAAAAATGCACAATCAATTTTCTGAAGCCTCTTTCAATCTCTAGCCAGTTAAATCCGCTTTTTCGCTCGAATATGCTCGAAATAATGGGGTTATTGGAAAAAAAGAAATACCGGGTCAAACTAAATTCGAAAACCATTCACATTACATTCCAAAATGATTGGATTAAATTGTTTGGGGTTAGAAATTCAAATCATTATCAGAATAAGGATCAATTTCTTTAAGATTTTCCAACTTTCAGAGTTTAAACGTCAACGAAAAACCAGTGATCACCCTTCTAAAAACTAAAGTCTTTTTTGCGGCTATTGATGCCAAAATTGGATTCTTTGTTTCAAACTTTATCCGAATTTGATCCGAATTAATACAATTTGTTTGTGATGTGATTTGAAAGTGTTCAAAACTGGTTTAGTGGTAGTAAATGATCTTGAAGAGGGGGGAAATGGGGGTAGGCTAATTTCTACATTTTTTTGCGCAACAGGGCCATTTGTGCAACGGGGTTCAATGAGTCAATCTTTATGATTTTGGCTTCATTTTGTAGATCTCAATAAATACAACAAAATGAAACCAAAATCATAAAGATTAGCCGACTTAGAAGAAAGTTATGGCGAGTTGCGGAAAGGACCTAGTTGCACAAATGGCCTTTTTGCGCAAATAGCCCAGCTGCGCAAATGGCCCAGCTGCGCGAACGACCCAGTTGCACAAATGGCCCTGTTGCGCAAAGCAAATGGCCGAAATTAGCTTACCTCAAAAAATGACAAAAATAAAGGCACAATCGCATTATAAAGGTACAATTACAGTAATTCGATTTAGATAAACAAAATAAACAAAAAAAAGGTCGCAATTTAGACAAACGGAATGTCACCTTTTAGCAAATGGCCCAGCTGGGCAAATGGCCTAGCTGCGCGAATGGCCTAGCTGCGCAAATGACCCAGCTGCGCAAATGGCCCAGCAACAATTTCAACATTTGAGTTGAAACAAAAATTTCAAATCAAAACACGATAATTCACAATCAGAGTTTTCTGAACGATGCTCTTTAAATCTCCAGCCAGATAATTGTCTCTTTCGTTCGAATAAGCTGAAAATAATGGGGTTATTAAAAAAAAAAGAACTATTGGGTGAAGCAAAAATCATTCACATTACATTCCAAAATGATTGGATCAAATCTGTTGGCCCTAATTTTTCTTGCAGTGCTGGTATTGACATTTGCGGCAAAATGCCCAACCGGATCCGTGGCTTTACCTGGACAAAACTATTGTGTTCAACTAGTGGCATCAAGTTGGTTTAAAAATAGTTTCAATTGTTGAAAAGAAACTAGAAAAAACTAGAAAACTAGTTAAACTACGTTGCAAAAGATTCTAGTGCTATAGGTTTAAAATTCTAACTTCAAGATCTGACCTGGAGTGCCGCTAAAACGAAATGTGCCTCTTTCAAAAACGGAAAAATGCTATTCTTGGCAAGTCCACAAGATGCGATTGCTCTTCGATCGATTTTCAACTACACAAGTGAATTTTTGTTTAAAAACGATCATTCTTTCTTTCCTTCTTTCTCTTGACAAGTTAAAGTACCGGATAGTTGAGTCTGGTTGAGTAGTTGAGCAGTTAGAGGAATTCCCTGGAAAGCAAAGGGGAAAGGTCGAGGGTCTAGAGATCAATTCCCTCTCCAGAAATCTTTTCTTGCTAATTCCTTCCTTCTTGTCGTTCTCTATAATGTGAAGGCCGATCCCGATAAAGGTCGATCAGAAATAAAGGTCGATCCCGATAAAGACCAATTCTTGACTTACCAGCTTTTAGATTGTTTTTTTATATTGTTTTTATGATTGTTTTTACATTGTTAGTTTTCTCTTATGGTTTAATTTTAAATTAACCCAACTCGGAAAGCTTGTTGAGCTGCCTGAATGAATTATTTTATTATAGAAATTTATTAGAAACAAAACTAATGCCTATATACACAAACTACCGTAATAATTCTAATAGAAGACCATGGTCTTCTAATTTTCAACCCCCCAAAATTGATCGGTCAAAAAAGTAGGTAAGGGTCCCCTACATAAATCAAAAAATTAAAAATAGTTAAAAACTATTTCAAACGATAGCCCTTGGCCCAAAACATGCCAAAAACATGTCTAAAAGTGAAATTATTTTCTTGCCCGGACTCCATAGAAAATCTTTCAAAAAAAATCCATGTGGGGGACCACATAAAATTTTTTCCAAAAAGTTATTTTTTAATTTTTTCAAAAACTACGTCTCCAATTTAACTGCCGGGGCTAAAATATTACTATCTGGACCGAAATCTATCATTCTACTTAAAAAGAAGTTTTAAAAAGTCCCGATTTCAAGGGGTTCAGGGGGTGGTCTTCTATTAGAGACTGGTCTTCTATTAGAATTATTACGGTAATCCAATTCCTTCCTCCCTGTCGTTCTCTATATTTTTTCATCAAAACCGGTTTAGTGGTAGAAAATGATCTTGAAGAGGGAGAAAATGGGGATAAGCTAATTTCCGCAATTTTTTTGCGCAACAGGGCCATTTGTGCAACAGGGTCCTTTGCGCAACTCACCATAACTTTCTTCTAAATGAGTCAATCTTTATGATTTTGGTTTATTTTGTGAATCTCAATAAGTGCAACAAAATGAAACCAAAATCATAAAGATTGGCTTACTTAGAAGAAAGTTAGGGCGAGTTATGGCGACATTTTTAGTTTTCTCTTATGGTTTAATTTTAAATTATAAGAGCCCAAGTCAAAAAGCTTGTTGAGCTACCTGAATCAATTATTTTATTATAGAAATTTATTAGAAACAAAACTAATGCCTATTCCAACTAATGCCAATATCCAATTCCTTTCTTTAATATCAATTTTAGAAAAAAAAGTCCCTCTGGCTTGGGTGGGAATTGTAGGAAAACCCAATGCCAATCAAGTCTGGTTAAATGGAACCGATTGCACGGCAAAACACTACGGTAGGGATTCTTGTTTTTAAAATGACTGGTTCATTTACATTTGTGCAATTTATGCAATTTATTCCACTTATAGCTCCTGATTTCATGGTTGGAACGGGCATCGTTCCCGAAAGCTACACTCAAGCTGTGGCTAATTGTGTCCAGAAGTATACGATCACGAATTGCTCGTAAGTTGATATCAAATATGTGCTAAAACATGGTTTCTAAAAAATGTCCACTTTTAAGAGCTACCGTACTCTTGCCTTTTCTATAAATCATAATCTTTTAACTCAAAATAATCTTAGAATGTGGATCGCTGTCGCGAAATGTTTTGTCGCTCCAATCAAAGCTCTTCCCAGTGGTACCGCTGATTTCAAAGCTTTCCAGCAATATATCCGTTACTATGTAAGTCTTTGAATTATGCTTTAACTTAAATTTATCTTTTAAATCTTTCCAGGCTTATTTCTACTCTGCAATCGCCAACGATGCTGCTTGTTTCAAAAGTGTCAAAGCCGCCTTCTTTCCAGATCCCCAGCCAACATGTAAGCTCAGAACTAGCCAAAAAAGCTTATCTGCTTAGCTTATCCGGCTATAATTTTAATGAAAAACCCCAATCTTAGTCTCACTCACTAAACCCTACGTTGGCAATGTGGTGAATTTGGTGTACGGCTCGGAATCGAATGCACCCGATCTATGGTTTGCCTCGCCGACCAAACAAGTTTCTGTGATTTGTCAAAGACCAAAAGTTTGAGTTGAAAGTTTTGTTGAGGTGAATTGTGAGGAGAATAAACAATGAACTATGCGCTTTTTTGGAAACTATACTACAATAAAGAAAACAGACAATGAATGGCACAAAAGAATACAAGCGAGAAATTCTAACGACTATATCCCAACTTTATATTACGAAGAAGAAAGAAACAAAATTGTTCAATTTAAGTCCAAAATTCTTTGCTGGCATCATCCCCAAGGCTTTCGTTTTTTCTAGATCCAAATCAATAGAATCTAACGAAGAAATTGAAGATGAATCCGAGACGTCAAAGTTTTCGTTGCTAAAAAGAGTTGCATTTGAGTGGTAATCCAAGTTTTATATTCTCATCCGGCCCACTTAAAACTCCATTAATTTGGGGTCCTGGAAACTTCCAGCGACGTCACAGGAAAATCCTTATCTCTCTAAATTTGGTTCGTCATTTCTCTAAATTTGGTTCCTTATCTCTACAAATTTGGTTCCTTTTTCTGCACCATCTTGCAGGAAATACACAATTTCTCAGTTTGCAATACGCTTAGAAATACGCAAGTTTGTGGAGTATCCATTGCAAGACGGCATTCTCGAGTTTGTACGATCGTAACCGACGTCCGACACAAGATAATTTCTTTGAATTCTTGTTTGCATAGATCAGGCTCGCTCCTTGCTTTCTCCATGCACGAATTTGGCACTCACTGATGTCAAATTGTCGTCCCGATTTCTTCTCGATTGTTGTTCTTCTTTGCATATCTGATTTCTTGAATTCTAGCTTGAAACACGCGTCGTAGCATTCCTGTTTCCGTCCGCTCAAATTCCTTTACGATCACTTATTGGCGTCACCTAAATTTAAAAAATTCCTAGATATGGGTTGTCCAGTTATGAATGCGCGTTTTTTTTACTATTTTGTAAATTTCTCAAGATACCGAAATCAAGAAAAAGATATATATGAGTATTATTCGAAAGCTGAAGATCTCCTCTACATTTTGATATAAAAAGTTTTTGAATTTGTTCAGCTTTTGGGCAAATTGACTGCACAGAAGAAGAGGTGGCCAAAAAATGGAAGGGCGCCTTTGGATCAAGTTTTGGCTCGGCTCAAATTGAGTTAACCGTTTGATGTTTGGCCAATAGATATATCAATACAACTTTTTTTCAATCTAACAATTTCAAAGCATCTTTAACTTTTCTTTTCTTTTCTGGGCGGTTGTTTTACACCATAAAACTTGAGGAATAGCTAAGTTTTTTTGAAAACGATCTTTGTGCTGTCAATTTCCCAAAAAGTTGAATAAATTCAAAAACGTTTTTATTCCAAAATGTAGAGGAGATCTTCAGCTTTCGAATGATATATAACACTCAAATAGTTTCAACGCTTTCAAAGTGGCAACGAAAGTCTCCAGGATGAGCCGCATGAGAGGCACCCTCCAGGAGTGACTGATGTGGATTTGATGGCAGAAATTGAAGAGGATCCAACACTCACTACACGAGAATTGGCAGAACACACGAGAACAGCTTTCGAATGATATATAACACTCATATACATTTGTTCGATATCTTGAGAAATTTACAAAATAGTAAAAACGCGCATTCATAACTGGACAACCCAATAATTAATAAATTAGAAATAAAAAAAACTAAAAGCAAAAGTTACAAGTAAAACTAGATAAAATTAAATAAAAGATCGAAAAAAGAAAAGAAACAAGCCAACGATTACGGTAGTTACAGCACAAAATAGAATTTAAGGGAATTCTTTAATAAAATGCGCATTTTCTATTAGAGAGTGTCTTTTAATAGAATAAATACAGTAATAGCCACCATAAATAAGCAAAGGATTGACTTAAAGGTCACTGAAAAAGTCACTCATCTCTACATTTAACAAAATCGGTTTGAAATTTACTGAGTGGGAGTTGATGGAAGCTCTATAGAAAAAGAGAGCTTTATCGAAGCTTTGGTTTTATAATGGTATAATATGATGGCAAAAAAAACCTGTACTTGTACTTGATCTCTGACTGACCAAATTATTCCCTATGACTCATTGATTATCCAGCCATCAATCAAGCATTGCTTCCATTTTTGGGAAATCTGATCTTCAATCGTTGACGAAGAAAAGAGAACTTCGTTACTCACCCAGAATAAGCTTCAAATAACGATCATTGAGGCACAAAATATGATCTTCTATGCAATATTTTAAATACCGAATCGGAATCAGTGCAACACTTTGAAACTTTGAAAATGAAAATGAGAATTGCTAAAGTTTTGATTGTATTTTTAAGCTTATTCATTGATTTGATTGTTTCTAAATGCCCAAAAGGATCTTTTGCATTGAAAGGAAGAAATTATTGTGTGCAACTCATCAAGAAAAGTTTCTTGATTGAATTTTTGAAGTAATACAATAAAAAACCCAGATCAAACTTTTGCTGATGCAGTTGCTCGATGTGCTGCATTTAAAAATGGAAAACTTTTATTGTTATCGAATGCTAAAGATGCTCAAAATATTCGTCTATTGTATCCAAGTAAGATTACGAGCGCTTTCTAAAGCACTATTTAGAAAAGCCTAATTTTTAACATATTCAGCAAGTTTTAGACTGAATTAAGCCAAGTTACTGTAGCTTTTTGAGTCTTTTGGATCTTTTGGATCTTTTAGATCTTTTGCAAATCGTTGCAAGCTAAATTTTCAGCTAAACTTTCTAGGGAATCTTTTAAAAAACAAGACAAACCTTAAGTTAATCAATGTTTAGATACTAAAGTAAAGCTTGCTTGGGTGGGAATTGTTGGAAAACCGAATGGTCATCAGCTTTTGTTAAATGGTACAGATGTTTCGAAAACGCATGCGGGTGAGTTTTCAAAGATCAAATTGAATTCAAAACCGCCTTTGTCTCAGTTATAACCATTTTTATCATCTTTAGCTCCCGATTTTATGATGGCTAAAGGAAACATGCCAAAACGTGTCATAGAATCAGTGGCAAAGTGCTCTAAGAAGATCACGATCAATAGCTGCACGTGAGTTTCTCTTTTCAACTAGTTCAAGTACAATCAATGAATTTAATTTCTCATTTTAAGAATCGTATTCTGGTGTCAATGCTTTGACACTTCTAAAAGATGATTTGGGGGGAGTGGGACAAATGCGACCTTTTTTTTGCGCACCCGGCCATTTGCGCACCTTTTTTTCCGCACCTTGCCCATTAGCGCACCTTTTTTCGCGTTTTAAAAAAGCTCTAAAAAGCTAATATTAACCAATTTCTATTCCAAAAGTTATTTTTCTAGATAATTCTAGGGCGTAGAATCGAAATTTTGACATAACAGAGCTTGTGGAAGCGAACGGACGGAGTTATACAAAGAGAAAAATCGACCATTTTCTGTAATTTGACCTACCCGTTTTGTCTTTCAAATTGATTCCACACGCTCTGTTATGTCAAAATTTCGATTCTACACCCTCAAATTACCTAGAAAAACAACTTTTGGCATAGAAATTGGTTAATATTAGCTTTTTAGAGCTTTTTTAAAACGCGAAAAAAGGTGCGCTAATGGGCCAGGTGCGGAAAAAAAGGTGCGCAAATGGCCGGGTGCGCAAAAAAAAGGTCGCATTTGTCCCACTCCCATCTTACCCTCAATATCCAATTTGCGCATACAACTTTGTGAATGATTGAAGAAATTTTGAAGATCGGTCTCCGCCGACCGGGAATGCTGATCTTTGGCAAATTTTAGAACATGGATCTCTGCGGTGAAATGTTGGGTGAAACCGATCAAAGCTTTATCCACCGGTGTCGATGATTATAAAACATTTCAGCAATACGTTAGATATAATGTGAGTTATCGGGTATTTCTCTTTCTTCCTTGCTTTCTCTTCATTGCTTCCTCTTTCTTGTCTTTTCTATTTCTTCTGGAACAAAGAAGGCGCCGATAGCCCAGCGGTAGAATCCCGGTAAGCAGAAGTTCGAGGATTCAATTCCCCCGTTCCCCCAATTCCTTCAATTCAGTTCGAGGATTCTAAATTCTTTCTCAGTCATTTCTTTACTTTATTATCCTTTTGATCAGGGATCAGAAGCAAGACCCAGGTCCAAGCCTAGGTCTGGATTCTTTCTGACTTTCTGGAGATTCTTTGTGGAACAGTAAACCCAGGCACAGGTCTATAGCAAAAACAAGCCTGGGCTTGGCTCCCGGGGAAATCTAGATCCTACGACTTTTGGATCAACTCTAGATTCAATCAAAAAACTAGAACTAACCAGAACCAAAAGTTGTTTAATTGCATGAATTCAGGCCTATTTCACCCCAGCCATTGCAAATGATACAAATTGTTTCAAAAAAGTGAAGACGATCTTCTTCCCCGATCCACAACCATCATGTGAGCACTCTTCTTTATTTGATACAATTTAATCTGTATTTAATACAAATTAACCTTTTAGTTAATGTCAAAACCCCGTACGTCGTCAATGTGATGAACATGAAGTACGGCTCAGAAATTTCCTATCCCGATCTATGGCTAACTTCTCCAAACAAAAAAGTCGGCGCTTTATGTCAAAGGCCAAAAGTTTGAGTTGGCAACAGTTGTAGAAATAAATGAACACTGTATTTATTCCTTAGCTGAATATCTTTAACTTCATACAGAACTTCATTAACTACAGTAAATCACATACCAAAGTTTCTAAAGATCAAAAGATTTATCTATTGGGTTGTTCGGATATAAACGAGCGTTTGCACTGCTTAACTCGTGAGGAAGCTATTTCCCGCATCTGATCTCTTTCCAATGGCGTGGAGGTGCTCATCAATGGGAGAATTTGAACATAGAAACTGTTGAGCAAGTTCACGCGTCATTTGATGGATCCTATTCGATTGCAGCCCTCAAAGTATCGTTGTCTACGGCTTGAGGTCGACGAGAGTGTTTATCATCCTCGAGACTTTGATCACCATTCCAAAAGCGTTGGAACCAGACTCGGCATCGGCTTTCGAACAATACATCATTCCCAAAGGCTTTGACCAAATCTCGATGGGATTCCGCGGCTTTCACTTGTTTTCTTTAGTTTCCGGTGATTCGGCTAACTTTCTGAACAATAACTACAAGCTAGAACATTAAGAGAATTGAGATCTATTGGACTGATGAATTGAACGGACTATTGTCATATGTGACTATGGCATATTGTCATTTGGAGCACTTTCTTCAAAAGAAACCCATTTTGGTGTCAATGGAAAAGTTGTAGAGAATCAAAATGAAGCTTATATCCAAATTTTCAGAACGATTCAAAAACTGGTTTTCAAGAAATGCCAAATTTACGAATTTTCACAAAACTTGCATTTCAAGCGAAACTACTAAGTGTATCTTTTTGGAAATTTGGCTATAAACCTAATTTTTGCTTCTCTACAACTTTTCCATTGATACCAAAATGGGTTTCTTTTGAAGAAAGTGCTCAAACTGGGACATCTCCAGTCCTCGATTTTTGAGTCTCACACTTGTCTCACACACAAACCAAAATCCTACTACGAAAGAGGAATCCGCAAATTGTCTGTAAAATGGGCAGAGGTCGTCAATAATAATGGAAATTATTTGGAATGAATTTATGGTTTTATTTTCAATAAATTCTAGTTCAAATTCTCGCAGTTTTCAATTCATCAGCCCAATAGAATGATAAAAGTTATCAAGAATTCAATCTAGGCATGATTGTTGGCCTCAACGTTTTGCCGGAGTTCAGAGGGTTAAAGCTCAGGTAACATGTTTAATTCTTGATTTTTTTTAGATTCTATACAAAAATTTCATCATTTAGAGACATTCTGATGAGCACACTTGCTTATGAAGCTCAGAAAACGTTCAACATTGTACCGTTTTATTGACACCAAAATGAGTTTCTTTTGAAGAAAGTGCTCCAACTGGGACATCTCCTGCATTTTTGAGCCTCACACTTGTCTCACACACAAATCAAAATCCTACTACGAAAGAGGAATCCGCAAATTGCCTGTAAAATGAGCAGAAGTCGTCAATAATAATGGAAATGATTTGTAATGAATTTATGGTTTTATGTTCAACAAATTTTAGTTCAAAGTCCCGCAGTTTTCAATTCACCAACCTAATAATTAAAGAAAACTTAAAGAAAGCTAAAACTTTAAGCAGTTTCAGTCAAGCAGACTAACAGATCTCTAGCATGACAATTACAAGCTTTTTCATGACAATTACAATTACAAACTACATTTTTTGACTGTAAAAGCTTTAACAATTTTAAATTGCCAATCCCTTTGGCATTCTCGAAAGCAATTCTCTAGCAATTTTGATAATTGACTATTTACCCTTTAAACTTTAAACTGAAAACCTTTTAAAAGAAAATTCGAAGTCTACCCAACGATTTTGATGAAGATTCTATGCAAAAATCCCCCGATGAGCTCCAATCAATTTTCGATGAGCACCACTCCAATCAATTTCCCTCGACTACCACGATTTCTTAAACAATCTGTTCTCCAATATGTTGACACGGAAGAAATGCTTAAATGTCTTCAAATCAATAAAGATCTCCGTGGATTCGTTCTTCAAAATGGACCTTTTACAAGAAGTTTGCAGAAATTGGAGATTTCAACTTGTGGTAAATCGCTTGAAAACGCTGAATTTGTCTCAAAAAAGCTGGAGATTCAAATCGAAACAAAAGAAAAGAAATATCGATTCTTGAACTGTGAAGATGTTCTCGGAAAAGCAATTCGAATTAAGGACACCGATTGGCCGATTTTTCGAAAAATTCATTACTGTCCCAAGCTTATCATTGGAAATTATCCACACATAATTGGATTACCTGAAAAAGAAGAAACAGGGAATTTCCTCGTGAAACAGTTTTGTCCAAAGGCTGTTAAAAGATTCGATGCTTTTCATGAAGACATCAAAATATTACCTTCAATTCTGGCCACTTTCAAGTTTACTTTAATCGACAAGTTGAAGATTCATTGCGCGAATTCTTATCGGTTTAGCAATGAGGAAAAGAAAGCGTTGATTCAAGAGATTACACTTGCCGTCAAATATTTTCATGCCAAACCGTCAAATATTTTCATTTCTCGTAAAGGTTATGTTAGTTGGATGATTGAGCTCATTGGAAAGCAGCAAAACAGAGCTAAGGAAATCCGAGAAGCGATTATGAATACAAGAAATGCGGAAATTGTAAAACGCCGAGAAATCGATCAAAGAAACGACCGAAAGACCAAAACGACCGCAATTGTGCTTAGTGGGATTTGTGGTGCAATTATTGGCCTTATCTTCAGTTTTTCTTTACTTTATTGGCTACAATCGTTTCCTTTGCGCGATCAGTTTATGTTCATCTTTATTATTCTATTCTTTTCTTTCATTGGACTTTTTCTGGTGTGGCAACGATTGTGTTTTCCTTCAGTTCAGCGATCTTTTACCTCATAAACTAGCAGCAACTTTTTCACAATCCTGATTACGATAATTTTCGACTCTTACCACATTGAAACAAACTGATTCTGATCTTTTAAACCTTTAAAACTCTTCCTTTTCTAATCTTAAACATGTTTATTCATTTTTAACATTAAATTTACTTCAATAGAAATAAAATTCTTTCTGAAAGTGAAAAAAAAGCTTAACAAATGATTAAAAACGAAAAGATTGATATCTTCCTTCTTTTGTATTTCCAATATTATAATTCAATTCTCCCGCGTTTTTCCCAAGTTGCAAATATCCATAATAAGCGAAATCGTCTTCCAAAAGTTCATACAAACTCGAGCGAATTTCCGCAAAATTTGGCTGATTCTCTTTCTCAAACTCTCAACATTGGACAGCTAATTTGTGTCTAAAATCTTTTTATTTAAAGGTTATTAAATTAAATCTTAGAAACAAACATCTTTTCCAGAGCATTAACAGGTATTTTCAGTCGATTTCCCTTCTCCAAATGCTCAAACATTGACTGAGTTAACGCCGACGAATGGCGTTTCACCAAATGGTACAACCCCAACAAGAAAACGCCAAAGGACCAGCTAAAAACCTGGTTATTAGATCTTTGAGTAAACGTTTCAAGAACAAATTTAACCAGAACAAGTCAATCCTGGCTCGCAATCCTGGAACAAGTCAATCCTGGCAGCCCAGATTGTTTCACAAAGTTCAAACACTAGACTAGAACTGGTTTAGTCATTAATAGATTTGAAACAGCTCAGTGATCATGTTTATTTATCTCGTTCTCGTTTACCTTGAGTCTCAGCACTTACACAGGGAATTCAGCTATTTTGAGACTTTCGGGAACCATCCATTTCAATGGCAAAAAGTCCGCCTTTTGATGTATAGACAAAATAAACCGAAATCTGAAAAAAGAATTTGGATAATAGCTTTTAAATAAGGACTGAGATTCATAATAAACTCATAACAAACCTGCCAAGTTGGCAACATTCTTGATGATTCAATTTGATGATAGCTTTTCGCAGCAAACTCACAGCCACCATCTGAAATCAACGCAATAAACATAGAAATAGTGAAAATTTGGTAGTACAATATTTCGCGCAGAAAAAGGACTGCAATTAGGTGCACGGGTAATTTTACGCCACCCTGTACTATCTCATTTGACTTAAGGCTTACACCAAAACTCACATTTTATCACTGTATCTATCGTCAAAATTTCTGATGACCGAGCCATTGAGTGTTAAAGACAAACGAGCATTGCAAATTGAGTTGATCACACTTTGACAACGATCTCGCGTCAAATCTATCGTTCCTTGTTGCTTTGTGTTGAGTTTTTCATGCCACCTAGTCAAGACAATGATAACTTTGCTCTCTCGGTGTCGGGAGGCACTTTTATGTAGTGGTAACGCTACAGCTTATGCCCTATCAGATGGCCTTGCTCCTTGGGTGAATCCTAGCGAGTTGCCAAAGCCGGATCACTTCGGTTTCTCGAGGGCGCAAGATCACTTGCATACGACTTGATCGCTGGTCAAGGTGTCGACAATCATCGACAATCTAAAGGCTTGCACCGCCCTTATCAATTAAATGAATACTCTTTTCCCTTAAATTTCTTAAACGTAAAACACAATATTGAAAAATTGAAAGTTTTCCTGTGTCAAGCACGTATGGAAATAAGTTTCCTTGTTTGAGTTTCCATAACTTTCTAGATATTCGAGCGTTGAGCGTTGATCGTATGCTCACCAAAATGATAGTGAATTAGATATTCAAAATTTATCCATAACAATACACACATAATAGAAATTTGAACTGGTAACAACAATGAGACAAAAAAAAAACTAATTCAAACAAAATTTAAGGCAAGTTTTCTTATCCATAAGTGGCGTACCAGGCAGCGTATGCTAAATTTTGAAATTTAAAAGATTTTATTACTGAAAACTCACAGTTAATCACATATTGCTTAAATTGACGATCCGTTTGTTGGAAGGCGAATTGGGGGTGGTAGTTCTGGAAAAGGGGTTTTACAATTTTGTTACAACAGGTAAAACTCTTATGCCTTGTGTAAACTTGACCACAGAATTTCAGTATGTCAGGCTTCTTGTGTAAAATTTGAAAATTGAACCCGCAAAACTCACATCATAACCATCGTCTCCCAAGAACTGATTGATATAATCCCACCGAGTACCGTTATTGTTCGAATAAGTGTAGGCAAAGGTGAACGTTTCTTGATTCAAACCATACATAGTATCTCGGAAGAGTGGAGTTGTAGTGCTAAAATTCGATTTTCACAATTTTGAAAAGAACCACTCACTTTGGTGCCGAGGCGATATCGACAACAATGGTGAGGCGATTTGGATTGTAGCCAAAAGTGCTATTTCGGAAGAAATAGTTGATCGCTCTGGAATGTCGTTTTTACAATTTTACAATGAATCTTCAATCTAATTTTCATTTATGACTTGAAGTTAAATGACTTTTCAAGAACTCACAAACTCAAATCGGAGCTCACGGAGCCGGAGCTGTATCTCAATTGGTTCACCGCGTTCATCAGTTCGACTTGCGATTTGAAAGCGTTCAAATCCCAGCTTTGCTCCGGGATTACAGCCTAAAATTGATTTATTTGCTTATCAGCCAAAAGGTAGAACGAAATCTTTATACATGATTGGGCAAAATTATCCGGACAAGAGTTTTTCGCTGTAACTTTACAGCCAGCCAACTTAACCGCATAATTTTCTCCATAGCATAAATTGATTTATTCCTTAAACTATTGGGACATTACTGAAATAAAAAATCCGTTGACCGGCTTTTCTTTTGAGCCACAAAGCATCGAATAAAATTAATCCTGGCGCGAAGCTTAATTTTTCCCTTTTCAGCGCTGAAAAACTCGAGAAAAAACAACATTAGGACTAGAAAAGTGTGATTACTTTTTTCGAGGATAATTAAGAATTTATAGAAAAAGAATTATAGGAGTTTTTTTTGATGAATAACATTCAAACAAGTCTTTTGTCCTGGTAATTTTGCCCAACCCTGTATTTAAAAAGCCTTAACAACTTCCACTCACCGCATATCTGTACGAGACCACGGACAAGCGACTCCTCGTCCCAACGTTGGTCACTTGATTTGTAATGAATTCAGTCAAATATTGTTTGATCTAAGGTTTTAATGAAAACTTGAATAATTTTTCAAAAGTACCGCAGTAAATCCAGCATCAGTCAGTGAGATGTGGTGATCGATGAGGAAAACGAAATCGGCGTTCGTGTCATCAATGTGTGGAAGTGTGGGGTAGACGAGGTCCTCGAACCCTGGAATTTTGGATTTGAAATACTTGGATCATTCTGAATTTGGTTTAAGTTATTACAATAACCAATTCATTTTTACCCACATTTTGTGATATCAAGTGTCAACTGCTTGTCGACATCGCTTCCAGCAGTCAGCGCTGTTGGATCGGGGACAGTCTGAAGGCGAAACCAGTTTCAAGTAAGGCTTTCAGTCAAATATTATGCCCAAGATTTCAAATCTAGATAGAAAACTTCAAAAATCCATACCGGATAATTATCATCAGTCTTTCCAGTGACGAATTGTCGCACATAATCGTTTCTCACTCCGTTCGTTCCAATGGCAAAAGTTCTCGCCTTTTGCAAGATCTTCAAAGCATCAGCGGTGGCTTGAGTGGTATTGTAGAAGCTGAAAAGTTGGAAATGGAGATGAGAAAGAGATTTTTAAGATGAACTCACCTCTGGCCAGATGGAAGCATCAAAACATAGGTCGGCCCGTTCCTCCATCCCTTTTGCGGTACCAAGAAGTTGCGATTGATTTGACTTAGGGTGCTTAAAACGTTATTCAAGCTAATGTTTTGTAAAAACTTCAAATCTTTCTATATTCTTTCCATATTCAATTCTATATTCAAAATGATCCAAACTTACGTGACAAGATCCGATTGTGTCACGTTTGGATTCGAGCTTCGATATTTGAGAGCTGCAATGCTTTGAGCGACTCCATTGGCGTCTCGATTGTCGATGAAATGGAAGCCACCTTCGACTTCCTAAAATATTAATATTAAAGTCATACTTGGATAGATCATCAATAAGTTTTCTTGTCTTAGAATTGTTAACAAATCTTTTCAACAATTTACCTGTCGTCCACTGAAAGCTTGCAACGCGATTTGGGTGCCGGTTCTCGAGACATGGAGTCGATTCACCAAGCCAACCAAATAGGATTTCAACTGAAAACTCATTAAATTTAGTATTAAATTAAAATAACACAATCATTGATAGCCAGCTAAACTCACAGCCTCAAACGTGGTATTCGTCAAACCAGTCTGATCCAAAGCGATTGCGATATCAACTTGCACCTCGGCCAGCTGCATCTCGTTGTTCTGGCGGTATTGTTCTTGCACTAAAATCAAAGATTAGTCATAAAATGCACAAATCTCAATATTTAAATCATCTTCAATATCCAAGGATGTTTACTTGCAATCAAGTCATTGAAAAATTGAGTGACATTGTTAAATGGACGACGGGAGTAGTACAGCCAGTTATTCAAGTCGTCAGTTCCCTAAAAGCTGATGAAATGATAAAGATTTACAATTCCATAGAATTTAGGTATATAAACTTTTAAATTAAATTCCTTAAAGCTTTGAAAAAAAAATCCAACCTGACAACGATAGACAAAACCATTTGAGAGAGTTGACGAGTAGTTCACCTTAAAGTGAATTGGTTCAAAAAAACTGAAGTTTATTTTAGTAGTTCATACTCTGGAGTACTATTAGTAACTCTCTGAGGATGTGACAGTTTCAAAACTCACTTGGACATTCGTTTGAAGCACATATTGTTGAACGTCTCGTCGATTGGCCAATTGGGCGGCTTTCTCGGTACCGTTGGCTCTGAAATGATTTTCTGGAATTGCTTTTCCATAAACATGTCAAAAAATGTCAGTTCATGATCCAATCTTGAGTCTTGAATCAAATTTGAAACTAACGTTGGTGATTGAGCCACGTAGATGACATGCGCGAGTTTGTTTGTGTTCGTCGTCGCACCGATCATCGAAACGACCGTGTCGATGGCCCTGAAATGGGTAAAAATGTAAAATTGATTCTAAAAGGTTTAGGTTTTAGGTTTTAAAGGCTCTTTAAAGGCTTAAATTCCAAAGCTTTCAAGATTTCCTTCACTTACGCTCCGACATTAGCGCCAGCGTCGGTGGGCACGGTGTAGGTGAAATTGGACGAGTACCAGCTCTCGAAATCCTGAGTGGACTTGTTAAATTGGGTAAATGAACCGTACAAGTGCTGAACTAACAGCTTTATTCAATTTTAAGTAAGCAAAAGTTCTAACAGCTTACATTTTAATACTATTAATACTTAATGCTGAAGTTGAACGCTTCAGCTTTAACTCTCACATAGCTGGATTGTCAGGGTTGAAACTAGGTTAAAAACAAACCTCCGTTTGGTCAAAATTTTGAGCTATTAAACAATTTCACTGAAATAACTTACTAATTTAGCTAAGTAGTTATGAAACTTTTTTCAACGCTCACCATTAGACTTGTCGATTGAGTAAGAACGGCACTCTGAATCACCCCACTGTTGTAGGGAACAACCCAGATTCGAGACCTAAATTCATGATATAATAATCGATTTGTATCAATTTACATGTGATCATCCAAGTTCAAATTGTTGACAAAGTTGTGGATGAAAGTTTTCAGCGAATCAAAGAAGCCGTTCATGGCAAAGGAGAGATCAAGGACAAAGTAGAAATCGGCGTAGAAGTTGGACAATGGTTGGCGATCTGGAAATTGGTTGGAGTCGAACCATTCCATTTTGGTTGTCAAAAGAGCAAATTTCCAGGCGAAGTCAAAAAATTATCAATTTCTTGTAAATTCTAAGCCAAACCAAGCAGAAGCCAAGGTTCTATGCCAATACAACGGTAAGTTTGAAACTCCGGCCAATTGAAAGCCATTGGCTTTGCTTTGGTTTGACTTTTGAATTAGCTAGCCTTGAATTTTAGCTTTTTGCCGACCCTAGCGTTGAACTAAAGTTTAAAAACGGACGAGTTCCTGTGACAAAATCGATGATTTGATATCCGAGCGGGTTCTGTCCCATGATTCCATTCTGTTCGTCCATCCAGTTCATCACTTGAATCGAATCGATACCGTATGTGCTAAAGGGGACTTGTAGATAAATTTTTGATTAGATAAGTTCAGTTTACTGCAGTATATCCAGCCAACAATTATCCACGACAAAGCTCACCTGAGCTCCTTCTTGTCCATCACAGCTCCCAAATCGATTCCCACCGTTCGAATGCCCAATCGTTGAATGCTTTGCAGGGCTGCTGTTGAATCAACCGATGAAGAAGAACTGAAAATTGGCTTTAAATAAAATTACGATCTTTTAAAAGCCTATTGCTTTAAAACCCACGATCCAGTGGTGAAAATGAACAAGAAGTTCTCTTTCACGGGCGCGTATCCCCTGGTGAGATTGAAGACTGATGTTTGCAAGGAGTTCAATGCCCTAAAGTGAATTTTATAAAGATTTATGTTCAAAAAACTGAGTTTTACAGTTAAATTTCGAGTCATAGCTACAAATTGCCAAGTTTTAAGCTCTTACATTGACAAATCCCTGGATTTCGTTCTCGGATTCAAGAGGTTGTACTCGAACTTGTTCACGATGCAGTCCCAGAGATCGTAATAGTTGTGAATCTGGAAGAAAATGCCTGACTAGCTTTGGTAAGAAAGACTTACATCAGAGAAGTAACAAGCGATATTAATTTGACTGTCATAAGTGGCCAAAGCGACTCGTGATCCCTGATCGCCCACATAGAGTTGGTCCAAGAAGTACGAGTAAATGAATTGGCGGAGCTGAATGAGAAATAGTACGGTTTGAAGCCATATACAAGTTCATTTTTGAATATTTAAGCACATTTTGATAATCCATTTATTCTACCTGTTGGAATCCTCGATCAGTCATAGCATTGTTTCCATCGAAACTGGTGTCAACAAGGATAGTAATGTCGGGCCAGACCATTCTAAAGAAAATGTTAGTTTGACACGATTATAATTAATTGTTGCTATTAGCACAATACAAAAGCAGCGAGCTAAAAATTAGTGGTTCTAAACCTCGGCTTTGGTCTTGGCAGAGGCGCGGGAGTCGTTTTTGCGGTTGTTGTTGTGGTTGTTGGTGCAGCTAAATTACAATCAAAATTAAATTGGTTACTTAAGTTAATTAAACTGAAATATGAATTAAATATATCCAATTTCGAATGACCAAAACAACCCAAGCTTTTAGTTAAAATTTCACAAACCAGTTGTGGTGACCACTCGGCAAGCCTGAGCCGCTAACACGCTGGCAAGTCCCTTTGCGCTTTTCAGGAATTGGGGATTGATCTGGAATCATAAACTAAATTGTAAATTGCAAACTGTTTACTTGATTGATATCGCTGATAATGATCGGTTGATCGGTGACAGCCAAGTTTGTTGTCAACAGGCCGATTTGAATCGCCTCAGCGTAAGCGGGTTGCAGACGGTAGAGCTCGGAGGCGGGGCTATCGACAGAGCTAAAGAATAATGGTACAATAAGCTCTATATTCTAGAGTCTAGAATAGCTCAAAAACATCCAGTTCTGCTCTAAGGCAGCTCTAAAAAATCCAGAATATAATTTTTCATTTAAAAACAAACGATAGTGCATCGGTGATGAGAATGACAATGGTGCTTGCCCAGCTTCGCGTCTTTCCTTGTGAGCGCTGATCGTTCGTCCAGCTGTATGCCCTGCAAACAAGACAAAAATCAAATAGTTTTATAGTAACGTGTTACGGTTCAAAACATCCTATTCTGGGTCGAAATCTTACCCAAACTGCTAAATCTTTTAACCCAAAAACACTAATTCCAAATGATTTGCGAAAACGAGAGGGATAAAAGACGATTCGCTGCGGGGTTGGATTGACTGGCGTTTAGAAAAGAAGTTTGAATTTTTAATAACTTTATCGGGTACTTTTCCAATATCGGGGGAGCGAAATGAAAATCAGGGGAGCAAATTTTGGGGAGTGGGACAAATGCGACCTTTTTTTGCGCACCTTTTTTGCTGGAAAAGGCCTTAGGAAAGGTCGTAGAGCTTCAAAAATGTTTCCATGCTAGGGAATCGTATGCGTAGATTTCGAATTTAGACAAATCAAAGCAAATCAGACCTCGCTGACACGTTAAATTTGCGCTAAAAGGCAAAAACTACGCAACTCAACGCTTTTCCGCAGTTTTTGCAGTTAAGGAATCGACGGCAATCTATTATTTCGTCACCAAAGGAGTCATCCAGTCGTGGATTTGCAACTGTGGCGAATTGATGAAAGTCCGCTAAAAGGGAAAAGATCTATTTCGCTGGGTATTTTAAGTCACATCAGTGATCTAATATAAAGGTTGTGAGAATAACGGGTAATTCGCGGATTTTATGGTGGTAATTTTTATAATATATGTAGCGCTGGCAAAATTTGCTCCCCTGATTTTCATTTCGCTCCCCCGCTATTGGAAAAGTACCCTTTATCGGTGATATGAAAGAGACCAATAGACCAACAAAGTGGAAAGACTGGGAAAAGTACAGAAACTCTAAAACTTTAACAATTTTACAAGAAACAAGGAAGGAGGGGTGGAAACAATAAAAGGAGGAGGGAAATTTTTAACAATAAACAAAATTTACAAGAGAATAGAGTGAGGGGAACATATACGCGCAGCAGACACGATGCAAGCGCCGGGCTGAGTGACGATTCTTCAAATGAATGGACTTTGAAGGAATTTGTTTTAAAGGGGGAAAACGGAGGCGTCGTCTCAAGTACGGTAGCTTAGGTTTATTTTGGAATTTAGGGTTGGAGAGTTGTCAACCCATACTCGAACTTCGGGAATTGGGGTTTTCCTTCATATAGCCGAATTTTGAAGCAAAACTCAGTCTGAATTGAATATTTACGATCTTAAGCTCACTTGGAGAAGTACGGAATCGTGCTCGTCGAGGCGTTGTTCGGAATGTTTTGCACAATGCTGGCGTATTGAGCTGGTGAGACGCGCTGGGTGAAATCGGAAAACTAAACTATTCCATAAAATTACAGAAAGATATTTTGACAATGATAAACTAGAATTCACTCACCACAGTGACACTCGAGTAATCAACGGTCAGAATAGCCAAATTGACGGGACTGTTCGCGGTGACAGCTGATTGGGAAAGATATCCACCGAATAAGGCTGGGAGAACCAGTTGCGAGATGAAATCTTTGACCTAGAGCAATATTAAGCAATATTAAGCAATATTTTTGATATTTTCTAATAAGTTCTTATTTTCCAATTTACCATTGGCATGTACGAAGTGTTGGCGTGGAAAGCCAAAGTAACGTCGATGTATTCGGGGCAAAGTGGAGCTGAAATAGTTAGTTGGATAGTTAAAAGAATAGTTTATCCAAATTTAACAATTTTGTAACAAAAATCAACAATTAATAAACAATTTAACACTCACGGAATTGTTGAACTCCTGTACAAGTCTGGTTTTTCATCTGGAAATCGAGAATCGGGTTCAACGCGTCGGCGAGCTTTTGGCCGTTCGCTTGAGCATTACCGCCTTCCTTGAATGAAATGGATATGGATTATTGTTGGTTAGATATATTTTTACCAAACATAAGCTAAGTAAGGTTGGTAAACCAATCTAAATTACAATTTTAAAATATTTACCTGAACCAACGCATTTCCATCAATCACAGCAGTGCTCGAGATTGCGGCGAGCTCTTTCGGATCGGTCACTGAGCCCAGCATAACAGCTGGAATTCAATTTTTGTGAGATTTACTTCTAGCTTTAGAATAAATGTTCAATTTCTTTGATTTTGAAGTCTCCAGCTGATCTCTCACCTTGCACAAATGCTCGACTCTTGAGCTTATCAGCTTGCGGTTGAGGATCATTACAACAGTTGGTCGAGTTTCCATCGGTGTACCTTAAGGTCTGCTTTAGATTTTGCATTCAATTCCGCTTCTTCAGCTCAAAGCAAAAAAACTCACAATCCACGAGCGAATAGCACTACGATTTGTGCGTTTCCGTAGTGGTTCTGATCGATGACGCCATTGGCCAAAGTGAGCGCTCTAAAAACAACCATTAAAGCTCATTTTCAATCTTATGATAGTTATTTAAATTCTAGAAATGTGCAATGAAAAGATTTAAAGTCTATTTCTTCTTTCAACACTTACCCAGCCAAATCACTAGCTCCTCCATTGAGAATCATTGCATTGGAAACTGTCGAGTAGACCGAATCAACATCTCCATTCTGAAATTTGTTGCATTAACACAAATCATGACAACGAGTGTGTCAGAAAATGTGTTTGAATGCATTAAATATAAAGAATAAGGCTATATCTTTACCAATGAAACGAGAACAGACGAAGCATCAGGTGACGAGAAGTAGATCACTGAGATTCGACCCTAAAGCTGATTTGAAAAGGAGAGATTTAATTCTTCTACCTGGGTGTTTCCAATAAAAGGACGCAAGTGGAGAACAGAGGCTTTGATTGCTTCACGTTCAAACTCTTGCATGGCTTTTGAAGCATAAGAGGCCTCGAAGATGAAAGTGATGTCGGTGTAACATGTCATGTCTGGTGGAGCGGGAGCGCCTGGAAAAGTTATCCAGATTGTCACAGGGTTGAAAGGTTGAAAGGTTGAAAAGTTAACCAAGTTGTTCTATGTTCTATGTTCTTTGTTTTTGATAGATCTGTAAAGTTTTGTATCAATGCTGAGCTTGAAGCCTGACCTAGCTTCGACACGGCAAAGAGCTCTTAACATTCCTTTTTGAGGTTTTAGAAAGCCAGCTGATCTTCCTATTGCTAGATCAGCTTTATTTTCGATTCATTTCAACAATGTCTTCTTAAACTTACGGCCACAGTCAATATTTTGTGTTGTTGATGTGATAACTGTAGAAAGCAGATCGTCATTATTGTTGGCTCTGATATATCTTGGTGCCGGGAAGTTGTCTCCAGCTCCGATACCAATTGCTTGCTAAAGGTTTTTAATATCAAACTTCTTGAACAACAAAACTTGCCTTAATCAGCCCCTCCCTGAAATCACTTGGATTCAATCCAATTCCGATGATCTCTGCTCGGTAAGTGGATCGGATATCACTCGTGATCGGGATCACTTTCGCCACGTTACCATCGAGTTGATCACTGAAAAACTTTAGGTTAAGAAACTTCTATTATTCTAATACCCATCAGTGAGAAAAACGATCAACGGAAGCACAGCAGAATCGGTTTTTCTTGAGAAGTCCCGCAAAATATTCCTCACTTCCCCGAATCCAGCCGCGAAATCAACAACGTCCGTCGTTCTTGGAATCTTTCCGAGAGCCGTTTTGAAATCGCTAATATTGTAGAAACCTTTGTCTTGATATGAGGAGAACACCACCTATAACATTTTCAAAATTTACAACTGAAAAACTTGCAGCTCAAACTCACATTTTTGTTGAAAGCGACGATTCCAAATCGGACATTTGATTGCAATTTCACTAATGCATCGGCAGTGTTCGCGAAATAGGTTAATCCAGTGTTGAAGAATGTGTCGAGCATAGTTTGCGACTCATCGATCACAAAGATCACGTCCATCGGGCAGTTGGCCACTGGAATTTGAGTGGAGTTAGACTCACTTTGCTTCTAGCAGAGTGCCAGCAAGTTATAGCAGTCAGATAGACTGTCATAGCTGTCTAGAAGTGTCATTTCAAGAACAAAACTTATAATATCATTCTGGCAAGTCAACAATCTTTTGAAGCTTTTCAAAGATTGCTCTCTGTCCACTTACAAGGTGTCGTAGTTGGCGGCAGAGTCGTTCCAGTTGTCGTTGGTCCAACAGTTGAGAACTCCAACGGTACCCTTGTTGGTGGCGTTGTTGGTGCTGGAGTCGATGGGTAGAAAGCTAAAGTTTATCTTGACTAATAGACAATAGACATCCAAACAATTGCAAATCCAATAACTCGTCGCAGCCAAGACTCCACGATTTCCAAGCCAAGTGAAATCGGTGAGAGAATAGTAATGAGATGGATCAGAGGCCACGCTTTGTAAAGTGGCATTAGCCTAAAAAGACATTACTCTTGGCCTTTGAATTACCAAGATTACAAGTGTAAATAGTTGTATCTAGTTCTATTTTAAAATAAAATATCTTGACTTACAATGGTTGATTGAGCGGCTGAAACAATAGAGACACTGTAGTACTCGTTCTTGAGCTGTTGAGCTGTGTCGATCGTAGTCTGGGCTCGGTTTACTCCTTGATCCCTGGAATTTTACTGTTGCACTTTGATCCCTTGATTGTCCAATATAAGTAAACTTGTCCAAGAATATCTAACAATTCCTTTACAACTTGTCCAAGAATATCTAACAATTCCTTTACAACTTACAGTCCATCAGTAACAATGACAAGAGCTCTGGCTGTTCCCGATGGAATGTATTTGCCGATCGTTTCTTGCACGTAATTCAAAGCACTGAAAATGAAAATGATTTCAAATCAAAGAGCCAACAAACTGAGCCAAGTTTGGAGAATCATTATTGTTTGGATTGACAAGAGTTTCATTGAGAGAATTGACTGTATCAGCCCATGTTGGATGATCAAGAGTGGGAGCACTGCCGAGGGTGTAAGCGGTGAAATCTGAAATCGATTCAGGTTTAAAATTTCAACTCATAAGCACTCATAAGCCACAGTTTTTACAAAATCCCGCTTTTTCGTTTTGTCTTTTTTTCTTTTTTCAGTTATCAAGGCTCCCAAAAGAGTAGCGAAAATCGAAAAAAAAAGTCGTAAAGTCGCAAAATCGATTAGAGATCTTTTGAGACTAGTAGTTTTTTGATTCGTCAAAATTAGAGTTCTTGAATTTAAGAGTCAAGAACTTGTAGAGGTATATCGATCAAAAATCAAAGTATTACCGTAATATGGCACCAAGAAGAATGAGACATTTCCCCACGATCCTTTCTGGGGCAAGTTGACATAGAGATCGACTTTTGACAAGTAATCACGAAGCTAAATATTGAAAATTTAGTATAGCTTTGTAAAAAGTACAAGTATAATGAATCTCTTCAAATTTTGACAATCCACTTACCAATGCCATCTTTGTTGTGAGATTTCCACTGATCGGCAACGAGACGTCCACGAGGAAGACCACGGCCACGTTTTTGTTTGACGCATCGCACCAAGCTAGAGTTTAAGAGTTTAGATTTTATCTATTGTATTAAGCAGATCCAAGAATTCTTGAGTTCTGCTTTTTCCTAACCTCCTCCACGTATTGTGGTTGTGCTGCCGGCTGGGAGCGTTTGAGCGGTGGTGCTTGGAGCCTAAAATGGTAGTTTTCATGAAAAGCTGTCAGAGTTGCCAAAAAGAAATCAATGCAGTACCGCAGTGGTTGACGGCGGATTGCTGTTCGGTGGAGGATACGGATTTGTTGGACAATATTGGAGTGGAGAGCCTGGAATGAAATGACCATAATGGCTCATACGAGTAAGTTTCTCGATTTTTTGTAGGTTCAGCAAAATTTAGAGTTGGATAACGCGACAATTCAATCAATTGAATGGCAAAATACAAAAGTTGAAGAACTTGAAATTAAAGGTGAACAATACAGCCAATGTTAAAAATAAACTATCTAGGTACTGAAGTGAGTGCAGACACGATTATTTCAATTCTGACAAGATTGCCAAATGGTTGGACGCAAGTTGGCTCGAAAACTTTAACGATTCGGTATTCAAAGAAAAAATTGACTGGTTCTTTCAAGATTTTGAAGGCATGGATGGCTTCAGGGACGGCAAGTAGCATACAATATCTCAATTTTATGTAGCCAAGCCAGTAGCCAATTTGAATTATAGCTTCTGGATTATCTATTCTTTTTTAAAATCCAAATTCCTTACGCAAGTTATTATATTTTAGAGACTTTAGCAGCTTCAGTTCTTGAACGCTGCTAGACATAATTTTACGATCACCCCATTTTTCATTTTTCAGAGTTTTAAGAAAAATGGCATCCTATCTTTTTTGGTTCTTTTCTGTTATGCATCCGCAAAAATAAACTCTCGATCATTTTCGTTATACATCCGCAAAACTTGCATTCTTCCATGAAAATGATCAAGGAAAACCAGAGAAAATTAATCTTTTGTTATTTCCTAGGCGGTGGATTCATATTTCGCTTACCGACTACCGTGGCCGATGCAATCTCGTTCTTTCAACAACGCCACATCTTGCTTACTACTCGCACATGCACCAACCCTCCACGTTATGAAGCTATCGCTCAATTAGAATCCCCGATGGAGATTTGACAGAACATTGTGCCGGACATCGATCGGCCTGCGTCTTGGCCCATGGAAGGAGCGCACCGAAATTCCGTTTCTCACAATCCTATGATGCATCTATGGATGGACTCAACAGTGGACCTCGATCGACTATTGTGCGAAAGAATTGGAGATGAACCACAACACCGACTTCAACAATTATGGGGCCTATCGGGATCTGCCAAATGGAGAAACAAGAAGCAAGAGACACGGCACGTCATTTCCTATCCAGCTACCTCGCTGAATTCATGGTCGCCAATAATTGAACGTATACAGAATTCATTCAAGAAAGCGGTTGTTGTAGCTTTGCACACTGTGAATCAAAAACTCATTGAGAACAAAGTTTTTGAAGTGATTCAGCTTTCGGGAGGCCCAATTGGTTATTGATTTATTGTTTTGAAAGTTTAGTTTACTTATTTTGCTATTTTTTAAATTTAATTTCTCAACTGGTCGTAAAATTATGTCCAGCAATGTATTCTTAACTGTCCCTGGACTTCGTTTCTTTTCTCTGACATTACTAAAGTGGTTTATTACCATTACTGGTATGAAATTAGTCCATCTCTAAATATCATTTGTATTCTGTTTAAAAACTTACCATAAGAAAACGCTCCACCAAGCTTTTGATTGAGCATATCGCCGGTATTGGTGATATCCGTCGCAGTGACACTCGTCGAATAAATCAATGATGAATAGGCGTCGACTTTGAGAGCTCCGTTGACGAGATCGGCTCTAAAATGATCAAAGTAGACTTGTCTATCAAATACAGAGTTTAAACAATTGAAAAGACTTACATAAAGCTGTGAACGATGATCTTTACGGGCAAAGGAGATGCTAAGAAGATATGTGCGACTGATTGAGGTCCCAAGGCAGTATTGATCTAAAATTTGGAATGTAGGATTGCAGTAATCTAGGTAATCTGGGTAATCTGGGTTTAATCTGGGTTTAAACTGGGTAATCTGGTTAAGTAATCTGGGTTTAAACCTAAATTATTAGAAAAAACAGTTCTTATAGTTTTTTCCTTATAGTTTTCTTTCTCAAAAACCAGTTTAATTTCTAATCCGAATAAAACTAATGCTTTCAACTTTTTGGAGTCAACTTTGAAGTCAATTGAGTGAACTCACAGCTTTTTGAACACTTGTCGCAGCGGCCAAAAACTTCACAGAAGTTGAATCCGTCAATGAAGCATCCCAATCAATATCGGTATGTCTTGTTGAGACAAAAATTGCCGATATTTGAGAGTAATCAACTGGAGGACTTGGAGTTGGGTCACCACCATTGGCTAAACAGAATATAGAACCTTACAAGATTTGGGACATAACGTATTCATGAGTTGATCTTGGTTTTCACAGTTTCCTGGTTGTTTCAAGAATTCACTAGGTTTTCTATTTCACAAGAATTCACTAGGTTTTCTATTCACCAAACTTCCTAAACCTAACCATTTCCTTACCTGGACAATCCTTTTTCTTATTCGCTTTGTGTATCCCGACTCCCAGCATAACCGCACCGGCTATTAGAAATACAAGCGAAATCGCTAATAGAATAAATACTACTAATCGTTGCCGATCCATTTCTCAATGGATTTCACCCCGAACCTCGTGGGCCAAATTCCTGAAAATTACAGTTGATTACAGAAAATTACACTCTATTTCGGTAACCAAAACCGCAAATTTTTATCACCAATGGAATTCACATAAAAGTTGTAAGTGAAGCGGGAATCTTTGTCCGAAATTACACTGGTAATTAGAAATAGTGAATCAGCGGGGCACAAAGGAAAGGAAAATGGGTTGTACTTCGAGAATTGGAGAGTGTCAGTGAAATTCTTGAGTCAAATCGAACTCTTGAGCCAAATCGAACTCTTGAGCCAGTTGCTAGGTCAGTAAGAGGTCTTTGATCACATTGATTACTTTAGTTTTCATAAAAATTCAGTAGTTTCAGAAAAGTACTTTGTAAAATGTACTTTGAAATGTACTGAAATGTACTTTGCGTTCAAAATAGCATCACTTTTAGTACAAGTAATTTAGGCAATCGTTGCCGATCCATTTCTCAATGGATTTCACCCGAACCTCGTGGGCTAAGCCTAAGCCTAAGCCTGAGCTAATCATTTACAAGCGAACTGTCAAAAAGTATAGAATCAAGTGGCAGAAGGGATGCGTTTTGGCTATTTGAGATAGTTTTGGATCGTTTTCGATCGTTTTGAGCGTTTTCGATCGTTTCGGATAGTTTTCGACCATTTTAGATCACAATGAACTGAGTGAATTGAGGATTTGAACTCAGCACAATGTCCGCTTTGAAACGAACTTATTTCTGGGTGTTTAAACCATCCGTTTAAACCCTTCTGGGTGTTTAAACCATCCGTTTAAACCCTTCTGGGTGTTTAAACCATCCGTTTAAACCCTTCTGGGTGTTTAAACCATCCGTTTAAACCCTTCTAAGTGTTTAACCATCCGTTTAAACCCTTCTAAGTGTTTAAACCATCCGTTTAAACCCTTCTGGGTGTTTAAACCATCCGTTTAAACCCTTCTGGGGTTAAACCTCCGTTTAAACCCTTCTGGGTGTTTAAACCATCCGTTTAAACCCTTCTAAGTGTTTAAACCATCCGTTTAAACCCTTCTGGGTGTTTAAACCATCCGTTTAAACCCTTCTGGGTGTTTAAACCATCCGTTTAAACCCTTCTGGGTGTTTAAACCATCCGTTTAAACCCTTCTAAGTGTTTAAACCATCCGTTTAAACCCTTCTAAGTGTTTAAACCATCCGTTTAAACCCTTCTGGGTGTTTAAACCATCCGTTTAAACCCTTCTAAGTGTTTAAACCATCCGTTTAAACCCTTCTGGGTGTTTAAACCATCCGTTTAAACCCTTCTGGGTGTTTAAACCATCCGTTTAAACCCTTCTGGGTGTTTAAACCATCCGTTTAAACCCTTCTGGGTGTTTAAACCATCCGTTTAAACCCTTCTGGGTGTTTAAACCATCCGTTTAAACCCTTCTAAGTGTTTAAACCCTCCATATCAAAAGTTAAACTCTCGAAAATAGCTTATAAGGTTAGAATCGATCAAAGAAAATGCCAAAAACATTAATAAGTGCAAGGAAAAGTTAAAAACTGTGCAACTAAGCCAATGATTTAAAATTCTGCCTCTAAGAAAAAGCAACAATCGATTATGCCTCTGGATCTTACAACAAGAACCATTTTTCCTTTAAAAATCATTTCCCTGAAATCATCCCAACAAGTTTTTGGCTCAATTTTACGAGAAAACCTAGGCTTAAAGAGAAAAAAGGGACAGTGGTCGCTTCCGAAAGACGTAAAAAATCGGTTTGTAGTCCGGAGATGAGCTCTCTTTACTGAAAGAGGCTTATCGACAAAAGTCTGATTGTAAGCTGGGTGAGACAGTCTCCGAGAAGACTACTACTGATATTGAAAACGAAAAATCAAGAAATGATTCAATCGCTAGTAAATCTTAAAACTTTATCCCCAATTGTGATCGGAAATGAGTTGATATTTGCGGAAATTTTTGATGATTAAGCTCACCCAAAGTGCTTCTTTATTACGATAAAATGGCGCCAATAAGCTGTGTTTTGTCGCATAAGAAAGTTGTCGCCTGTCAATCTTTTGTCTCTGCAAGAATGGGATACGGAAGTGATATCAGACAATGTTTTTGGGGGTGATTTGAAAGATTTAATTGCTTTCATTAGAAAAGCTATGCTTGGGTTTGAGGCTACGGTCTGATCTGTGTACGGTAGGCATGGCCAGGTAGGCATGGCCAGGTAGGCATGGTCAGGTAGGCATGGTCAGGTAGGCATGGTCAGGTAGGCATGGTCAGGTAGGCATGGTCAGGTAGGCATGGTCAGGTAAAGCTAGGTAAAGCCAGGTAAAGCCAGGTAAAGCGTAAAGCCAGGCAAAGCCAGGTAAAACCAGGCCAGGCCAAGGCTTAGATCTTGCTCCTGGACTGATCAACCGATCTAGTCTTTGCCGGTGCACTGAATTCAATTCTAATTTCTACTCCAACCATCGCTTTGGCTACAATAAAGCTTTGGGTGCATCAGAGAGCTGTTTATTCTTTAAAACCAGGCCTAACATTGGCTGTACTTGAGAAAAATCGATCTCGTTAGATAAAGATCTCTTCTCTATATCAATCTACAGTATTCCAGTTTGAATTATTTGAATTGTCATTGATTTATCACCAATCTGCAAACTTAAAAGCATCAAGCATTCAATATTAAACAAAGAAAGCTTAACTTTTAGGGAAAAGACTTAAAGTCTGTAGAGAAAATTGTGAAATTGAAAACTGGTTTACCAGATTCATCTGGACTTTGTATATATTGGGTTGGTGAATTGAAAACTGCCGGCTATTGTCATATGTGACAGTTTGAGCACTTTCTTTAAAAGAAAGTTGTAGAGAATCAAAAATCAAGCTTATATCCAAATTTTCAGAACGATTCAAAAACTGGTTTTCAAGAAATGCCAAATTTACGAATTTTCACCAAAACCTGCAACAAAACTTGCATTTTAAGCGAAACTACTGAATGAATCTTTTTGGAAATTTGGCTATAAGCTTAATTTTTGATTCTCTACAACTTTTCTATTGACACCAAAATGGGTTTCTTTTGAAGAAAGTGCTTAAACTTGGCTGACAGCTGACATCTCCAGTCCTCCATTTTCGAGTCTCCCACTTGTCTCACACACCAACCAAAATCCTACTACGAAAGAGGAAAGAAAAATTGCCTATAAAATGGGCAGAAGTCGTCAATAATAATGGAAATTATTTGGGATGAATTGATGGTTTTGTTGAATTGTTTATGTTGAACTAATTTTAGTTCAAAGTCCCGCAGTTTTCAATTCACCAACCCAATAATTATAAATGCTTTTGATTTGAATTCACTTTCTGCGAGCTTGATCAAAAAGTTATACAGAATTCATAGCTAATAAAAAGCAAGAAGTAAGAGGCAAACCTAGGCAAATGGATTCAATTCACCAACCCAATAATAGCTAAAAAAGATCTGAATGACAATTCTCGCTAACTCATCTTCGATTTCACTTTTTAAATCACCATTTTCTAATCTCGATACTAAAATACGTTGACTCAGAAATCCTGAGAGAATCTGGTGAGATTTGAATTGATGAGGCATCTGTAGGAATGGGATTTCTTTGCATCATCTCTCTAATTCTTCGCTTTCTGCTTGTCTCCTTATTTTTGCTGATAGTTGCTCGTTTACAACCGCTCTTTTTGGGGAAAAAATCGGACAGAACAAAACCATACAAATAGAATAGGATTTGACTGAGTCAGAGCCGAAATTTTAGATTTACCTATTTGTTTTGGGGAATTTTAAGTGATTGGGTGTGGTACTGCTCATTTGATTCATACAGAAAAAATTTCTACTTTATGACATTTTGAAATCACAGAGATTTGACTCAGATTAAAAGTTATGATAAAAGAAATGCTGCCAATCGATTGTTTTAGTCGAGCTTTTATCTTTTCAAAACATTTTTAGACCTAAATCTGCAACAATCCAATAAAAACAATCCAATGAATTGTGCTTTTTTTGTGTCCGAATACATGAAAAGCTCTTCTCTGTCTAAGCAAAGCATTCAGCTCATCAAACAATTTATTTAGGCTTTAAGTTCAATGAGATTCCTTTACAGTCGATCAATCTAAAAAAGCTAAAAAAGTGATTAATCTAAATAATCTAAATAATCTAAATTTTCACATTCATCTAATTAATTCCGATCTATCCAGCTCATCAAATGAAATGAGTCATAGACCATCCGACGCAGAATTTTACGCTGATTTCGAATATCTCATCCGTTCTTGCAAAATGAGATATTCGAAATTCTGAATCACGTACAATTTAGCAAAAAAGTTGGCCACTCTTGGCCATAAGTTGGCCATAAGGCTTACGCGCGCAGTACGTGAAAATGGATGTAGTGGCTAGTCGGTTAAGATACGGAGTAGCTACTTGAGGCTTTGAATCTGCTCATTTTTTCTTTTTTGGAAATCTATTCTGTATTTCCTGTGGCACAAACATTCTGGAGCTGATGCGTTGTGCTCGATTTGATGTTAAACTATGTTTTGATCACTTTATTAATTGTTGTCACATCTGTTAATTTGTGTTTAATCGCTTGCATCATTTTGTTTGTTTTTTGTTAAAGTTATTAAGCTATAAAGTTTTTATACTAAACAATTTGTGATTTGTGATATATATGTGACTTGAAAAGACTTAAAGACTAAAGCTAAAGCTATGAGAGCCACCATAAAAACTGTTTACAAAAAAAAAGAGTGAGAAGATTCGAAACCTTGAGAAGCTACTTCGTATCCTAACCTACTATCTACTGGCGTCAAAACAAAGAAAGCTATTCGCAAACGAATTTGGGAGAATCGAGCGCTAGGTGAGTTTCATTATCAAGTTTTTGTTTATTACAGTTTATTACATCTACTACATCAAGTAACCATTTTTCCCCGGTGCGCGCACAAGCCTAAGCCTAAGCCTAAGCCTAAGCTTAAGCCTAAGCCTAAGCCTAAGCCTAAGCCTAAGCCTAAGCCTAAGCCTTTAAGCCTGAGGCTAAAGACTTATCTCTAACGTCTATGGCTCATTTCATTTGGTGAGCTGGGACCCAGCTCACCGAATGTCTGAGATTACGGGAGCTTTTCTGGGCCAGATCTTTAGACGCTTTAATCAAGTCTATGAACTGTACAAGTTCATTAAATACGCCAGAAAGTGTGCGTTTTGTCAAAGCACAGAACGTGTTCATGTTCTCATGAACTAACCTTTTCTCTATATCAACAATATTCCGATCACATCCTTGAAAATAAGGCCAACGGTAATGGAGATAAGTCCAATATAAATGACCTGCAAAATTGACGTTTTCTTTCAAAATTTGTCTTACCATCCAGTGTCATTTTTGCGAAGACAATGTGATTTTTCATTATCAATATCTTTCAATATCGCAAAATCATAGAAAAGCACCATGACCGGCTCTCGTTGAATCGTGTGATTGAAGAAGATTTCGGTGGAGATTGCCTGGAAAGGGTTTTGAAGTGATTGTGAATTGATTAGTTGAGTTGAGTTGGGTTCTAACTGAAATCAAGAATGAGAACACTTTTTGGTGAATCAAATGCAAGCAAGGACATTTGAGACGCGGCCCGCCCCTTTGCCATTGGCAATCCAACTTTAAGCTCAAAATTTCTTGGTATTAAGCTGTCCAATTTAGATTGTTTTTATACCAATGGACAGGGAAAGACTTGGCGCATCTAATGATATCAAGAATATTGAAATTGGAGAGCCCAACACCAAGCTATTTGAGCTCAAAGTTGGATTGCCAATGGCGAAGGGGCGGGGTGACGGACCTTTTATACGCGCCGCGCCGCTTTGCCATTGGCACTCTAAGCTTGAGCTCGAATATCTTGGTTTTGGGCTGTCCAATTTAAATAGTTTTTATACCAATCGATAGAGAAAGACTTGGTGCATCTAATGATACCAAGAATCTTGAAATTGGTCAATCTAACACTAAGATGTTTGAGTTCAAAGTTGGATTGCCAATGGGAAAAGGCGCGGGGCTTATCAAATGTCCGATAGCCTCACCAGCATCTCCTCCTTTTCGACGAATAAACGAGTCTGCCAGGGACCGGCTTTCTTTCGACTCAAACCAATTCCTAAAACATTATTGACATTGTTCAACGATTCTTCAGCTTCAAAATTTGATAATCAAATTCACCTAGCGCTCGATTCTCCCAAATTGGTTTGCAAATCGCTTTCTTTGTTTTGACGCCAAAGATAAACTCCGGCTCAATCGAGGCTACAATTGCCTTGTTTCTGAAGTCAATCGAGATACAAAGCTGAAAAATTCACGGTGAAAGTTTCCTTTCTTTAGCTTACCTGACTGATTTCTGGTGGCAATTGATTGTTGCCGAGAATATGCACAGAGCTAATCAAAGTGACATTCATCGATAGGAGCACAGTGGTTAAAGCAATAGAGAAGTAAAAAAGGAAATAATGATATGAAGATGACATGTATCTGAAGGATTTGTTGAATTGGGAGGGTTTTAGCAATTTAGGCCATCTCAATGACTCTCAATGACTCAATGAGTTGGAGCCAGAGTTGTTCAAGCTTTTGGTCTGATCTTGCTTTGACTGACTTACAAAAAGTACTGGCTTCAGCAGTTAGATCTGGACCTGGTCAGACCTGGACCTGGTCAGACCTGGACCTGGTTAGACCTGGACCTGGTTAGACCTGGACCTGGTTAGACCTGGACCTGGCCGGGCTCTGGCTTTGCTTTACCCATGTTTTTACATATTAAACTTACATCTATAATTTTAAAAGAGTAAATGAAGTTAGTCTTTGATGACTGACGGACTTTGATGACTGATTTCTCATATATTAGACTGTCCAAAAAGTCTTTTCATTCCTTTCGTACTTCTGTTTAAAACCAAGAAATTTACCAACAGAACTACAGTTTTTTCCATTAGAAAGGCCAATTATTTTTCTGCAAAATAACATTAAAACGGATTTCAAATGTCTTATATCTGGATTTTTTGGGAGCCTCAAATGAGGTAGTCAAAAAGAGCGACGGATGATGCGTTTTAGATACACTTTAGCTAAAGAAACCTATCTTGGTGTCAATAGATAAAGAATAAAGCACAAAAAGTTACGATTATAACCAAAATTTCAGCTGAATTCCAGTTTTTTGGGAGCGTCAAGTGGGGTAGTCAAAAAGAGCGACGGATGATGTGGTTTAGGCTTAAGTTTAAGCCACTTTAGCTAAGGAAACCTATCTTGGTGTCAATAGATAAAAGATAAAGCACAAAAAGTTTAGTATATAGCCAAATTTTCAGAGAAATTCATTCAGCCAATTTCTTCGTCGAGGTTTTTTTACGAAAAACAAGTGCCTTCACTCTCGAATTTGCTTTGAAATTGGATGGAAATTGACTTAAAAAGATCGAAAATTGACTTAAAAAGATCGAAAATTGACTTAAAAGATCGAAAAATTTAACAATAAACACTTTTTATTAAAAGAAAACCAGGTTAATTGATGAATTTGTTATTTTTCAATGAAAATACGAGGTCATTTCGACTTTCTGGACAGCTTAATAGTTATTTTGATAGATGGACAACAAAGATTACATATAACTTATTATTTTTAACTTACTTTTCTAAATTTCTTTCTATTTACTTTCAAAAACTAACCTCACAACACTTCTAGCGAACTTGTGTCTATGATAAAAGCTTCCCTTTCGACAAGTGTAATGATAAAGACACGGTATACAGCAAGTCACACAATAACCCAAATAAATCACCGTTGAAAGACAAATGCAGGCGATAAATTTCGAGAAAGACTTCAGTCTTTGAAAGATCTAAAGGTTTAAGGGTCAGAAATTTGTTTTTCAAACCAAACCTGATTAATGAAAACAATAGCATTAGCGAATCGACTTTTCGGAGTCAAATTTGACTTTGATTGACAATTTCTCATCTCGTTCTCTTTGTCAACCTTTCTCTTGATCTAAGATTTTGCAATTTTAAAGTTCTTTAAGTCAATCTCACTTCTAATTGCTCTCTTGTCAAATCCTCTCCATAAATTTTCATTCGACTAAAGCGGATAGGCCAAAACTCATCAAATTCATCCATTCGACCACCATTACTAAATTATAAAGTGAAATAACTCTTGAAAATTAATTATTTATAGATATTTAAGTCTATTGATGGTTTAAAGGGTGCGCCAAAAGTTCCCGTACTTGTATTTTCTGCATTTTTGGTAGTTTTAGATAAAAGATACGGTTTTAAAAGTAAGAAATTCGAATTCCTCGCGAAAAATTGATTTAGAAAACGTTTCTGGTTAATTTATAAGTGCAACACTATTTAAGACAAGTGATTGAGAAGAGGATCCGCTCAGGGCTTTGGTCGCACAGTTACAGGGCATAGTTACAGGGCATAGTTATAGGGAACAGTTATAGGGGACAGTTACAGGGCACAGTTATAGGGCACAGTTATAGGGCACATTTATAGGGCACATTTATAGGGCACATTTAGAGGGCACAGTTATAGGGCACAGTTATAGGGCACAGTTATAGGGCACGGTTATAGGGAACAGTTATGGGGAACAGTTACAGGGCACAGTTATAGTTATTTCCTTTGATGGAAATTTGTATGGGAAAACCAAGTTCTAACCTGACTTCCGACTCGGTCGTTGACCAAAACTTTATGCACCCAATATAAAAAATGTCACATTTTATGTTTAGTTTTCGAAAAACATCTTGGCTCTTGAAAATCTTTTGATCCATAAAAGTTACAGGCCTGAAGTATTGGGGTTTATATTGGGTGCATAAAGTTTTGGTCAACGACCGAGTCGGAAGTCAGGTTAGAACTAGGTTTTCCCATACAAATTTCCATCGAAGAAAATAACTATAACTGTGCCCTGTAACTGTTCCCCATAACTGTTCCCTATAACTGTGCCCTATAACTGTGCCCTATAACTGTGCCCTATAACTGTTCCCTATAACTGTTCCCTATAACTATGCCCTGTAACTGTGCGACCAAAGCGCCCCTGAGCGGATCCTCTTCTCAATCACTTGTCTTAAATAGTGTTGGACTTATAAATTAACCAGAAACGTTTTCTAAATCAATTTTTCGCGAGGAATTCGAATTTCTTACTTTTAAAACCGTATCTTTTATCTAAAACTACCAAAAATGCAGAAAATGCAAGTGCGGGAACTTTTGGCGCACCCTTTAAACCATCAATAGACTTAAATATCTATAGCACCCTGTATTTTCTGGAAAAAAGACTCACGTTGTAGTGGTTAATGTTGTGAGATGAGTTCTTGTTGTTGGATATCGCTCAACTCCATGTACTTCAGCTTTTTTCTTTGAAGAACACATCATTCGACGATAGCTGAAAGAAAAAAAGATAACTTGAAAGCTTTAGACTCCAGTTTTTTACATGGATAAGGTTTGAAAGCTTACCTAAAATACAACATGACCAATCTCCAGAATAAACTTGTACAAGTGGACAATGAAGAAGCTAAGAGAGACCAAGGAGTTATCTAAACCAATCAAGCACTTTGTACTTGCAAATGCACGCCGTCTGGCGCACAAAATTTGACTAGAAGTAGGCCAGAAGCCTTGTGTTTACGCCTAGAACCACTTACCCCTGGCCCAGCACATCTGCAAGAAGTGATATAGAAATAATTCAAAATTGTCATTGGTAGATCGTGAAAAATCATCACAAGGAAGACAACTCGGAAATTGTTGAAAGCCTAGGATTTTCTAGACAATTTTAACGATCAAATTTACTTGAAGCCACTCCCAAATTGCTTCCAAAATCACAGCGAATCCACTCTGATATGGAGTGATGTCAAGGCGGTGAGCGAAAGCGTTCTCCATGCAAAGAACCTGGAAGAAGGTAAGGCTCTGGATTGTTTTAGAGCTAGTTCTTGAGTGTCCTTGTCAGGGTTGAGCCAGATCAGGTCAAAGACAGGTTCAGGCTTTGTTTCTGGCCTGGTTGCTTGGCTTTGCTAAGTGCTTTATTCACAAATAATCACCTCGCCAGAAGACTTTGCTTAGACTGGCCAGTCAGACTTTGCTTCTGGCTTGGCCTGGATTGCAAATCTAACTCACAAAAGCTTGAACTTGACCTCTGGCCGGGCTATGGCTTAACAGAAGTTGTTTACAATCCGATTGGAACGTGCAGCTGGTTCAATGGTGGTTCAATGACCATCTGCGCGTTCCAATCGCTTGCCACGCAGGCGAGCATTCTACCACAGGGATCGATTCCCGGCCTACACCATCAAAGAAAATAACAGTATCGTTGTAAAGAGCTTTATTCAATCTAGTGGCTATTCTAGTGGCTATTCTTCAATCTAATCTTTTGAATTCAATACTTTATTCAACATTCAACCACGATAAATCTTGTGGTAGTGATTAGAAATATGGAAAGTGCTGAGAGAAAAGGTTTCTAGCTGGGAGAAAAGGCTTCTAGCTGGGAGAATCTTTTCTAGCTCGTAGAAAAGAACATTATCGATATAAAATAAAGAAATTCTAACCGGAAATGTTGACTATTTGAAAGTGACAAGAAAGGATCGCGTAACAAGAACATCTACACACCTTTAGATCTTTTAATCTTACCAAAAGCAATCCCGTAATCATACTACCCGTCACCACTGTGATCACCATCGCCGTAGCCAAACTCGTATGAAGGGGAAATGAGGTTACATAACCTGAGAAAGTGTTGCAATTGTTGTAATTGGTTAACAATTGGTTTTTTGATTGGTTCAAACCTTTCAAAGTAAAATACACGTGAATCCAATCACAGAGACAATTCGATACGTAAACGATGAATGACAAGGCATAAAGAGTGTGCATTGTTCGACCTAAACAAAAGATAAAGACCAATGCTTTAAATTTACTTGAATAGTACTCCAAAGTTGAAGTTAGACTTGAATAACTATACATGGTTCTTGAGGGAAATGAGAAGTGCTCAAAGATCCCTGTGTTGAGAGTGTTGGCTAATGGAAATTAGGTGTGGAGAAAGGCGCGAATAAAAACAAGGCTCCAAGAGAGCTTTAAGAAGTTTTGGCTCTAATTTAGAATACTCTAATTTTACTCTAATTTCGAATACTCCAATTTTACTCCAATTTAGAATACTTCAATTTCGAATACTCCAATTTCGAACTTCGAATACTTTCGAATACTTAACTTTTCTCTAATTGTAAGCACTTCAAAGAAACTTTGCCAGAGTTGATTGAAAAGTATTTTTTGCGATCTAAGGCAAGTCCTGAGACAGGCTAGAAGCCAAGATCAACTCCAAAACTCAAGGTAAAACCCAATACCCATTGAAAATCTGTTTTATTGAAATGTTGGAAAAAGATTCTTTCCAGATTCTACTAACCAGTAAGCATCGGTTGATTCGGACTAACACTAGCAAAGCCCGAAGTGTACAAAGTGTTCAACAAAGCAAGGACATTTCCCTTTGGCAACTCCTTCGGCATCAGAAACTCATCCGTTTTGATGGAATCTGAAAAGTCATATGAATTCAAGATTCAAATTCAAAAGCCAAAGTTTATCCAGCATAAAACTAACTTCTAGTATTCGCAGCTAATAGCATTTTGAAGGTGATCTTAGAACTTTGATATTGAAATTATGGAATAAGAGTAGTACTAAAGCTAGGGAATACTTGGTTTCTGTTAAGAGTTTGATTTTAAAGCTCTTCTCTTAAAAGATTTTCCTATTCTCTAGTGACTGGGGACCAAATTAGACTTGCTGGGGTTGTCTTTTGGGGTTTTTAGTACTTGGAGAGAAAGGGAAAAGGAGTACCGGAAGTCTCGCGCTCAACTCATCCCTTTTTCTTCACTTCACTCTTCTTTGTTCAACTCTTCTTCTTGACTTCTTCTTCTTTTCTTCACTCTTGTTCCTCAAATCTTTAAAGACACAAGTACATCAATAGAATCATATATTAGTCCAGCTAAAATGGATGCTGAAATGGTGATGATAAATCAATTGATGTTTTTCAAAAATATTGGGTTGGTGAATTGAAAATTTCCGGACATTGAACTAAAATTTATTCAACATAAACAATTCAACAAAACCATAAATTCATTCCAAATAATTTCCATTGTTACTCAAAGATACTCAAAGAATTTGTTGACCCTTTTAGGAAGCAATGATCGTCTACACCAATCTTTTTTATCTCAACTAGCATTGAAGTTTTGGAGCAAAAGCAGATGATCATTCGAGTCTACTTCATTGACTGTGCAAACTTTGCTAAACTTTGAGTCATTTAAACCTCTGTTACCGCTTCCTAATTTAGATGGTGATCTCCAGAACTTGGACTGGATTCCTATGGCTCAATCCCTATAACTCAATCCCTATGGTTCAATCCCCTATGGCTCAATCCCTATGGCTCAATCCCTATGGCTCAACCCCTATGGCTCAATCCCTATGGCTCTCCCCAACCGCTTTCCTCATTCACGCAAATATCATGGTGATCTTTGGATTGGCTCAAATGGGATCTGCAATTGCTGTGCTACTTGCTGAAGTTTAAAATTTGAATTCAATGCCCTTTCTTGCTTTGATTTGCTTGAAGTGTTGCCCGACAGGCCTATAGGATTTCGGTGTTTTTGGGAGAATCGCTAGAGCTTCGTCCAGAAGTGTCCAATCAATTTTCACCCACAGAAGAAAATTTAGCAAAATCTTCAGGCTACATCTTAGCTGCAATGAAATTTTTCTAAAATGAAATTCACTCGGAAAAAAATTGCATTTTTGTGAGCAAATCTAGGGTTTTAGACCCTTAGCCGCTATCCAGGAAACTTCTAACCGCCACCAATCGATTCCCCGTGTCAATTTATATAGTACCTCGTGAGTTAAAAATCCTATTTAAAGCTTGTGGCTTAAAGCTTAAAGTTAACTAAAAATTAAAGTTAACTAAAGCGGCTTAAAGTTGGACAGAAGCGTCAAAAAAGTCATGACAACCCAACTTTAAGCCCTTTGAGCTCGCTCCACCAGCTTTAAATCGGATTTTTAGCTGAATTTTCCTTTGTAAATTGATGTGGAGAAACGATTGGTGGCGGTTAGAAGTTTCCTGGATAACGGCTAAGGATCTAAAACATGGACGAAGGTCTAAAACCCGGACGAACGTCTAAAGCCTGGACTCTTCTGAACAAAGCTCTAACGATTTTCTCAAAAACACAAAAATCCTGGCTACGGGCCTGCTGCCCGATGAGAATAAATTTTATATATTTATTGTATATGCTAGATGTGGTCACCACCGTCGCCTCCTGGTCTGGACTCGCATTCAACGCCAAGAAGTGTGCATCGCTCGTTCTCGATGGTCGCCAACACACCGCCCTTCCCGTTCCATTCAACATCCAAGCCAAGCCAATGGTCATGCTGAAAGAAGACGACACCTACGAACACCTCGTTCTGTTATTGTATAACAGATCACAACCATAAGGAAGAACAATTGAAAAATAGGAAAATCAACAATTTGAATGATTTACGTCGAGAATTGATCAAAATCTGGAACGACTTAGATGCAAATTATCTCCGCCGCACCGTCGATTCTGTAAAGAAGCGAATTGAAGCCTATATCAAAGCGGATGGAGGCCACTTCGAAAATTTCTTGTAATTATTAAATTCTTTTGTTACAACTATTATATAAATAAATATTTTTACATGTTCTTTGAAAGAAAATTAAATTATGGCGTTTTCTTTGGCGCACGTAATTTTCAGCCACCCTGTATTTATTGTATATGCTAGATGCGGTCACCACCGTCGCCTCCTGGTCTGGACTCGCATTCAACGCCAAGAAGTATGCATCGCTCGTTCTCGATGGTCGCCAACACACCGCCCTTCCCGTTCCATTCAACATCCAAGCCAAGCCAATGGTCATGCTGAAAGAAGACGACACCTACGAAGACCTCGTTCTGTTATTGCATAACAGATCTGTTATTGTATAACAGATCACAGCGATTCCTTTTTTCTTTCATTTTTAATGTTGTCATTAAAATGAAAAGAATTGTTTGTCTAAAATTTTCTCGAACATGTTTCCAATTTAATCATTGTGTTTCATCGAAAGGAGCCAACACAAAAAATGAAAACATTTCACTTCACATTTCAAGAGTTCTATCATTTGACATCAATATTTTTTTCATTTTTAGATTATCAGATTTTTTTTAGTTGAAGATGGCAATTGTTGAAATGCCAAACGAGAAACCGAATGAAAATCGTTCGTCAATCGGCGCTCCAAGCACTCGGCTTCCAACAGATGGCAAAAAGAAGGTCATCTTTACAGTAATCTCACTTAAAACTTTCAAATTTAATGTTTAAAATGTAATTTAACAATACCAATGAAATATTAGCCTGTTCAGAAAGTTCAGACAGACAGACAGACAGACAAGCAGACAAACATGAATCATAGCAACTCACTTCTGAGGGTCTAGCTCAACGTGAACTCAATGAAACCGTATGAAGATTTTGGAGGTGATTCTTGAGAATGCCTCCTGTAGCTAAACCAATTTTCTAACTGATTGACGCTTCTAGAATCTTTAAATAAACCTTACAAAGTCGAGAGTCTGACGAAAAACCCAATTTAAGGTTTTTGAGAGCCGTTTTTGAAGTTATTTAATGAATATAAGATAAAAAAAGCTTAAACAGATCAAATAGAAGATCAAACACCTTATAGAAATTCGAGTTGTAAGATTTTAAGAAAAAACGACTTCTCAAAAACCTTAAATTGGGTTTTTCGCCGGAATCTCGACTTTGTAAGGTCTATTTAAAGATTCTAGAAGCGTCAATCAGTTAGAAAATTGGTTTAGATACATGAGACATACTCAAAAATCAACTCTAAAAATTTCATACGAATTCATGGAGTTCTCGTTGGACTAGACCCTCAGAAGTGAGTTGCTATGATTCATGTTTGTCTGCTTGTCTGTCTGTCTGTCTGTTTGTCTATTTGTCTGTCTGTCTGTCTGTCTGCTTGTCTGTCTGTCTGTCTGTTTGCTTGTCTGTAATAGTTGACTCGATTGCAGATTCTTTTCCACGTATTCCTCGCTTTTGCGATCATCGCCGCGTTAGTGGCTGCAACGAAAGTGATTTGGGGATCAGTTCGGTTTGATATGAAAACTAAAACCCAAAACTTTGTATTTAGTGTTATTCTAGTGCTTTTTGATGGTTCAAAAGGATTGGGCGGATGGGCTAAACTGACAACGAGACTTTCGGGGTCGAATGTGTTTGGAACCACGGCAAGAGATGCGGTTTTGGCAACGAGATTCTTAAATCTTCATCGTGTAAGTTTTTTGTAAAAAGAAATAGTAAAAGGAATAAAGGAATAAAGGACTAAAGGAGTAGAATAAAGAAGCCTTCAAAATTTACCTATCCCTGTTGCCGTAGTTCACTTTTTTTCTTGGATTATCGATGCACTAACTTTTTGTACAGACTTTTTCGATAAACCGATCGATAGGTTTATCGATTTTCCTTTACAGGAAGCCCCAATAGTGTTCACCAATGTCTTCCTTCTCATCGCTATTGCTATCGGAGTTCTTGGATTATTCACAAGAAAGCAGTTGCTCATTCAAGTCTACCTCATCGGCTGTGTAAGTTCTCTTCAATGGGAAATCGTAAAAGTATCCAGCATCGATTTTTAGATGGCGATCTATCTGCAGAACTTGGATTGGATTCCGACGATCAGCTATCGTCTCTCTCCAATTGCTTTCCTCTTTCACGCCAACATCATGGCTCTCTTTTATTTGGGCCAAATGGGTTCAATCCTTGCCGTCCTCTACTTCGAAGTTTAAAGATTAAAAAATCTCACTTTCCTAATGTTTCTGCTTCTTTTTTTCTTTGTTTCTTTCCTAAAACTGTAACTGATCAATCTTTGTGAATGCCTTTTGTCACAATTGTACTCTATCTCTAAATAAATAATTTATTTAACTTTCTACAGGATCTACTATAGACAAAAGACCCTTGAGAGCTGGAAATATGGAAATAGTAGTATGAAATTCAATTCTACAATGGCCTTCTGATTTGTCGCAATACTTTGTAGCCACCCTGTAGCCATTTGTACTTTGTAGCCACCCTGTAGATGTTACCAAAAGTTTCAACTTAATGTTTATTAAATATTTTATGAATCTTATTTAGCAGTGACGTCATCAAATGGGTAATCCGGATGGCCACTGAAATAAAAATCACTTTAGAATCACTAAGAAACACTGACATTCCGGAAATTTTATATAGTCTTGGTCGAGCCGGGATTTGATCCAATTCCTTCACCTCTTCTGTTGAAAATTCGAAATCAAATATCTAAATTTACCATTGTTAAGAGATTTTGATTGATTTTCTTACTGAAATGTTTTCTTTTATCCTTCTGGGATTAGTGCTCTTGGGCACAGCGACGATTTCGTGTTGGAAGAGGTGACGAAGGAGTATCTGAAAGGATGAAAGCTCAATCCATAGATTACAATCCATAGATCTCAATCCTATTTCACAAATTGACTAAACGCTAACAAAATAGAGTTCTACACTTGATAAATATGAACTCACTTGTGCTGGAGTCTTCTTGTGCTTCTCAGCTAATTTAACAACCACTGGATCATCAAGCGGTCCGTCCGACGGCCAATTAAACTTTGGATCTGCTTTCTTGCCTGAAAACTTTTACTAAAAAGTAAGCTAAGACTACGGTAACTAAGACTAGTTACGTTAGAAGTTACGTTAGAATCCAGATAACAAGAACAAACCTGGACAACCGATCGGTCCAAATGCGGTAACCACAATCCCGTATTCTTTGCAGACAGATCGGAGCTCGTTTTGTTGGAAATGGACATGAAGCTCTATCTAAAAATTGACTCTGAACATTGGCATTGCTCTATCTAAACATTGACATATCTAAAAAATACTAATATTTTAGAAATACCAAAGCTATTTTACCTGATTGTTCATCGGTTTCACTTCCGCATTCTCACAAATTCTTTTCACTTGCTTTGAATTGAAATTCGATAAGCCAATTGCTTTAGTGAGCCCTTCTTTGTATAACTAAATATCTTCGCATTTCATTTCTAAATCTAACTTTAAATACCTTTTCCAATTCTTTCCAAGTTTCGACTAAATCGTGTCCAGTGTCTTGTTGCAGTTTAAGCACGTCAAACATATAAAGATCAAGAGAGCCTTCGTTCTAAAGGTTGTTTATCCAAAGAAAGCTAAAGGTACCTTTTCGTTATACATCCACAAAAATAACTCCTGATCATTTAATAATCAAAAATCGATGAATTTAATCAAAATCAAAATAAGATCAGCGAGGAATCCATGCCATAGCAATTTGTTACAACACCCATTCGTCGAAATCGTCCTTTTCCTTTTGTCGGACCATGAATTCAGCGAGGTACCTGGATAGGAAATGACGTGCCATGCCTCTTGCTTCTTTCTCTATTTGGCAGATCCCGATAGACCCCATAGTTGTTGAAGTCAAGCGCGGTGTTGTGATTCATCTCCAATTCTTTCGCACAATAGTCGATCGAGGTTCACTGTTGAGTCTATCCATATCGCTCAATCGGAAATGAAGTGCCATGCCTCTTGCTTCTTTCTCCCTCCCCATAGACGCTCGATCGTCTGCGTGTGAATGGTAGGGTAATCCGGATTCAGGAAGTTGTACTTGTGGTTGACTTGAGCGTGGGTAAAGCTGTTTCTCCATCTATTGAGTGTTGTATCTTCGCCAACAATCGGAGTAAATTTGGGTTCCCGGCTCGATGTTTTCAATCCCCGTTTCCAATAGGATATTGGCCGAGCGGCCGGCCGGTCAGAATTCAAATTTTGCGGATGTATAACGGAAAAGAACCGAGCTAAAACTTATCTAAATCTGAACCTTGTATGTGACTGGTACATGAATCAGAAACATATCCACATAATTGGTCCTCAACCGTTTCAAAGAGTTCATGAAAGCATCTCGCACGAACTCGACTCGATGGTTCACTGGAGCCAACTAGAACAAAGTGATATGTTTAGCTCTAGCTTAAGCTCAATGCCAACTTTGAAATGATTCGATTTATATTTTGCAACTTCGGCAAACAGCTATAGTACCTTCGTTGTAATGAAAATCTCCTCTCTTTTCAATTTCCCGGCTTTAATGAAGTCTTCGACGACCTCACCAACGATATTCTCCGTGTAATACCTAAAGATTTCTATGCGTTTTGTACTTTAGAAAATGTGAACTATTATCCAGCTCAAAAATTAGAGTCTAACTCACATAGCTGCAGTATCAATGTGTCGATATCCGGCCTCAAGCGCTTCTCTGAGCATTTTTCTTGTCGTTTCTTCGTCACATGGCTAAACCATTAGAATATTCTAATTTTACAATAATAAAGTAGAAACAATTGAGTTTATGAACTTTTAAGCTTTAAACTTTAACCTACCAATCCACCAGTTCCAATTCCAATGTATGGCATCGAGATCCCATTGGAAAGCTTACATTTAGCATCTTTCTGACTCATTCTTTCAATAATAGATGCAAAAAATATCAGTAAAACGAAATAAATCTAAATAAATGCGAAATAAATAAAGGTCAAAGATCGTGCTTTTACGAGCGCTTTTTTGGGTGTTCTTTTCAGAGAAAGGAAAGTATCGATTTACTCCAGAAAAAAAGCGATTTTTCTAGCGTGCTGATAATAAATAACTCGAAAAAGCAAGAAAAATAAGAATTAACAAAAAAAATCTAACTGGTAAACAGTTTTTGGATGATAATAAAGTAAAGAGTTCAGGAATAAAGGAAAGTTCAAAGTCTAAGGAGCCACGAAGTTCTGAGTTTAGTTGAAATTAGATCCAAAAATCAGTGGATGATTTTATAATGAAAATTTCCTTTGGAAACTCTAATTAAAAAACAATTCTTAACTTAACTTCACAAGCAATTTGATAATAAATTTTTCCTGAAAGGGGAAAATTTAAAAATTCCTTCTTTTTCGAGCTTTTCATTGCGCAATAAAACCGTTGTATTACGAAAAAACCAAAATTTTCTTTTCAATGAGTTGTTTTCAATCATTTGTGAAACCTCAAATCTTTTTTCATTCCTAAAATCCACCCAACTCTATCTAAAACCCATTTTTAACCCTTGCCCATGTTTATTGATCAAGAAAAACAAGAAGAAAAGCAACGAATCGGCGATGAAAGCGCATTTGGAACCGTTTACAAGCTCAACAAATATTATCCGTTTGTTTTTGAAGATAATAAACTCATCTTGCTTATTGCTAATCTTTATTTTTATTGTTTAGTCCAATTGTTGTCAAGGAAATTTTGATCACCGCAGACTCAGATGATCATTTGAATGAATTGAAAACATTGAAGGAGCTTTCTCATAAAAATATTGTAAAATACTTGGATCGACCACATGGCTATCCATATGATAAAGATAAAGTTTTCCGATATTTATGGAATACTGTGAATATGGATCGTTGAAAAACGGTGAATTGGCTCTATTTTGTAAATTAAAAGTAGATTAAGAGTAGAGCCCAATCAAAGATTCAACACAAATTTTTCAGTCATCAACAATCCAAAATTCATCTATTCCATTGCTACTATTGCCAAATGGGCAAGTGATCTCTTCTTGGGTTTGATTTATCTACAAGGAAAGGGCAGAGTACATCGAGACATCAAGCCGGCCAAGTTTGAGCTTATTTTTTAGGCTTATTAGGCTATTCAGTTTATTAGGCTATTAGCTTATTAGGCTATTAGCTTATTGGAGCTATTAGCTTATTAGGCTATTAGCTTATTAGGCCATTAGGCTATTAGCTTATTAGGCTATTAGCTTACTAGGCTTTTCGTTCCTTTTCGTATTTCCTTTTAAAACCAATAAATGCACCAATAACTTTAGCATATTTGTTCCAAACAGCTATGTTTTGAAGATTGGTGACTTTGGAATAACAAAGAAATTTGAAAATCGAGAAGCAATTGAGGCACTGGCAGGAACTGAGCCATACATGGCTCCCGAAGTTAAGAAAGGTTTGCGTATAAGCACTGAGGTGAGATTTAAAAGCTTGATATTTAATCTTGAGTTTAAAAGGTAATGTTATTATTTGATTTTAGGATACGTACAAGAGAGATGTGTACGCGGCTGGTTTAACGCTTTGGGAGATCATGGAACGAGAGTGAGTAAAGACTTGATAAAACTTGAATCAGCAAGAACTATTTACAGCTACTTCGCTCACTTGTTACCCGACAATCAGGAGATTTCTTTCTCTTTTAAACCAAGTGCCGGTGTAAATGTATTGCAACTTCTAATTACCAGGTAACAAGCTTGAAAGTCTAAAGATTTCTTTTCAGTTGTTGTTGGAAAGATTACACTAAACGAATTGATGCTCAAACAGCTTTGGAAATGGCAAAGGAGGTGTTGAAAGAAGTGAGTAAAATGTTAGCTTTACTCTTAAACATACAGTCGAACTTAAATAAAGCGAACTGCAAGGGACCCGCCGAAGAGTTTGTTATATCGTACGTTATATCGAAGTTCGTTGTATAAAAACAAATAACCATTGTTTTTTTGAGCAATTCGCTATATAGTCTTTATAACAAACCTATTTTGAAAACAAGTTGGAAAAACAATTCCATGACGCTTCTTGAATTTATCGAGCCAACCGCCACCCGCATGAAAATCGCCAATTCTTTCGAATCTTGCCAACTCCATCGCTTTCTCTTCAAGCAAATTTTTTTTTTTTTTTTTTTTTCCCCCTCCTTCCCAACCCTTTTTTTCTTTTTTTTTTTGTTTGTCTCCTTTTTTTCCCCGCCGTGGCCCCCCCCCCCCCCTCACCTTTTGCCGTCAACACATTCGTTTTGGCTTCGCATTTGCTTCAGCCAAATAGCAGACTCTTCCATTCATTCGCTTTTGCTTGTCTTCAATCGTGCTCTTTTTACAGCTTCATCGACATCGACTTTTTACAGCTCCTCCTTCATCGACCGCTTCCCTAATAGCTGACTTCTTCCTAAGAATTGCTGAAATTGTTGATCGCAGCAATTTGAAGTCTTTCGCCGATTCAGTTTTTATAACAAATGTATTTTGAAAACAAATTAGCAACGATAAGTTGGAAAAACAACTCGGTGACGCTTCTTGAATTTATCCAGTCAATCGCCACTCGCTTGAAAATCGCTAATTCCTTCGAAGTTTGGGTACTTTTCCAATATCGGGGGAGCGGTCCGATTATCGGGGGAGCGAAACGAAAATCGGGGGAGCAAATTTTGCCCCTCGAAAATGCATTTCCGGGACTGTATTTTCCTGCGACGTTTTTAAAACTTTAACGACGATGCGCCTCTCCGATATTTGTGCGTTCAAGAAATCGACGGCAATCGATTATTTCTTCACCAAAGGAGTCATCCAGTCGTGGATTTGAAACTGTGGCGAATCGATGAAAGTCCGCTCAAAGGGAAAATATCTATTTCGCTGGGTATGTGACACTTGCGCACGGCGAAAGGTCCCCAAGCATTCAAGAGGAATTCGAGTCGATCTTTTTGCAACAAAGCAGCTCCCGTTCGTCACAATTTTAATGGACATATGTAGCGCTCCAAATTTGCTCCCCGTTTTCCTTTCGCTCCCCGATAATCCTTCCGCCCCCGATAATCCTTCCGCTCCCCCGATAATCGGACCGCTCCCCCGATATTGGAAAAGAACCGAAGTTTGCCAACTCCATCGCTTTCTCTCAAAGCAGATTGCCGTCAACACATTCGTTTTGATTGATCGACTATTCGCTTCTTCAAAGCCGTTTGATCGTTTGATTTCGTTTGATTTCGTTTGATGTCTTCGTTTGATCGTTTGATTTCGTTTGATGACTTCGTTTGATGTCTTCGTTTGATCGACGCGTTGACTTTCCTCGCTCCATCACCTAAAATATAAAAATGTTCTCAAAAGTTAAAGAATAAAAAAGAAAACTTTTACTTAAGAACAAAAACGTTACAAGAAATAAGCAAACTAATTGTAAAGCATTCCAAATTATATATTCCGAGTGCCCGTGTCCCAAGCATTTCAAATTCAGTAAAAAAATAGATATTCAATCAAAAAGCAGAAATTCATTTTGCTTTTCCCATATTTTAGCAAATAATTCGTTATCTATGAAAATTTTTGAGAATTTGACGGCGCTGTTTTGAACGTTTTCTATTAAGGTGCTGTTTTGACTACCCCCCATAATTTGGAATGCTTTACAATTAGTTTGCTTATTTCTTGTAACGTTTTTGTTCTTAAGTAAAAGTTTTCTTTTTTATTCTTTAATTTTTGAGAACATTTTTATATTTTAGGTGATGGAGCGAGGAAAGTCAACGCGGTCGATCAAACGAAGACATCAAACAAAAGCAAACGATCAAACGAAACGATCAAACGGCTTTGAAGAAGCGAATAATCGATCAATCAAAACGAATGTGTTGACGGCAATCTGCTTTGAGAGAAAGCGATCGAGTTGGCAAACTTCGAAGGAATTCAACTGTTTTTAGTGTCACAATCACGAAGTAGCTCCATTCTACAAAAAGGATCAACCATATTTGATTGAACCGATTGGAATCGATGGCTCGACTAAGCAAATCCCCGTGAATTTCGAGGAAAAGTTGAAGAAAAAGCTCTTCAATGTCGATTCAATTTCTCAAGCGGACAACACTTTTTTCATTGTCCCTGATGTGAGTTCGTTCACAAAGCTGAACTCAAAGCAACAAGTTGTCGATGAAAAACCCAGAGCGCCAGCTGCAGAGCTGATTTCCAAAGGAAACCAAAATGTACTAAAGGCAATTTTGGCTAAAGTTCAATCGGAAACTTACTTTCATCCATCAATTATGAACGATTATTTATCCTGGCGGATTTACTCGGATCGCTATTGGTTTACCACTGAAAAGATCACCGATTCGTTGTTAAAAATTTGGATTCCTGACTTTATTATCGACTTTGAAAGGGTTTATTATAACGATGTAAACGAAATTCGCAAAACATTATGTGAATCTTTCAAAAATGAATTTAATCTGCTAAATGATCAAGAGAAAAAGGAGTTTGCTGAGCATGTTCAAGCAAGCTATTTACAAGATCAAAAATTCACCCCATTTTCCCTTGATGACACTAGTTATTCGTTAAATATTTGTCAAAAATTTGCCTCTTTAATCAACTTTGACTCAACGATTCAAAGTTTTGCCTTTCAGCAAGCATTTTATGTGTTGATTGAGTGTCAAACGGATCTATTGGCAACTTTTGATTTACTCAAATTGATCAAGATCGCTATCGAGAATATCGAGCAACTTGAGAAGATTTTCGCAAAAAGATTCTACTTTTCAACGTATTACTTGATTGGCTCGAGGAATGAGTGGTGTTTATCGGATATAATGGATGTTAGTGGGGAAAGATTGTACTTTAAAAATAATCTCACGGATTTTCGAAGAACTCGAGAAGGAAGAGAAGGACCGGTGGACATTGAGACGAAAGAAAAGTCACCAATAGACATCGAAGCACTGAGGAGAGCCTTGTATGAACAGAAAAATGTCTTAGAAAGATATGTGATAGCTAAGAAAAAACATTTCCCGTGGCATCTCGATCAACGAGTGAGAGATCTTTGCAAAGAAGATGTGGAACCTGGACGAGAAGTGTATAAACAGTTTCGACTCAAAATCTCACTTACAAAAGATTTACCATTTCCCGACTATTTCTTTGCCTTTCATTTCTGGCCTGGGCTAATCAATGATCAAACTGGAGAGATTTTCAAGAAGATTGGTGGCTTTCCCAGCGATTTAGACAGTGATTTTCAAGTTCCATACGCTCAACATCACAATGAGAGACAAAAAGAGTTCATCGAAATGTACACTCGATATATGAAAATGTTCTTTTTATTGAATCGATGGAAAAAACAAGACATTGCACCTGAGATTATTTATTTGTTAGAAGATTTAGTCAATGATACAAATGATGGCTTTAAAGATTTCAAGTTTGTTTGCTTATATCTAGCAAATGAAGAGTATGAAGGCTTATTTCTTGAAAGACTTCAGCATGAAACCATCATTTTCACAAGGGAATTTCAAATGCACAAGACTGATTTGATTGGAAAAGATCATTTGAGAATTCTGGGCTTTGTGGAGATAAAGTTTTTTGATTTGATTGATGTGGCGAAAGAGATGATTGAAAGCTTCAGATTACTTTATCGAGCCAAGATTTCCAGCAATAGAGAAAGCCCTGAAAAACAATTAAAATATCTTGAAGATTGTGTCAAGAAATTTTGGAATAAGCAAAGATTGGTTCTACACAACTCAAGGAATGATTATGGGAAGTTGCCTCTTGAGAAGTGTCAGGTGGGTAGAATTGTAGAAATCGGTAGGATTGATACAACAAAGCTTGATAAAAGTTGATACAACAAAGCTGCGTGTTGCGGATTAAGCTTGACTCGCTTGCGGATTAAGCTTAAGCTTGACAAATCACTTTGAGCTTGACTTTGAGCTGTCTACTCTTCTCATATCTTGATTTCCTTGAGCCAGATTGGTCAAAAGCTAGGCTTGGACTCTAGCTTAACACTCTGATCTTTGCTTATGCTTCTCTTTACTTTGCTTATTGTCTTCTCTGACTTTTTAAACTAAAACAACCATAATTCTATCTATTTTCAGCTTCGTTTACTAAAATTATCTTTCCTTTTCAGGTCAAATCCCTTGAAAAAATTGCACGAAATGGGAAATCAACGGACGAGATTGAGGTTTAAATTATTTTCATACATTTCAATAGTTAACAGCTACTTACAGATACTTACAGATACTTACAGATTCTGCCACTCTTGAAAAATGTAGCTGATGTTATTTCGAATGTTTTTGGTGGATCAAAGACTTCAAGTGACTCAAAAGCAACGAACTTTACAGAAAACAGAGATCTTGGTTGGGTTTTGAGTTATTTTATTGACAAAGCTTCTTTTTCAGATCTCGACTGATTAATGGTTAAATATCTACTTTAAGAAATATAAAAATAGTACTTATGAGAATCTTTCTTATCCATTTACTTGTAAATTTTTTGATTTCTTGAAAAGTTTATTCATATTGAAATGAAAGAACAAAGGTGAAAGCTTTTTAACTTTCATTATCCATCGACAGACACAAGCTGAAAGAAAATTTCCTTTGACAATTTTACATTTGTTTAAACGTCACTTGAATAATTTTAAAAAGTTGAACAATTATTCAGAAATTTAAATAGCATTAATTGTTTTCAAAAGCCTCGTTTAAACTCTTTCGAAAATCTCTTTCGCATTTGAATGATCCAAAGATATAAAAGAGTGAAATTGACTTAGAAATCTGGTTCAATAGGAGATCTACCGTTTCTTATGAGATTTTTGAGTTTTTACTCAATTTTTTGAACTTTCGAGTGAAAGAGAGTTTACTAGATATAAAAGAACAGTGTCTGTCTGTTCGTATGATCTTTTTCTCAGCCACCTTTTCGAATTTAAGCAATTTAGGCTTTTGGCTATTTAGGCTCTTGGCTATTTAGGCTCTTGGCTATTTAGGCTCTTGGCTATTTAGGCTCTTGGCTATTTAGGCTCTTGGCTATTTAGGCTCTTGGCTATTTAGGCTTTTGGCTATGTCGTCGTCTCTGTCATTCGTAAAATAGCAAAAGCCTGGTTCTTTTGTGTTCAATTCTACCTTAAAACAAAATTCTTTATTAAAAGCATTATCTAATATTGTAAAATGAATCTCATTTCGAGGTCACATCGTCAAATGGGTACTCCGGATGACCGCTAAAGTTTTAGTTACAGTGATTTCCCTCTTTACTACTCACAATCCGTGCTTTTGTGGATAAAGTCGAGGTCGAGTCGCGATTCGATCCAATTCATCCATGTCCTCTAGAGAAAGTTCAAAGTCATAAATCTAAATCTTTCATTAAATATCTTTTCTTTGCTCGTTACTGAGATATTCTGCTTGATTCTTGTCTCGTTGGTACTTTTTGGGACGGCCACAATCCCATGTTGCACAAGGTGACGAAGGAGAATCTGAGAGTTGATGTTATTAAAAGATTACAATGCTTAATAGTAAGCTTTTGTGATATAGATTTACTTGTGCAGGAGTCTTCTTGTGCTTTTCAGCTAATTTCACAACCATCGGATCATCAATCGGCCCTTCGGAAGGCCAGTTGAACTTTGGATCGGATTTCTTTCCTGAAATCTAGCTAGCTAAACCTGATCTTTTGATTCTATAGTCGTTTAAATAGATTTAGATATGATAGCTTTCGAAATTTCCTATGTTTTAGAAGCCAAAGACAAAACCTGGACAGCCAATTGGAGCAAAAGCAGTGACCACAATTCCATGCTGATGACAAACATGTCGAAGCTCTTTCTGAGGGAAATGAATGTGCAACTCTATCTAAAAAGAAATTTTGTCTATACTTGAGTTCATCCGTACCTGATTGTTCATTGGTTTTACCACAGCATGCTCACAAATTCGATTGATTTGACGAATGTTGAAATTGGAGACTCCAATCGCTTTTGCGTGCCCTTCTTTGTACAACTATAAGCAATTCATTCAATTCTTTTTAAATTAAACCTTTTCCATTTCCTTCCATGTATCCACCAGATCAATCTCTGTATCGAACTCAAATTTGGGGATATCAGCCATGTCAACTTCAAGTGATCCCAAGTTCTGGAAGACTAGTAAGATTTCAGATCCAAGAAGTTTGTGCTTAAAGGTTTTGAGTACAAAGTATAGAGTACTGCACAAAGCACTGTACAAAGCACTTCACAAAGCACTGTACAAAGCACTGTACAAAGTACATCACTTATTGACTTACCTTACAAGACACAGGCACGTGAATCAAATACATATCAACATAATCGGTCCTCAGCCGCTTCAGTGAACTTATCATGGCCGGCTTGACGAATTCGACTCGGTGATTGATTGGAGCTAACTAAAAACAGCTGTGATTATGGAGAATGGGTTAAAAGCCATAATAGTCAACAAGTTTAGCTAAAAACTAGCCTTTTTCAATGAGTTTATCCAAACACTAACCTTTGTTGTGATGAAGAAATCTTCTCTCTTCAGTTTTCCATCATTGATAAACTCTTCCAACACCTCACCAACAATATGCTCCGTGCCATAGCTAAAATCATTCACATCTAACAGAACAATCACTTTTAGAGCTTAAACTATGAATAATCAAGTTTAAAACTCACATTGCAGCCGTATCAATGTGCCGATAACCAGCATTTAACGCAATTCTGAGCATTTCTCTCGTCGTCGCTTCATCGCAACCCTATAAAAGATATGAAAATAGGTAAAATTCGATCATCAACATTCACTTATCAAAAACTATTTGTAAATCAAATTTTACCAACCTTTCCACCAGTTCCAATTCCAATGTATGGCATCAAATTTCCATTTGAAAGCGTTGCATTTTTCCGCGTCATTCTAAAGATTATTGAAGTTTAAATGAAATTGAAAAATAACAAAGACTTGAAAAACAGAAAAACGACTTAAAAAACAACAAATAAAGGAAAATGGAGCAGTGATTAGCGGTTAAAAGAAAAAGAATCATTTCTCTGATATCTTTTCGAGAGGCTGCTTGTTGCCTTTTTGAAGAGAGCACAATATTGATTTGGTACCAGCAGGAAAGTCTTTTCTTTGTGACACAAAATTACATTTCTTGTGTGCTTTAAAAGAAATGACCTTGGTTGAAAGAAAAGATTTCCAACTTAGTTGGAAATCTTTTCTCATCAATTCATCAATCTCATCATCAATTTCTCATCAGCTCGTCAATTAGTACAAGGCGTGCAAGACTGGAATTCGCTATTACTACTGGTGTTCAATATTTATGGAGTATTTTAAGCTCGCAGATCGTTTAGCGCTCTCAAAATTGGTTTATGAAAAAAATCGTCAAGAAAGCAGTTGAAAAAACTTGACTTTCTAGATTATTTTACTAAATTTTCTATTAGAAAATCGGAACTTGAACACCAAATTTCACTAAAAGGAATCAGACGCCATACTTTCATACTTTCACAGTTCAATTGGACGGTCCTTTTATGGATTGCGAATACAAAACGTGGTCGGTGACGGTTTTCAAACCCGCCGCTTAACGGACGCTTAACGGACGCTCGCTTAACGGACGAATACTCTACCAATGAGCTGACAAGGATCTCATTTGATTCAAAGATCTCATTGCCATCAGTTTAGGGCCTTATGTCTTATTGTTCTTTCAATCTTTGTAAACACTTACAGTAACCGAATCCAAGGTAAACCGCAAGAGACTCTTTCCTGCAAAGATTCCAACAGATTCAATTGTGAACATAGAATGAAAGTTATTGTACAAGCAATTTCAAGCTAGCTTTTGCTGATAAACCTAAAACTCGTTCTACTTTCTAAAAAGATCCAAGCAATCACACAGATCTTCCCATATTCTAAAACAAAGAAAAAGAGCTCATAGACGAATGGCTGAAATGATATTAGTAAGGCTCAGGCTCAGCTATTGGATAAAAGAATCAAACCATGTGGTAACGTATGAACCATGTTCATAACCATTCAGTCATGAGATCAACAAAGATGATTAGTCTAAAACTATTCACTTTTGATGGTTCTTTTATTGATTTTGATTGTTCAACGATTGATTCTGATTGATTCTGATTGATGTTCAATGATTGATTCTGATTTATGTTCAACGATTGCTTCTGATTGATTCTGATTGATGTTCAACGATTGATTCTGATTGATGTTCAATGATAAGTCCAGAGCAATTCAAGGATGTTCAATGTTTATGAGGACTTTCCAAAATCTCACTCCAAATCTCTCCAAATCTTTTGAAGGCTGTTTTTCAAAATCGATTTATGAAAGAAATCATTAAGAAAGCACTGAATTAGAGAATTAGAACTGCTTTTACCCACTTACTTTTACCGTTTACTCAATTTTGCTATGCGAAAAACCGATTCATTGGAACTCGATCACTAAATTACAGAGATCAGCCCTAGTTATTCTTGTTTAACGATGAGAAAGTCTTCGCTATTTAACAGTTTTTGGATCTACGAGATATTAAAAACGTTAGAATCATATTTTAGTTCTGATTCTTTCGAGAAACCTTAACATAAGTTTGTGAAAAACTTAATTTTTTCGACTTTTCACAGATTTTTTCGACTTTTCATCAGTGTTTCTAGACAAGCAAGGCAATAATTTTGAAAAAAGTACCGTAAAATTGTTAACGTTTAGCGTATTGATCTGTTTGTTTCCTTTTTAGGATTAAACTTGTACAAAATAAGCTCTAAACCTAGTAATCTGGTCAGTCTATTGGTCCATTGGTCAGTAAATCTTGAAAACCTTGTAGAGCTCATTAAACTTCCGGGTGAGCTTCCAAATTTCGTAATCAGTTCTAGTTTCAGTTCAATTCTAGATCTAAGACTACTGCCAGATCTAATCTAGTAAGTTAATAAGAAAATGAAAGGAATTATTGACCGACTATCGACGAAGTATACTCTATCCTCCGCATTTCCCCATCTTCATTCAGGGTTATGCAAATTTCAGAGTGCTCACCGGGTCCTTTCAATGATAGACAGTCAAAAGGAAAAGATGAAAAGAAAAGGTGAAAGGTGTCACTATTTGCACATAGTCACTCCTTTCAAAACAGTGCTTTCCACAATACAATCCCTTTTGAGATGAGAGGCCGACTGTGAGATGGAAAAGGATTGCAAAGCAAAGTTTTCTTGGCTCTTTCATTGCTTTCTCTGTTTCTTGAGCCTTAAAGTTTTGTGATTGTAATCAATGCTTTTTGACTATTTACAGAAGTGGTTAATTTATCCGACCTAACGGTTCGTTAGGCCGTTAGGTGATAGGCTCTATTGTATACTATTCTATAAGATTAGTTATCCTTTCTATAACATTTTATATTAAGATTTCCGGCTTTTGTCAGTCTTTTGTCAGGTGTTGTTGCAAAGACAATTACTCGGGCCATGGTAAAGCCAGGGTCAGACCCGGAACTAAGCTCCAGCCTTGCCCACCAGAGCTAGATCTTGGCTTTGCCTGACTAGAGCTAGATCTTGGCTCTGCCTGACTAGAGATAGATCTTGGCTTTACCTGAGTAGAGCTAGATCTTGGCTCTGCCTGACTAGAGCTAGATCTTGGCTTTACCTGAGTAGAGCTAGATCTTGGCTTTGCCTGACTAGAGCTAGATCTTGGCTTTGCCTGACTAGAGCTAGATCTTGGCTCTGCCTGACTAGAGATAGATCTTGGCTTTGCCTGACTAGAGCTAGATCTTGGCTCTGCCTGACTAGAGATAGATCTTGGCTTTACCTGAGTAGAGCTAGGTCTTGGCTCTGCCTGACTAGAGCTAGATCTTGGCTTTACCTGAGTAGAGCTAGATCTTGGCTTTGCCTGACCAGAGCTAGATCTTGCTTTGCCTGACCAGAGCTAGATCTTGGCTTTGCCTGACCAGAGCTAGATCTTAGCTTTGCCTGACCAGAGCTAGATCTTGGCTTTACCTGACCAGAGTTAGATCTTGGCTTTACCTGACTAGAGCTAGATCTTAGCTTTGCCTGCCCAGAGCTAAATCCTAACCTTGCTTGGCCATAGCCAGATCCTGTCTGACCAGATCAGGTCCAGAGCCAGCCTGACTCTGTCTGTCTAGCTGCCACTAGTGTCTTATGTAAGACTTTTTGTGCAGCATTTAAACCGCTACCAACCTAATCTCTGTGATTTCTGCCTACATTTTCCTAACCCACTACATTCTTGTTTTCCGTTTCCAGCCAAAGATAGCCTATAGTGAATCGGAAAAATCTCGAATTTCCTCACAATAAAGGAATGTTGCACAGAGTGTTGGAGCAAAAGTCTATGGTTCCTTTCAGAAAAAGAAAGAAAGACCAATCGGCAATCACAAAGGTGTGAACGGGGAGAAAGGGCAAACAAAATGAATACAAGATGGTCTTACAAGACCTTTTCTCTTTTCCCTTTTCCCTTTTCCTTTGTTGGCCTTCTCTTCCCAGCCTTTCCCTCTCCTCTTTCACCGGGAAGTGTTGCGATGCATCAGAAGACTTCTCTTCAATTCTCCTAAAAATGGTCTGAACACAAAAGTGGGAATTTTCCCGTTCCCACCTTCCCTGCCGCGGGAAATGCAATACAAACATGTTTTTATGAAAGTTCTCAGTCTTTAAACAGGGGAAATCTTTAGTTCTGATGTTTCGTGAACAGAGGAAACCGTTGGTTCAAATGTTTAAAGTTTTTTGTAAAGGTTTTGAAGTGGTTTGCTTTATTCTGAACATCTTTCTAGAGATTTACTGTAAGATTTTATCCAATTTGTGCTCAATATCTTTCTGAAACATTCAATACTTCAAAACTAGTTCTTTTACTTTATCTATCACTCTAAAATTGTCTTACTGAAGCTAAAATTAGTTAGCTAAAATTTCATAGCTAAAATAGACCCATTAACTCTTGATCTTTATAGTTCTAAGCATTTAACTTTACAAAATCTTTTTTACATTTTCATTGATGTTTGACTTAGCTGTTTAACTGATAACAAAGAACTTGATTTGAAACAAAAATTGACCAGATCTCAGCTATCCCATCCAATGATTCTTTGCAAACCTAACTCTCTCACCAATGTTACTCACCCTGAAGCAATCTTTCAAGTGTTCTCAATGTTTTGAGCTTATCATTTGAATTGCAAAACCATTTGAACAGGGTTTATTTCGATCTGAAAGCTGAGTGCTTAGGCTTAGACTTAGGCTTAGACTTAGGCTTAGACTTAGGCTTAGACTTAGGCTTAGACTTAGGCTTAGACTTAGGCTTAGACTTAGGCTTAGACTTAGGCTTAGACTTAGGCTTAGACTTAGGCTTAGACTTAGACTTAGGCTTAGGCTTAGACTTAGGCTTAGGCTCACTATTAATATCCTGATCGAGCAAAGTTCAAGTAAAGTTCCTTCCAGAGTTACCAATTTGGAATTTCGACGGAACGTCGACTGGTCAAGCTACCTTTTTTACATTTTCATTGATGTTTGACTTAGCTGTTTAACTGATAACAAAGAAATTGATTTGAAACAAAAATTGACCAGATCTCAGCTATCCCATTCCAAAATCTCGATGATTCTTTGCAAATCTCGATCTCGATGATTCTCTCACCAATGTTACTGATCTTTTTTCACCCTAAAGCAATCTTTCAAGTGTTCTCAATGTTTTGAGTCTAAAGATCGAATTGCAAAACCATTTGAACAGGGTTTATTTCGATCTGAAAGCTGAGTGCTTTTCGATTGAAGAAAGACAATTGAGATCGCGGATTTTCTCTTTTAGAAAAAGGATTTGAGAAAAAAGGATTCAGGAAACGGAACCATTGTTCAAACATCAAAAGACAAAGCAAGATTTGAACTCTTTCAACCGAAGTGAGCGATGTGAGAGAGAGAGATCATCGAGAATTGAGAGAAGTGACTAGTCCGTTTGTTTGGAAAAGGGATTAACAAGGAAAAAAAGGATCTTGGATTTGACTTGAATTGACAAATGACAAATGAATATGAAATGATCAATTAAATATCTTTGGACTATCAAATTTAATATTTAAGTTTAAAGTACAGACATCTAAATGACTACCGTATCTGTCAAAGATCTGTCTAAATGACTACCGTATCTGTCAAAGAATAAAAAATCGATCCAAAAATTTCCAATTAGTTGTCAGGGTCAAATAATTTCCCCACTCAATTACCCTTTTTATCAAATCTGATTTACTGAAATTAGCATAACAATAGACTTTGCTTGTGGAACTTTTATCATCTTTTCATTGAGATCTCATCTTTTCCTTTTCCCCTTCCCTTTCCAAATCCAAACGGAGCTCTCCACTTCTTTTCAATTCATCCTCTTCCCATTTCCTCCCATTTCCCCATCAACTATCCCAAACGTTTTTGTCAATTTCCTCATTTGGCTTCAGAAGATCCTTCTAAAGATTCTTCAGAAGATTCTTCTAAAGATTCTTCTAAAGATTCTTCAGAAGATTCTTCTAAAGATTCTTCTAAAGATTCTTCTAAAGATTCTTCTAAAGATTCTTCTAAAGATTCTTCTAAAGACTCTTCTAAAGATTCTTCTAAAGATTCTTCTAAAGATTCTTCTAAAGATTCTTCTAAAGACTCTTCTAAAGATTCTTCTAAAGATTCTTCTGAAGATTTCTACCAATTGTCATTTCATAATCTCCTTTTGCAACCCATTCTTGTTTCTTTTCAATTCATCCTCTTCCCATCTCCTCCCATTTCCCCATCAACTATCCCAAACGTTTTTGTCAGTTTCCTCATTTGGCTTCAGAAGATTCTTCAAAAGATTCTTCTGAAGATCCTTCTAAAGATTGGCACCAAAGTGCGCTTGAGACCAAGGCAAACTTTTTTCAAGCATATCGTAAACTTTCTTGTCAATTTTGACTCCAGCGGGAATGAAACGATGAGCGATGAGCTATGAGGAAGCTATGAGTGGCAGTGACTCATCAAGGGTGATCAGCTATGAGTGATACCAGCCTAAGCCATGATTTGTTGGCTTTTCTTGTCTTGAAACAATTCTTTCGTCGAACGGAAGAGGTTCTTCCGAAGAAGAGGTTGGACCAAGTTCGATCGTCCTGATGGTTGTGCTCAATATCAAACCACTTTTCATCCGTGAAGACGGTCTTTCGGTTTCTGCCAGCACCAAATTGCCTTCAAATTCGTTTTCAACGTTCCAAAGTCCAACATTTGCAACGTTCTTTTCATTGAATCTGTCAAAAGTCTCTTTTTCTATTGGGTTGTTGAATTGAAAACTGCGGGACTTTGAACTAAAATTTATTCAACATAAAACCATCAATTCATTCCAAATAATTTCCATTATTATTGACGACTTCTGCCCATTTTATAGGCAATTTGCGGATTCCTCTTTCGTAGTAGGATTTTGGTTTGTGTGTGAGACAAGTGTGAGACTCAAAAATGGAGGACTGGAGATGTCAGCTGCCGCCCAGTTTGAGCACTTTCTTCAAAAGAAACCCATTTTGGTATCAATAGAAAAGTTGTAGAGAATCAAAAATTAGGCTTATAGCCAAATTTCCAAAAAGATACACTTAGTAGTTTCGCTTAAAATGCAAGTTTTGCAAAAATTCGTAAATTTGGCATTTCTTGAAGACCAGTTTTTGAATTGCTCTGAAAATTTGGATATGAACTTAATTTTTGATTCTCTACAACTTTTCTATTGACACCAAAATGGGTTTCTTTTGAAGAAAGTGCTCAAACTGTCCTAGATTCCTAGATACCTAAAAACAATCAAATCATCGGATTAATAAGAAAAAAAGAAAGACAGAAAGCAGTAAAATGTAGTAAGATTTGAGGCAACAATTGTGAAATCCCCGTAGGTAAAAATTTTTTCCAATTTTTTACAACTAAGCCATTTTTTTATTTGTTTTTCTTTACATAAGAAAACCAAAGGCATTCACATTCCTGATTCAATCCTAACCGTTCCAATTTGGTGTAATTGTTTGACCTGAGGGCTGAGTGGGTGCGGCTGAGGGATGGGGTCAAATTTCTTCGACGATTCTTCGAACTGAAGTGGGCCACATGGAATTCTTGGCCTCCCAGCAGACATCCCTTCCCCACAAACAAAGTCCATCCAAACATTCATCCGTTTCCGCTAACCAATCCAATTTCAAATTAGCTACAAGCAGCATCGCTAGCTACAAGCAGTTTCTCCATTTACCAGCATCACAAGCTGTTGCCCACCTCATCGTTTTTGATGAGGTGTACTCCTTATCGCTTTTGTAACCTTTCAAAACAACTCCAGCCTTGTCTCTAGCTCAACTCCAGCCTTCAAAACAACCCCAGCCTTGTCTCTAGCTCAACTCCAGCCTTCAAAACAACTCCAGCCTTGTCTCTAGCTCAACTCCAGCCTTCAAAACAACTCCAGCCTTTGGCTGAAGTTGGAAGAAGCTTAGGCTAAATCTTATGCCAATGTTTCACTAGTTTTTGTTTGCACCAGCTTTTGTTTTCTTTTGCTTTTTTGGAATTGATTTCTTCAACTTTCTTCAACTTTGCTTTCAATTTCAATCTTTCAATCTTTATCTATATTTTCAGCCAAAGCAACAATGCGATCCCTTCTACCACTTCTCTGTGTCGCTTCAACAATTTTAGCCGTTCCTCGTTACGTTCGATACGATGCTGCAAACAAGGAAATCAAAGAGAAACTCGTGGCTGAGATTGTCAATGAGACATTGGAGAAGAAGACAAAAGCACAAAAGGAAGACTTTGAGGTAAAGAGAGTGATTAGTTTGATAGGTTTTCTCATTTTAGACTTGGAAAACAGACTTTGAAGAGCTAGAGGTACCGCATGTTTAGTGAAAAGTAGTTTTACAATTAGTGATTCTTTTTTCCTATTTCTTTTATCTTTTATTCAATTCTAATGCTTATGAAACTTTGATTTAAGCTTTGATTTAAGCTAACATTTAAACTGGTATAAAAATGTAGAGCTTTGTCGCTACATTTTCAACTAATTAAAGTCGATCTAAGTTTTTGGTATTGATTCAATATTGTATTGAACTTCAAAGACTATAAATCTCATCAATTTCCAGGTCGAGGGCTTCGGCTGTGATCTTTGCTTGAAAACGATCTACAGCATCAACTATAACATTGCTCAAATGAAAGTGAGTCTCGAAAATTATCAACTTGAAATGTTTAGAAAATTCTAAATGAAGTTTTTAGTCTTCGGCAGAAGATATGGTGAAGAAAGACTGCGAGGCGTTGTTCGGTGGAGACAACGAAGCTGTTGGAACTTGTGTTACGTTGATGATCGACAAAATCGAAGAGTATTATGAGAAGGTTGGTGAATCAAGAACATATAGTCCGGAATAAACTGACTCACTGTAAAATTGGTGTTTCGGAGGTACGATAGCAAGCAGCCATGTTAACTCCGGCCATTTTTCAGTCAGTTTGCTGACAAGCTGACAATTTTCGTTTGGCAATCTACGAATTTTCTTGCAATCTTGAACGGGTTTGTTTGAAAAACGTTGAATTTAACTTCATTTGATAGAAAATTTGATTTAGAAATCGAATGAAAGCGAATATAACATTTTTCAAACAAATTCGGCTAAGATACAAGCAAAATTTGTAGATTGCGGAATAAAAAGGAATAAAAAGGGGACAATTCATGATTTAAAGTGCTGATCCGAGTACTAATCACACCAATGCTTGATCGTAAGCTTGATCGTAAGCTTGATCGTAAGCTTGATCGTAAGCTTGATCGAAAGCTTGATCGGAAGCTTGATCGTAAGCTTGATCGGAAGCTTGATCGGAAGCTTGATCGTAAGCTTGATCGGAAGCTTGATCATAAGCTTGATCGTAAACTTGATCCTAAGCTTGATCATAAGCTTGATCGTAAGCTTGATCCTAAGCTTGATCCTAAGCTTGATCGTAAGCTTGATCGGAAGCTTGATCGTAAGCTTGATCGGAAGCTTGATCGGAAGCTTGATCATAAGCTTGATCATAAGCTTGATCCTAAGCTTGATCGGAAGCTTGATCGGAAGCTTGGTCGTAAGCTTGATCGTAGGCTTGATCGTAAGCTTGATGGTAAGCTTGATCGGAAGCTTGGTCGTAAGCTTGATCGGAAGCTTGATCGTAAGCTTGATCGGAAGATTGATCGGAAGCTTGATCGTAGGCTTGATCAAGCTTGATCATAAGCTTGATCGTAGGCGAAGAGTTCAGAAACCTGAAAGAACTAGAAAATTTAGATCGAACCAATGATTGACACGAAGAATTTGTGTGTGCGAATCGGAATGTGCGTCCGAAAGGAGAATAGCACGACAACGGTGAGTTGATAAGTGAATAACAGTTCCTAGCATTCAATCCTACATTCAATCCTGCATTTCAATGGTCTAATGTCAATCCAACAATCAAAATCAGTATATCAATGTCTCACTCAATTCAGATCCCCACCACTCCCAATTCCAAAGAGAACTCTTCCCAATCTCCATCTTCTACAAGCTCCGAGAAATCAAGCTCAAGCTCAAAATCATCAGAAGAATCGAAATCTATTGAAGAAACCACTTCCAAGTCTTTCACTCCAGAATCCTCAACTAAAAATTCGATTTTAGCTAAAGTCGAGAAAGTTTTTGCTGATCTCTTTTAAGTATTTCTTTTTCTTTTCATTTGTTATTGTCTTTTGGCAGTAAGTTGATTGTAACTAGAATCTAGTTCACGAGATTTCATCGAAGTTGTCTATTGTCTATTATCTATTGTCTATTGTCTATTGTCTATTGTCGATTTGTGTCTTTCAATGTCTTTCAACCAAGTATTGGTACTGTGATATGCGAGTCTCGGTTTCATAAGCAGTATAAAGGTTTTGTTCGAACTTTCTGAACGTTTGAAACTCCAAAAACTGTGCATCGATTCATTTATCCAACTCCAAGCTACCAGAAACGATTAACAGAAATAAAATGGAAATTTTACAAGAAATTTGCAGAAATTAGATCTTCAGACTGCTTGAAAATGGTGAATTTATTTTAAAGAACCTAGAGATTTAAAACAAAACAAGACAAAGATCAATTCTTGAGTTATGCAGATGAATTTGAAAAAGCTTGGAATCAAGGACACTGATTTGCCGCTTTTAAACCCGAAAATGATTTGAATGATGAAGAAAAACAAGGGAATTTTCTCGAGAAACAGTTTTCCCCAAAAAAGCAAACATTTTGATGTTTACTTAGGCTCAGGCTTGTCTATCATCTAGGGATGTCTATCATGAGAAATTCAAAACGTTAATCTCATTTCTGAACACTGGAAATTGCGTTTTATCGACAAGCTGAATTTTTTCGAGCTTTGTTATTCATTCATTGTTCGAAAACTTAGAATCACTGCAAAGAAAAATATTGATGGAAAAGCTTACCGTAAATACTGTAATAGTACCCCCACCCCCATAATGACGGTGCGGAGTGTTGCGTAGTCTAGCTTCCGATTCCATCCAGTAGATCGATCCGATCTCATCCAGTAGATCGATCCGATTCCATCCATTAGACCGATCCTATCCCATTCAGTAGATCGATCCGATCCCATCCGTTAGACCGATCCAATCTCATCCAGTAGATCGATCCAATTCCATCAGTAGATCGATCCAATTCCATCCAGTAGACCGATCCGATCCCATCCATTAGACCGATCCAATCCCATCCATTAGCGTCCTATCCCATCCAGTAGATCGATCCGATCCCATCCATTAGACCGATCCTATCCCATCCGTTAGACCGATCCAATCCCATCCAGTAGACCGATCCAATCCCATCCATTAGACCGATCCTATCCCATCCAGTAGATCGATCCGATCCCATCCATTAGACCGATCCGATCCCATCCGCTGGACCGATCCAATCCCATCCAGTAGACCGATCCGATCCCATCCAGTAGATTGATCCAATCCCATTCAGTAGACCGATCCGATCCGATAAACCCATACATCAGGTCGCTCGGAGAAAAACCTCAATTTAAGTCGTTTTCTCTTTTCTGATCTTAAATTCAATCTGAAATCGAATATATCAACCATTAACTTTTTTTTTACAAAAGATGAGTCATATCATTTTCTATCGTTTTTAATCCCTTTTATCGTTTCTCCAACGAATTTCATTCATTTTAACATAAAATTTATTTCTTTCACTGGAAAAAATCTCACACTCAAAGCCAAAATCTCGCTTTTTATCTGGTAATCAAAAACTGTTTCAGTTTTCTTCCCCAATCGGTTGCCAAGACTACAAGCGAACGACCGATAATTTGTCGTTAATTTGGCCAATGAAAATCTCCAGCGATTGCACAAAACCCATCACTTTTCATTACTAAAACCTTTCAACAATGTTTTCAAGAACAGATCCGCTTGCAACAGCCAGGTGAGTGGAATACAATTAGAATGTTGTAAAATGTACGTTGTAAAATGTCTAATGTAACCAACGATTAAAGTGCTGCTAATTCACTCAATGAAATGGAGAAAACGTTCTTCGAGCCAACTTTCAAGTATCTCATGTGTTCGGGTTGCGGGAAGCACTGTACGTGAGCTATTCAATCGCCATTTCCATTCAATCTCATTGCCATTTTTTCCTAATGTACACCAAAATACTGTAATCTTGTCCCACTACAGTATACCGGAAAATTTCGGTATATTGTAACAAGGATTACGGTGTACGGCATACTACAGGGTACACCATAATTGTCGCAACAGCTATAGATCAATCTAGCGGATTTAAAGCAAGTTAGAAGCGTTTGTAGTTTACGTTTGTAGTTTGTAGTGCTATGTTTAGTTTAGATCAATGAAATGCTAGTTTCAATTGGTAGATTCAATGAAATGAATATCTTCAGTCGATAAAGTCGATAAAGTTCTGATCAGGCAGGACTTCGCTCTTATCTCGGCGCTCGTTTGCCTAATTGAAATAGTTTTTGTATCATTAGATTGATCATTATCATTCGTCTTGTCTTCTTCTATCGATTAATATTAAAATAATTTTAAACGGAGCAATAAGAGAGAAATAACAAGCGATAATAGTTGTTGCAATGATTTTTAGACGCCCGAAAGATCCAGACTTTGAATCTAGACTAGATCGAAAGATCTAGACTCAAAGATCTAAAGATTCAAAGATCTAAAGACAAAAAGAGACTCTGATTCCTTTATTCAGTTTATTTCTCATTTAATCTTTATTTATTTCTTTCAGTTTCTCAAGGAGACAAAGTCTACGAGTGTCAAACATTCTTCAACTATGGAACGTGCTACAAATACAATCGGACATGTTTCCCTTGCATGTAATGAGATTTTATTAGAAATTTCTAATGGAAATCATAGAATTTCTTCAGCTTTTAGATTAGCATTACTATCTATTCGTGGGGGAAAAACGTAGCGAGCAAATAGGCATCATTGAGGGTATCCCATGCTTTGATCAGCGCCTTCTTCAAACTTTCGATATTTTTATGTGGTTTTGCACATGCCCTGGCTTCAAGAACACACCAGACTGAGTAATCCAATGGGTTAAGATCGGGTGAGCTGGGTGGCCACTCAGAAAGCGAGATGAAGTTCGGGAAGGTCTTTGAACAAAACTCTTGCACTTTCTTTGCCTTGTGAGCCGGCGCACCATCTTCTTGATAAGTCCAAATTCGATTTTTGACAAAAACCATAAAAATAGGTAAGCAAAAAGTGAAATGGGGCTCATAATGCGACGTTGTTGCGGTAATTCTTGGTCACCCTGTACAATCGGACATCTGGAATTTAAAAATACATTTAGTTACACAAAAAATTGGGGAAAACAATACACAAGCAGTTTTAAGCCTGAGCCTAAGCCTAAGCCTGAGCCTGAGGCTAAGCCTAAGCCTAAGCCTGAGCCTAAGCCTGAGCCTAAGCCTGAGCAGCCGCCGCCTGAACACGCTGCCACTTGAGCTCAAGGATCGATTATCGATGTGGAGACGCTTTCACCATTCCTCACAACCATACTAATGTATTGAAAGTTAGTAATCATACCATAAAATAAGAAAAATACACAAAAATCATAAAAATAGGTAAGCAAAAAGTGAAATGGGGCTCATGACAACGTTGTTGCGGTAATTCTTGGTCACCCTTTACAATCGGACATGTTTCCCTTGCATGTAATGAGATTTTATTAGAAATTTCTAGTGGAAAACATAGAATTTCTTCAGCTTTTAGATTAGCATTACTATCTATTCGAAAATTCAAAACTTTTCAGGCTCAAGCATGCCAAAGATCAGCATTCCCGGTCGGCGGAGACTGATCTTCAAAATTTCTTCAATCATTCACAAAGTTGTATGCGCAAATTGGATATTGAGGGTAAGATTTGTATTTTAAACTCAATTTTCAATTTCTTTCAATTCTTAAATCATTTTCTTTATCAAGATTACAATATTTTAGAAAAACTTTTAAAGTTCTACGCTTTAATGGAGCAAAAGTTTCTAACTCAAATGGTTCCTCAAGAAATTCTTCAGAAAATGGAAACTTGTATAGGTTTGGATAATGAAAGAGTCTTCAATTTTCACAATTTTTAGTGCAAACTGAAGCCAAGGGAGATGGTGAAATAGATGAGGTAAGAGAAAGAGAAAAATTTCGTAAACGAAAGATTTAGTCAATAAACTCGTTTTCCTATTGTATTGGCTCTCCTGGTCCGAAGCGCTGATCAATAGAAAAAGTCGATACTGTATTCGAATCTTGAGCATATTCTGCTTTAATGTGAAATAAATAATGTTGGACGTTTTCGCAAAGTTACAACAACTTTCAAAAGACTAGATACATTTTAGAAAAAGACACTACTAAAGGTAAACTCCAGGGTTGGGCACAATGATGGCAACTCGGTTTTTCGATGGTAACTCGACGCCCAGTTACCCAATTCCCCTAATTTCATATCTATTAGGTTGTACAGTTATAAATACGCGTTTTTGAGGGCTTATTCCAAATATTTCTGCAAGTTCACGTGTAGTTTGTCGAGGATCAATTTCGATCGCCTGTTTAAGTACTGCATTATCGATCGTAGGAGGCCGGTGGTCCTCCTACGATCGTCCTCATCTCCCAAAAATCGTTCTCTCCTTCTCGAAATCGTTGAAACCAGACACTGGCTTTCCGAAATAGCATCTTCGCCAAATACTTTGCAGAGATCTCGATGAGATTCAGCGATATTTTTGCCCAATTTGAACTCATACCAAAGACTGGCATGGAGACGAAAATTCGTGTCGTTCTCAGAAATTAAATCCAAACAAATTAAATCTAAACACAGATTAAATCAAAAATTGACCTCAAAAACACAAAAAGTTGTAATAAAATAAGAAAAAGAAAAGAAAAGTTGTAATAAAATAAGAAATCCTGGACAGCATATAGAAAATTTGGTTTGATAAAATTGTAAGGCTCTAAGGAATGCTGTTCAAGTTGTTCAAGAGCAGGCTGGACATTCATAACTGGACAACCTAATATATGAAATTACAACTTAATTTCTACGATCAATTTCAATTTTTATCTCAGAAACAAAGTGCTATGCTTTTATAGTACTTCGAAGTTCTCTCGATGCCAATCTCTTGACAGAATCGTTGTTTTCGATTTCAATTTCAATTCAACTCTCAAGAATTGCTCACAAATCAACCAATTCTTTTAGTTTTTTTCATTCTTTAGTTAAATTTAGTCAAATGTCACAAAATAAATCAATTAAATTTGCAAGACAGCAAATCAGGAATCATTTCGGGAGTACAGATCGCTGGTCTGCTCAATTTTCAGGGAGTTCAACCATTAGCTCTCAAAATTTTGAAATTATTAAAAAACTTCTGATGTGAAATCCTCCAGATAAGTCTATTTCTTAATAAAAAAAGCAAAAATGAGTAAATACGAAGCAGGAAATTCTTCAAAATATGTGCAAAGCCGGCCAAACAACGATTCTATCAAGAGATTGGCATCGCTGAACTTCGAAGTACTATAAAAAGCATAGCACTTTGTTTCTGAACTAAAAATTGAAATTGACCGTAGAAATTAAGTTGAAATTTCATATATTAGGTTGTCCGGAAATAAATGAGCGTTTTGTATTGTTTATTATTTGGGTACATTTTTCTCAATAAAGTATGCTCTGTACCTTGTCATGTTATATACCATTAGAAAGCTGAGTTCGCACTCTCTTTAACCATGCTTTTAAATTTTGCTGAAAATAAAATTTTTTGCGAGTTTTAAGCTTCGCCGTTTTAGATGTCCGAAACTAACTTTCGCCAGATTTTCTTTTATGAGTTCAAACTCGGTCACAATGCAGCTGAAGCGGCTCGTAACATTAACGAAGTTTGGGGCCAAGGCAGTGTCGGCGAGTCAACAGTGCGAACTTGGTTCCGAAAATTCCGAGGTGATGATTTGGATCTCAAAGATAAGGAAGGCCTTGACCGTCCTGTTGAACTCGATGACGACGAAATGAAGACCCTGGTGGAAGCAAATCCACGTACGACTATTCGAAAGTTTGCGGAGGAGCTTGGCGTGGACAAGACGACCATTTCTGACCGCTTGAAACGGATTGGAAAGTCAAAAAAGCTCGATAAATGGGTGCCGCACGAATTAAACGAAAATCAAAAAATCGTCCTTTTGAGGTGTCGTCTGCTCTTTTTCAGCGCAACAAAAACGACCCATTTCTCGACCGGATCGTAACGTGTGATGAAAAGTGGATCCTCTACGACAATCGGCGACGTTCCGCTCAGTGGTTGAATGCCGGAGAGGCTCCACAATACTTTCCAAAGCCAGATTTGCACCAAAAGAAGGTTATGGTGACTGTTTGGTGGTCCGCAGCCGGTCTAATCCATCACAGCTTTCTGAATCCGGGCGAAACGATTACGGCGAAGAAGTACTGCCAACAAATCACCAAATGCACCAGAAGTTGCGGCGAATGTGCCCGGCATTGGTCAACAGAAAAGGTCCAATTCTTCTCCACGACAACGCTTGTCCGCACGTCGCACAACCGACCCTGCAAAAGCTAAACGAACTGAGCTACAAAACTTTCCCTCACCTGCCATATTCGCCTGATCTTTTGCTTACCGACTACCACTTTTTCAAGCACCTCGACAACTTTCTCCGGGAGAAGTGCTTCAACACTCAAGACGATGCCAAAAACGCCTTCGCCGACTTTATCGCCACCAGAAGCCCGGACATCTATGCTACCGGCATAAATAAACTTGTTTCTCGTTGGCAAGAATGTGTTAATTGTAATGGTTCTTATTTCGATTAATAAAGTTTTGTTTGGATCAAGTTATGGTACTTTAAATATTCAACTTAAAAACGCTCATTTATTTCCGGACAACCTAATAGATATGAAATTAGGGAAATTGGGTTATTGGGCGTCGAGTTACAGTCGAAAAACCGAGTTGGCATAATTGTGCCATACACATCTCGAATTCTCAGCACAAGCACACAAAAAAGCGGCTCACGCTCTTTACTTTTAGCTGTTCCGATCAAAACAGACTCCAATCATCTCATTCCATTCGGCCATCAGCAATCAGTCTTTCTTTCTTTCTTTCTTTCCCTTTCCCCATTCCCTTTTTTCCTTATTTGTGAGTTGATCAGTTCACCTGTAGTCTGTCGTCTAGTCTTATCACTGATTATTTGAAAGAAGAAATCGGGAAAAGACAAAAGAAAAGAGAAAAGGATTCTCCCCTACTTGCTGATCATCACTTTTCCGTTTCAATTCCAAAGTTCTCTTCCTAATTTTCAACTAAGAACATTTCAAGTGGCTATTCGTGCTTTAATAAAGAATAGAAACAGCCGATAGCCTATACTCCATAATTATTAACTTCTTAAGGCGTTAAACTAAGCTTTTGAACTTTTCCAGGTTTGGACCTTGCCAGAGCTGGGTACATCCATGCTTTGAGTAGAATCCGAAAATCGCCATCTCAAAATTCGATTATTGCGTTTTTGCTAAGAAAATGCAACTTTTTTCGGAAAAATTTGCGAATTCATTTTTATTTCTGAACATTTTTCTGTTTTGGAACTGATTTGTGGCCCTAAAGAGGGTCGTTGGGTTGGGGTTTTTGGTTTTAATATTCGCAAGGATGCAACTGTTGTATTTGTGATCAGAAGTGGTAGTAAGGGTCATCACAGAACTGCTGGCACCATTGAAACGCATTGAGGTAATCTGCATATCGATCGTTGCCGCGTGTGTTGATGCCGTGCTTGTTCTTCATCAAACGAGCTGCTTATAAAGCGTTTGGGTTATAGAACACTCAGGTTTAATCAGATTTAAACGGGTTTAAACAGGCTTTAAACAGGTTTTAAATAGGTTTTAACCGGTTTAGACGGGTTTAAACGGGTTTAAACAGGTTTAAGTGGGCTTTAAACAGGTTTTAAAACAGGTTTTAAATAGGTTTCAGCAGGTTTAAACGGGTTCAAACAGGATTCAAACAGGTTTTAAACAGGTTTCAACAGGTTTCAACAGGTTTCAACAGGTTTCAACGAGTTTAAAAAGGCTTTAAACAGTTTTAAACAGGTTTAGACAGGTTTTAAACGGGTTTAAACAGGTTTCAACAGGTTTAAGCAGGTTGGAACAGGTTTAAACAGTTATTAAACAGGTTTAAAAAGGTTTAAATAGGTTTAGACAGGTTTAAACAGGTTTTAAACAGGTTTAAACAGGTTTTAAACAGATTCAAACAGGTTTTAATCAGGTTTCAACAGGTTTCAACAGGTTTCAACAGGTTTAAACAGGTTTAATTTGCTCTTTAAAGCCCCACCCACTTAAGTGACGCTCGCTGTATAAAAAGCTCAGTATCAAAGAAAATGAATTTGCAAATTTTTCTGAAAAAGTAGCATTTTCTTTGCAAAAACCGCAACAATCGGATTTTGGAATGACGATTTTCGGATTTTAAGAAGCAAAAAAGTCCCCTCTCCCAACTTTATTAGTACGAACAATTCTTGTTTTTTTTGTTTTTTATGTACCACCTTTCCTCGGGAATTTAAATAGTGCATTTTTCAGGCAAAATGGTTCAGCTCCGATACGACGGAAAGGTGGCCATTGTGACTGGAGCTGGTGGAGGTCTCGGAAAGACCTATGCTCTCGAATTGGCAAAGAGAGGGTGCAAAGTTGTTGGTTGGTGAGCTGAATCCTTTAAATGTCTATTTCTGAACAGATTACTTCAGCCTAACAGCATAAATTGATCTGTGAACTTTAGTGAATGATTTGGGCGGTGATCGACATGGAACCTCGTCTTCGACATCGATGGCCGATAAGGTTTGCTTCAAATAATGGTCAGAAAAGAATCAATTATATTTTAATCTAATCATTATCATTCATTTTCTTCAGCAAATATTTCTCAAGATCTCATAACGATGTTATTAGGTTGTTCGGATTTAAACAAGCGTTACTAAACTTATTGTTGTGAGAGAAGCTTTTAAAACATGTCTTTCTGTATTTAAAAGCCGTTATCTTGTGCATATCCGGAAAACTTGGCATTAGTACAAGTCCTTGGTACACTTAGAAAGTACATTGGTACCTTGGTACACTTAGAAAGTACATTGGTACCTTGGTACACTTAGAAAGTATGGAAATCGAGTGTAGATTAAAGTAGAGAATGATCTTCAGAGAAAAACAAAGTGTTTTTCGAGACTTTTTCATGTTAAATTTTTGTCGTAAGTTTATCTTATTGTTAAGTGTTAATTTTCGCGCGACGTCGCATTTCAATTGACGTCACCACCATTTGGAAGCAGTCGATGGGAGCGCCGCGTTGTCGTTTCTTTTTAGTTTTCAAATCATTTGCTTTTGTCAGATTAATTGAAAGTATTGTTTTACGCGATAAATTTTGAAATTAGAAAGAAATCAATTTCTGTTTGGAGTGGAGAATCCGGAACTTTTCGTAGTTAGACCAAAAAACTATTAGGTTGTTCGGATTTAAACAAGCGTTGCTAAACTTATTGTTGTGAGAGAAGCTTTTAAAACATGTCTTTCTGTATTTAAAAGTACGTTATCTTGTGTATATTTGGAATATTTTTAAACGGATAATTTCTTATCTTTTTTCTTGCTTTAGATGACCGACTTCAAATATATCAAGTTCGCGTCTACTTTACTTATCAATTAGCCTACTTTACGACTTCAAACTGGGCGAAACAGTCGCGGAATCCCATCAAGATTTGGTGAAAGCATTTGGGAATGATGTATTGTTCAAAAGCCGATGCCGAGCCTGGTTCTAACGCTTTCGGAATAGTGATGAAAGTCTCGAGGATCATGAACACTCTTGTCGACCTCAAGCGGTAGACAATGATATTTTGAGGGCTGCAATCGAACCGGATCCTTGTCAAACGACGCGTGAACTTGCCCAACAGTTTCTATGTTCAAATTCTACTATTGATGAGCATCTCCACACCATTGGAAAGACGATCAGATGCAGGAAATGGCTTCCTCACGAGTTAAGCAGTGCAAACGCTCGTTTATCTCCGAAAAACCTAATAAAAAGAACTGCTATCTAATTTCTCCACTTTCCCTTTCTAGAATCTTTGCTGATAAAGATTCCAAAAGAAATACTGGGCTATCAATCTTAAAATAAGGTCAAGAATTGAACAAGCTAAATAAAGTTCTATTCAGTTTACAACGATTTCCAGGTAGTGCAAGAGATCAAGGCAGCCGGTGGACAAGCCGTCGCCAACTATGACTCGGTGGAGTTCGGAGAGAAAATTGTGAAGACGGCGATTGATGCTTTTGGGAGAATTGGTAAAATATGCAAAATAACAAAAAGAAACTATTAAAAGAAGTTTAAAGAAAGTTATAAATGCTAATTTTTCAGATATCGTCATCAACAATGCCGGCATTCTCAGAGATGTTTCGTTGTTGAAGATGAAAGATGTTGATTGGGGTATAACTTTGAACTTTACTTACTTATTGCGAAAATGAATGTGAATTTAATTTAGTTGTAACTTAAATGAAAGTTTTCAATAATATTTCCAGATCTGATCTTCCAAGTGCACGTGAAAGGCGCCTTCTCGGTGACCCGAGCCGCCTGGCCTTACATGAGAGATCAAAAGGTAAACCTGGGTCATAATGTTGAAAAAGTTCTTAGCTTTTACTTTTAAAAGATAGATTAACACTGATACTTTAAAGTTATAACCCTCTGAACTTAAATAAGATTTCAGTACGGTCGTATCATTGTCACCTCCTCAAATGCGGCTATTTATGGAAACTTTGGGCAGACAAACTATTCGGCTGGTGAGTCAAGTGTCACTGGGCTTAGGCTTAGGCTTAGGCTTAGGCTTGGACTTAGTGGGAAGGCTAGCGGCTAGCGCCTAGCACTAAGTCTATTTGAGTTTGGGCTGAACCCCCATTTTTTGGATCTCAGCCGGTTCCCGGAGCTAAGGTGCAAGCTTTTGGTGTTGTGTTTGCGTCTCCCATAGGAGCATCCTGGCAAATTTTCAGGTCGCTGTCATTCTGGAACTTGAGATTTAGGCTTAGGCTTAGGCTCAGGCTTAGGCTTAGGCTTAGGCTTAGGAAAAAGGAAACAACAGGAAAACAAATCACTTAGAATTTGGCTGGAAATAAACAAATTTTGTTTAAAATTTGAAATCTTTAGCGAAATCAGCTTTAATCGGTTTTGCGAACTCGTTGGCGAAAGAGGGAGAGAAGTACAATATCAAGGCGAACACGCTTGTGCCGACCGCTGGATCGAGACTGACACAGACTGTGATGCCCGAGGTAAACACAAGAGAAACAATACAATAATAAGGTTGTAAAAGACAAAGCTATTACTAGGTTGATGGAAAAGAAATTTCGCTCGGTATAAAATGTTCTTTGATAACTTTTTTAATCTAGAAATCATATTTGATTTTCTTTTATATGTCGTAGCCGATGAAGGATTTCAGCCGAAGAAGTCTCAAATTTTTTCGCTAGCGAAACCTTCTTCGGCTAGGCGATTAAGTCTCAAAAATAAAATCTTGAGTTACGTATTGACTCAAGTCAATACCACAAACTCAAACTCTCTAAAAGGCCCTTAAAAGCTAAAAACGCATTCTAAAGAGTGCGCATTTTATCATACTGTAACCAAAGGCTATGAAAGGGCCCTTTTCTATCTGATTCGTCATTTATTTGAAATAGAAGTGTTTGTTTTTGTAAGTCAATTTGACTCCTTTGTTGGATCATCGATAAAACTTGTTTACCACTAATCTGTTTATAATCGAACATAACCTCTTATTTCAATCCTATTTTTTCTTTTTGTTACTGTGCATTTTTTTGTTTAAGCTACACTAATTTTTGTTGATCGTTAACCGGCCAAAGAGCTCCTCGTTCTTGACGACTTTCTTGGGTTTGTCCAAATCGCCTTTGATCCCATGATTGTAAAGCACCTCTTGATTCAATTCGTATCGAAGGGAGAATCGCACTACAAGTTTTTAGTTTTTAGCGCCTTTTAGAGAGCGTTTTTAGCTTTTAAGCGCCTTTTTGAGAGCTTGAGTTTGTGGTATAGTCAATACATAGATTTCATTTTTGAGACTTAATCGGCTAGCCGAAGAAGGTTTCGCTAGCGAAAAAATTTGAGACTTCATCGGCTAGCCGAAGAAGTCTGAGACTTCTTCGGCTGAAATCCTTAATCGGTTACGACATATATATGAATTGACTGGTTTCAAAACAAAAGCTTCCTGCTTGAAGTCCAGCCCTTAGATCGAAATTAACTTTTCCCAAAGCTAGACAATGCCTGATTATCATTAAAATTTATAAAAAGCTATGGTTTGCTCTTTGAAACAAAAGACAAAAAATGTTATCAAGAATTCTCCTAATATTATAAAGATCTATTTATAAAGTTGGATATAAACTCACTCCTGCTTAGGACCTTGTCAACGCGTTGAAGCCCGAGTACGTGACTCCGCTCACTCTCTACATGGCACACGAGTCATTCCCAGAGACCGGCAAAGTGTATGAAGCTGGAGCTGGGTGGTATGGACAATGTGAGTCAAAACGGAGTTTCATTTTACTTCACTTTTCAAGTTTAGTGTTGTACTATCGATCAAATGGAAAAGTTGTCACTAATGCCTCCGTTGAAGATGTGGCCAACAATTGGACGGCGATCAGCGACATGAAGAATGCGCACAGTCTTTCGTACATGAAAGGTAATCAAGAATTGAATGGATTGATTGGATTGAATGAATTTCTTGATCAGAAGAGTGTTTTAGAGACAAAACGAATCTCCGTATATGTTCATTTTCATTTTTAGATGCCACCGCTCATCTCATGGACGCTCTCGCTGCTCAAGAGGAAGCGGTGAGTAACTTTAAGAAAAAGAGATCGTATTTCTATTTCTTTTTGTATTTATGAGATCAATTATATCAATAAAAGTAGTTTTGAAAGCATTTTCAGAAGATTTTATCGTCATTTTCAAACCATTCAAACCATTTTCAGAATGAGAAGGCCAACGCATCGGGAGGAGCCTCAACCGGCACCTCAGTTGGCGGTGATTTCCCAGCTAGCATCCGCTCATCGGCTTTGTTCAAAGAAATGGCTGAAGGAGTGCGAAAAGAGCCGGAACTTGTCAAAAATGTTAAAGTAAAAGAAAAATGCAAATAGAAGATTTTATCGACGATTTCAGGCGATCATTCTCTACTCGATCACCGATGGGAAAAATGAGATCGGGAAATTCAGTGAGTTCTTAGAGAATTTTGCAACTATTTGAGAATTTGAGAATTTTGAGAACAACAACTATTAGTTGTTAGAGTGTAACCTTGACTTATCTAAAGTGAAATGTTTAGCTCTTGACTTCAAATCAAGCCCACCATCAGTCTACTTTGGTGATGTGAAGAATGGTGAGAAAGCAACGACAACGGTTACAGTTTCGGATAACGATTTCTGTGAGATTGGCGCCGGAACCTTGCAGCCACAAAAGGTAAGGTAAAAAAGAAAAAGAAAACCGAAAAAAGCATAGATTGAGGAGTTAGGAAAAATCTTACTACAATGTAATCTTGAGTCTGCAACTCGCTTGAGTTGCAACTCAAGCGAGTTGCAGACTCAAGATTACATTGTAGTAAGATTTTTCCAAGCAAACTTGCCATACCGATTTAAAGTTATTTGACTAAATGAATCCCTCTTTCACCTTATGACCTAATTGAATATCTTGTAACTGCATAAACACACTTAAAACAAACTAAAGATACTCAATCAGGTTGAACAAAGCTTAAGCTTACAAGGGAATCCCACGAGATCCCCGACGTTTGGCTGGAAACAGAGTCTGATGCAGAATTACACCGTGATTCCGAATCTGTAATCAGAAGTTCCTAAATTCCAATCAGAAGTTCCTAAATTCCAATCAGAAGTTCAAGCAAAAGATATTCAACTTTTCCTTTTCGTCGCATTTTTTGCAGCTATCGGCACGCAATAAGATCCTTTTTCACCCACTCACCTAAGCCTAAGCCTAAGCCTAAGCCTGAGCCAATTAGCTCGGTGGTCTAGTGGTTAGTAAGCTTCCGTCATGCGCCAATTTACATTTATTCCAATAACACCCAAAATTTACATAGAATGCATAGAATTTGCATAGAATTTGCATAGAATAAACGGTACTGATCTCGGAAGTGATAACTTCTTTTGGGCGATACATTGCACCAAACGAATCCCTATGCGTGTGCCCAGTGTTCAAAGAGATCAACCTTCAACATTAAAGTCAATTTCAATAGCACCCTCAACCATTGAGGCACAATTGAATCTATTGCACGCTTATTACCCAATTAGCATTTCTTTTGAAAATTTGCATTACATATGTGTGCGTTTTTATCAATATGTGCAAATCTGCATTTTAAACCCGCTAAAAGTTCTCAAATGGCTTTTTAATTGTGCCTTAGGCGACACCCGTGCTAGTTAATAGCTAAAAAGCACAAAATTTTTGAGCAAACTAGCAAAAAAAATATATAAAATTAACTCGAAAATCTAACGGAAATGTTTGGGGGTTTATTTTTGTGGATTAGGGTATTCAGTCTAGATTAAGGCATTCAGTTAAGATTAGCTGGATTACAGTATTCAGTCTAGATTAGGGTATTCAGTCTAATTTAAGGCATTCAGTTAAGATTAGCTGGATTACAGTATTCGGTCTAGATTAAGGCATTCAGTTAAGATTAGCTGGATTACAGTATTCAGTCTAGATTAGGGTATTCAGTCTAGATTTGGGTATTCAGTCTAGTTTAAGGCATTCAGTTAAGATTAGCTGGATTACAGTATTCAGTCTAGATTAGGGTATTCAGTCTAGTTTAAGGCATTCAGTTAAGATTGGCTGGATTACAGTATTCAGTCTAGATTAGAGTATTCAGTCTAGATTTGGATATTCAGTCTAGATTAAGGTATTCAGTTATAAATAACGGAAAAAGAACCCAAATTTGGGGTGGTAAATGGAAAAAATGTAAAGTGATGGACGTAAAAGTCAAAAGTATTCCTAAATTTTTAAAATCTGCTTTCAACACACAGTTTTTCAGGCATTTATGTCGGGAAAGCTGAAGGTGAAAGGAAATGTGATGCTTCTTCAAAAACTCCAAGGACTCACCGAAGCTCGCAAGAAGTCAAAAATGTAAAATCAAAATTTCAATTAGTTTATCTAATGAAATCCATTTCATATTTATTTACTACCAGAAAAATCGACGAATAAAGCAATTTTAAACGTTTCTTTTTTATCAATGACATTTTAAACGTTTTAAAGCATTTTAAAGCACTTAATTAAAGCATAGAAAGCAGAATTTTTTGAACAAAAAAAAATCGCAAATCGAATGTGGTTAGGAAAACATGAAAAAGAAAATCGATGACTGAAAAGTTTTGAAAGAAATTTGTAAATTTGCAAAGAATTTGTAAACAAAAGTAATCTAAAGGTTAAAAGGTTAAGATTTGGTTAAGTTTTCTTTCTAAAGGTTAAGATTTGGTTGTTTCCTTTCTAAAGGTTAAGATTTGGATAGAAATCAAAGAATCAAATATAATCAAATCAAATTGTTAGATCTTAAACATCAGATTACAAAACTCTTAGTATCTCTTAATATTAGTATCGAGTGTTCAATCCATTCAAGAGTTGATTGGTGAGTTGATCGATGTCATCGTGTCCCCCACGAGTCATCGTTCGTTGTCGGATCTCCTGAAAGCCAAATATCAGTTTTGAAAGTAGTTTTGAATTCGCAAAGTAGCAAAGTAACAAAGTAACAACGTAACAAGGTAACAAAGTAACATTTCAAATGAAAGTAACAATTGCCAATGTGTATTGTAAGCACTTTAGTCAGTTAGCTTATTGCAAGTACTAAACTATCATTCGAAGCTTGTTTTGATCTTTGAAAAGTTCTACTTTAAGCCGTAACTGTAATGCGCAACTGTGACTTGAAGATCATAGTTTTATTATCGGCGAGTAGTAAAACTCGATCACTCGATCAGCTTGATCACTCGTACAATCGCGTAGTCTAACTTCTTTTTAGAAAATCATTGTTTCTCAGGCTCTAGAACTTTCCCAACTACACTTTTAATATCAAAAAATATTAGATTTAAAGGGATATCATTTGACACTCAAGCGCACACTGTAACTTAAAGCAGCGCGGAGAATGGGGCGTTCGAAGTTAGGCCACGCAACTGTACGTCTATCATTATGGGGTAGCGTTCTATTAGAGTATTTACGATAGGCAAATTAACTTGAAAAAATAGAAATCAATGAAGTTTTAATAATTTAATGTATATTAATGACATTTAATGTCACTCTATAGCAAGCGCATCACTAAAATAAGCTCTAGGAGTAAACAATATACAGCCGACTCTCTCTATAACGGAATGAAAGGGACCAAAAAATTGCTCCGTTATATAGAGTGCTGTTATATCTAGCTTAGTGTCGGCCGGGACCAAAATTCCATTCCGTTATATAGAGTTTTCCACTATATTCCGTTATAGAGAGAGACTGTATACGCGATGTGTGATTTAAAAGTATGAGAGGTAAACAAGTAAAAAAATCAAATCTAGGATTACAGATAAACGCGAACTTTTGCCAGAAGTAACAAAAAAACTGAAAATTCAACTCGCAAGTGTCAATATAATGCGATGGAATTAAGTTTAACATTACAGAATTTGGCTGAATATCTTATGCAGTTATAACTATTGAAATTGATCGAGTGATCGAGTTTTCCACTGATCGAGCTGATCGAGCTAATCGAGTGATCGAGCTGATCGAGCTGATCGAGCTGATCTAGTGATCGAACTGATCGAACTGATCGAACTGATCGAGTTTTACTACTTGCCCTTATTATCCTGCCACTTTTATGACTCAAGGACTTAATAAATCTCAATCTCAAGACAGAATCTTCTACTCACACTGATCTTTTGCGAAGCATTCGGGTCCCTCTGATTTAACGCATCCAAATGAGTGTTCGCCTCGCGTTGCGAGTGAGTCATTGCTGGAATTTGTTTCATCATGTAACAGAATCTCTGTTAATCACAGTTTTGCATAGTCCTCTCAAATTAGCCAATGAACACCAACTCTCATCACGTAGATTCCGGACGAAGCGATTCGGACTCACAACACCGCTTCCCCCGTGTCCCCCGTGACTGTTCCCATTTTGATGAACACGATACGGAGCATAAGGAGCAAATCTGAAACGTTCTTTAATGTTTTCTCCATCGATTTAAAGTCTTTGAAGTGTTTGAGAAGTGTTATTGATACCTTTGCTCTGTCTCTTGGGTCTCCAAAGTTTGATACATCGATTTGACACTCGTGTGCTTTTGAACTGGAGTTCCATCATTCAACTAAAGCCTTAAAATGATTTGATTTTCGAAAATCCTTACATCCATAATAGCGATTGGTGTAGTTGTTGCATATTGATGGATTAATTCTCGCGGATTTGTGATCAAATAACCAGTCTTTGTGTCCACAATTCGGTATGGATCATTTGTGGAAGCAACTGAAATGAGAAAATGCTTCAAAATATCGATAATAGATACAGTACTGGACAATGAAATATCATATTTGAAAAACGATCGTCACTTTCGCGCCTCTGTAGCTCCCTTGTCTTTGAGTTTAAACTATTAGTGTTATACATTTTCTGAAAGCTCTTTTCAAGGGCTACACAATGGTAATATTAATATTTAGAAATATGATATTTTTTTGACGCATTTCAGCGCGCACAAGATGGGATACTCAAAATTGTTGATTTTCAAAGCCGTTTTTCTTTATGATAGAGTGCTGGAATCGCTCTGAAACTATGATTTTCGGAATCTACGCAAAAATTTACCTTAGAATCATCAAAATTTGTAAAATTGTATCACAGTTTCATAGCGAAAAAAACCACATTTGCGAAATTCTCACTTCTTGAGCAGTTCTTCACAAAAATTGTGTTGCGTGCAACTTTGAATGTTTTTCTTTCTTTGCCTTGGGTAAAATGATAATAATTACTGTTTTTAGGAGCAATGGAAAAGCAACGAGGATGCAAGGATCTTCATGTGCATACACAACAAGCAATCCTTAACGGCAAAAAGCAAGGGCTTAGCCAGAACCAGTTATCGGAACAGTTTACCGTCTCTCAGTCAACCATCTCCAGATTTCTATAACGATCTAAAGTTCGAAAAGTCGAAACTTGAGCGACGAACTAAGAATCTCAAAGCCGGCAATGCCGATGAGAGGTTTGCACAATTGGAGCAGGCTTGGAATTCAATCGCCGTCAGCTTCATCACTAATCTTCTTGATTCAATGCCTCGGCGATGTCAAGCTGTAATCGACGCTAAAGGATTTGCTACTAAATACTGAAAGCCCATTGTGTGCTCTGGGGTTTTCTCATTATTGTTACTGTTTTTGTTACTTTTTAATTTAACTACATTTTTGTTAAATATTTGTTTTCCAGCTTCTTCCTCGCTTGACCGCTCAAGAAGTGAGAATTTCGCAAATGTGGCTTTTTTCGCTATGAAACTGTGAAAAAATTTTACAAATATTGATGATTCTAAGGTAAATTTTTGCGTAGATTCCGAAAATCATAGTTTCAAAGCGATTCCAGCACTCTATCATAAAGAAAAACGGCTTTGAAAATCAACAATTTTGAGTATCCCATCTTGTGCGCGCTGAAATGCGTCAAAAAAATATCATATTTCTAAATATTAATATTACCATTGTGTAGCCCTTGAAAAGAGCTTTCAGAAAATGTATAACACTAATAGTTTAAACTCAAAGACAAGGGAGCTACAGAGGCGCGAAAGTTTTTCAAATATGATATTTCATTGTCCAGTACTGTATGCAAACACTGCTTTTTTATATATAGATTTTGTTCTAACTACTCTAACAAAACACCAACCACTGATTGGCCTGACCGGCTCCTCGTACGGTGGATAGTAGGGCTCTGAATAGTCTGTTGATTAAAGAATAAAGATACAATTGTTGGCAGTTAGAGAAGTGAGCTATGTTATCTTGTTTGTTTGAGGAAAAGTGTTAATTTAACTACCACGAGCGAGGGAGATGGGAGCTGGCTCGGCTGCTCGAATCGGTGTGTGAAGTGCCGTCGGTCCAGCATTGCCTCTATTTCCACGATCAGCTGAAATGGGGAAGAGTTACATGCCAATGGGTGAACATGCTAGGAATCTAGGAATCAAAGGATAAGAAAGAGGATAATAAGAGTCTTGCTAAAGTAAAGATTTTGCTAAGCTGGTATCTTCCCTATCTTCCCTTAATGGTATCTTCTCTATCTTCCCTTAATGGTATCTTCCCTATCTTCCCTATCTTCCCTTGCTAATCTGGTATCTTCCCTATCTTCCCTATCTTCCCTAGCTAAGCTGGTATCTTCCCTATCTTCCCTTAATGGTATCTTCCCTATCTTCCCTATCTTCCCTTGCTAACCTGGCATCTTCCCTATCTTCCCTATCTTGTAAAAGTAAAGATTTTGCTAAGCTGGTATCTTCCCTAACTTCCCTATCTTCCCTTAATGATATCTTCTCTATCTTCCCTATCTTCCCGGTGTTGCCGATAGGTAATCCTGAGGAATGATAGAATGAGCTGGTATCTTCCCTATCTTCGAATGATAGAATGAACTTCTTACAAATTTAGGCTCAAAGTGCAGAGTCAGAGAATATCTTCAGCTTAATCTTAAGTTCAAATTGAGATTGAAATCCAAAACAATATAAAGACTTAGAGTTTGCTTAAGGATTGGCTAAGAAATACCATTTTTTGCATTTCGTTGTAAGGTTTGGGTAAATCTGAGTGCTTGAATAGCTAAATCGAAGTTTTAGACAGTTTAAATCGAAGTTTAAATCAGTTTAAATCGAAGTAAAGAAGGTTCAGAATGTAGAGCATAAAAGCATTCATCATAATATAAAGAAATTCAAGCAGATTTCTCAGGGTACAAACTTGCAGGTTCAGGTGCTGGGGGAAGGGGTGCCGGGGGTTTCTCCATGCTCTTCCCTCGCCCACCATCTGGCACATTTGGGAAGTTCCCGTCGAAGACTGAACCAGCTACTCCTTCTCCTGAAATACTTATATATTCAAGAACTCTATATTCTTCTCAGTATTCTCACCTGGAAGTGTGCTTGACCATTCCTTTTCATAAACATTCACTCCTCCTTGTCCGCGCTCTCCTCGATCGACTTTCGACAATGTAGTGATTGTGACACGCGGAGAAAGATCGACTGGTCCTCTAAAAATTGATTGTTGTTGAGAATTGATTGTTGTTGAAAATTGATTGATTGTTTCTAGTTTGTTAATTAAATTCAACCTTTTTTTCTCCACTCCATCAGCAGCAACGACTCCATCACCGATCGGCGAATAGAACATTCGACGAGGCTTCAATCCCTTTGGCATTTGAGAAGGATCTGAATACTTTTTTCTGAATTTCTATTTAAATATTTTTATTTACATATTTCTAATCTAATCTAATCTAATCTAATCTACAGTTTCTAATCTACAATTCCTAAGTTCGAGATTTGCATTTTAAACTTTAGAAAAGCATTTACCAGTGATGATCTCTCCTCCAGTCCATCGATGCTCTGTCATTTCGACTCCCGAACCCGGTCGAGCGCCGTAACCAGAGAATTTTGAACTAAAACTTTGAATTCAATCTATCTTTTAATATTTCGACTACATTATAAACCTATCTACGGTTTTGTAAGCTTTAATTGTAAGCTTTTTGTAAGCTTTAATTGTAAGCTTTTTGTAAGCTTTAACACTTAAAATCTTACAGATCAATGAGTTGTCTCTCTGCTGATGAGCGATTCAGCGAATCGTGATGTCGCTTTGTTTCAAAACGATTGTAATCATCCTGAAATTGGCTTGTTTTATTGATTTCTTGATTTTTCTCTTAATTTTGTAAAGGTTGAACAAATTAGACAAGTTCCTTTTTTCAATTTTGCTTTGCTAACATTGATTCGTTATATTGTAAGTTCTCAAAGAAGCCTTGTTCTTCCAGCCTTGTTCTTCTAGCCTTGTTCTCTTTCATTTCCCGATCAAAGATCGATATTTTCTTCACGAATTTCACAGCCGTTTTTCTCTGATTTCAATTCAAAGCGGCAAAATGTGTTTTCTTTTTTGACACAAAAGAGAGAAATGCCTGTGGGGGAGAGAAGCTTTACAACACAAGCAATCCCTTCCCTTCTCTCCTTTCTTTTCTTTTAAAAGACAAAACGACTGAATGGGTTTTTCTTTTTGTTTCGCCCACGCCAAAATATGCCTTCTTTTCGAGAGTTTTCTTTTTTGAGACAATTATATTGAAGGGTTTGATTGGAAAGGGAAATAAATGAACAATAGTGACGTCAGAATTGTGCTTAACTATCCAACGATCCGTTAAGAGCTGATCGACGGTTTTGATTGGAAAGGGTATCATTTATCTGTTTCAGAAGCTATTTAACCTACCTACTTTAGATTTAAGACAAATAGTAAGACAAATCTCGTACTGTAAAGCCTCGTACTGTAAAGCCTCGTACTGTAAAGCCTCGTACGGAGTTTAGCCTTTGATCCTGCTACAGTACAGAACAATAGTAAGTATTCAGTTCAGCTAGGTGGAATGCAAATTCTTCATGAAAGCCAAAAGTAGGCAAGCTGGTCGACTATTGTTTCAGCTTAATATATTGACTTGATATTAAACTTTTACAGTATCTTTAGAAATCTAGGAAAGACCAATGCTTTAACTATTTGAACCGCTTTCAAAACTAACCCGATGTCTGCCGAGACTAGCATAGGATGGACTGGCGCCTCGACCGGAGAGATTTCCCGTGCTTCCATAGTGCGACATCGACATTTTTCAATTGATTTTGTTCTAGGTTAACACCTGGAATTTTGTGCAATGTAAAATGATTGCGGAAAATTTCTAAACATCAAAATGAAAGAGACAGCTGATCAAAAGACTCATATTTATGCCAGAAATTTTTTTGGAATAGAATAGAATGGACTTTGTGCTGAAAGGAAAGGCTATCTGGTGCATTGAATTTGTTTTTGGCCTGATTCTAGTGCCTGAAAGATTGAAGTATGTTAGAAAGGGTTTGTTTGAACTTATCAATCAGCTGAAATAGCTAAAAGACAACTGAAAGAAGGCTCTCAAGGCTGAGATCATGGGCTCAAGGCTGAGATAATGGGCTCAAGGCTGAGATAATGGGCTCAAAGAACTGAAAGAATTGAAAGTACCACTTAAAGTACATTTGAAAGATTCAAAAACATTTGTGGAAGTAAGGTGAAACCGCTGATCACAGCTTGTAAGTGGTAGAGGTGGTCAATGAAGAAGAAAAAGGAAGGAAGGGTGAAAAGTAAAGTCTCGTAAACAACGAACAGCTGTGGAGGAGATGGAGGATGAGAAAATGAGGAGAGATTGGGAGAATGTAAAGAAAGAGAAGGAAGGGATTGGATAAGATTAGAGAGTTGACAAAGAATGGAGCTGGGATTGAGAGATTGAGGAGAATGACCTTCTCTTCACCCATTCTTTGGCCTCTTTTCTTGAATAGCCGAGAACCAGGTGCCTTTGCTTTCTCCATACTTTGGCGGTAACTTTTAACTTTTGCAAACTCGAGCTTTTGCGAGCTCTGAGTATTTTCAGCTTAACCTTAGCTTCTGAGCTTAGCTTTTGAGTGAGCTTAGCTTTTGAGTGAGCTTAGCTTTTGAGCCTAAGCTTAACCATATTCTTTCTAAAATTTAAGGCAATATTTTTGAGAAACAAATTAAAATTTGAAACTAATTGTAAATGCTTTTGATTTGAATTCACTTTCTGCGAGCTTGTTCAAAAAGTTATACAGAATTCATAGCTAATAAAAAGCAAGAAGTAAGAGGCAAACCTCAAAATAATAAAATGGATTTAAAATGCCATTTTTCGAGTGATAAAACGAGTATATTAGGATATTAGCACATGAATATTAGGCTGTAGTTTCCGGGAAGGTTCCGGAAAAATCCGGGTATTTTGAACGGGTCGTCGGCTTTGAAAGCCTATAACTTTATCTAGAGATAATCTCTTTGCTAACTTTTTATATCATTGCACAGAGAACATTTCCGGCTTTCAAATGATACCAAATAGAGCTTGATTGGATTTTTCATTTCCATGCAAACCAGGCGACACAACACCCAAGTTGGATAGGCCTCAATTGCTCAGAGTTGGCTTTAATTTTCTTAAACTGGATTATCCAGTAAAGTTCTATTTAATACCATTTGAAAGGCTGAAATGTTCTCTGTACAATGATATAAAAAGTTAGCAAAAATATTATCTCTGGACAAAGTTATAGGCCTTCAAAGCGTGATGACCCGTTCAAAATACCTGGAAACTCAGCAAGAGCCGAATATTATCCAATTTTTATTTATCTTTCACTAAAAAGGAGTGAATAGATCAGCTTAAAGTAAAATTTTAGGCATTGAGATGAACCCTCTATCTTTTTCCTTTCCTTTTCTTTCTCTTTCTACATAAATTAGACATTTCCTAGATAGTTTTCCAAAAAGTTGTCCAGGTAGTTCGTCGTACCCTGTATTATACAGTCGATCGATTTAATGACTCTGTCGGGACGGCGAAATGGAGTCGTTATATCAAAAATCGTTATATAGAAGTAATAAAGAAAGCACAAAACACAGACTTTTAACCTAAATCGTTAGAGCGAAATAGTATTTAACATCATTTAATAACATTAAAAATCAAATTTAATTGCTTTGGCTGAACTGACATAATCAAAATCGAAGGTTGAGTTTGGTTTGATTTTCGTTCGACTTCCACAGAATAGATCGACCAGAAAAGTTGGGTAGTGGAACTAAGTTGATGAACAGGAAATGTCTACTCCTTCCTACTTTTCTCTTTCTCCCTTTCCCTTGGCAGAGAAAAAGAACCAAACCGAATCGAACCCTGGACTTTCTGATTCCCACTGACAGATGCTCTATTCACTGAGCCACAGAAACTTCTTTTAGCCAGCGAGAAAGAGAGAAGAAAGAAGGGAAGAAGAGAAAAAGCAAAATCTGCATTCTAAGTCTTATCCAAAAGTTATAAGATTTTGAACAAATGAAAAAAATGAAACTGAAAATGATGTGGGAATGAAATGATCATCGGCTTGTTTCCCCATCGGCTGACTATCTTGAAAGCAATCAAAAAAACATTTAGAGCAGAAATGTCATAAGAGAAAAGGACGATTGAGATATGAAATATCATTCAAGACTTTCACAATAACTTTTCTAGATAAACAAGCCAAAAATTAGCACCAATCTGACTTAAACATCTGAAAGTAATAAACCCTTGATGTTTTTGAGCCGAAAATTAGTCGAACAACTGACGGGGATCTCTTGTAAAAACTCAAAGAGCCAAAAAAAGCAAATTCCTTTACGTCATCAAATGATTGTGGGCGAATTTTGGTCATTGTGAATCTATTTATTGCGATTAATACATGGCTAAAAGTTTTGATTAACGAATTTGCATTAGAGATTTGTAGATTTCGTCGAGTTTCTTCTGGGGATTCTCGCCAGGTTGCAAGTGGACAGTTGAGGAGATTGTGGTGATATCTCGAGGACCTGAATGAATAGAAATATAGAAGATAATAGGTTCAAGGCTTTACTTAAGACGTTAAATAAGATAATGGGCTCAAGGCTGAGATAATGGGCTCAAGGCTGAGATCATGGGCTCAAGGCTGAGATCATGGGCTCAAGGCTGAGATAATAGGCTCTAGGCTGAGATAATCGACTCAAGGCTGAGATAATCGGCTTAAGGCTGAGATAATAGACTCAAGGCTGAGATCATGGGCTCAAGGCTGAGATAATAGGCTCAAGGCTGAGATCATGGGCTCAAGGCTGAGATAATGGGCTCAAGGCTGAGATAATAGGCTCAAGGCTGAGATAATAGGCTCTAGGCTGAGATAATCGACTCAAGGCTGAGATAATCGGCTTAAGGCTGAGATAATAGGCTCAAGGCTGAGATAATGGGCTCAAGGCTGAGATAATGGGCTCAAGGCTGAGATAATGGGCTCAAGGCTGAGATAATGGGCTCAAGGCTGAGATAATGGGCTCAAGGCTGAGATAATAGGCTCAAGGCTGAGATAATAGGCTTAATGCTGAGATCATGGGCTCAAGTTTTCATGACTCAGTCGAAAAACAACCTCAATTCACTGATTCAGGTCATATTTTTACTCTTCTGAACAAAATACGAAAAGTTTACTTTACTTTACTTTACTATCTTTCTTTACCACTTTACGATTTTACTTTACTTTATTTACCTTTCTCATAGCGCATACTAGTGAACACATTGTCCGAATTTCCTGCATTAAAAATTCTATCCGGATTGAGGACAGGAGCCGGTGGAGGAGTGGCACCCGTTGTGTAAATGGTTTTCACGGTACTGTGACCAGAGTTGTGACCAGAGTTGTAATCAGATGAAGGCACTGAAATTTGAGATGACTCTTGATGAGTACAGCATGCTTACAATTCTTGATAGTTGTGTAGTTAGTGCTGTGGGTGGTGTTGTAGCCGGATGATGGTGGCTCTGTAATTGAATCTTGGGAAAGAACTTTCAACGATCACTCACCATAAACTTTATCATAAGCGCCGGATCCTCGATTCACCGTACTTGTGCTGTGATTCGATCGATTCGTCCCATAATTTGTTTCCCGCATCATCGTTTGATTTGGGAGATTGTTTGTCGATCCATAACTGTTCGTCTTGTAATTCGTGGATGTTCGAGTGACTTCTGGTTGATCCAATCCACTCACAACACTCGAATAGTAGCTGGCATCACGGCCTACAAATTATAAACTTAATGATGGAAAAGGACTGTTGAAAGATGGGAAATTTCTCTCACCAAGTCATCGATAATTTTCTTTTAGCTCTGATTGCTCATTTGAAAAGGTCAAATGATACTTTTTTCTTTGATTATTGTCTTCAATTTTATAGATTTTCTATTAGCTAATACGCTAGCTGATCAATTGTGCAAATCCAATTCGGAAAGTTTATTTTGTCAAAGGAGAAGCTCGAGGAGGTTAGATACAGGTTGGTAGAACAAGGACAAAAGTAAAGGAGAGTTACTATTGTTGAAATCTAGAAAGAGAAATGAAAAGAAACAAAATATATTCATATTAGTTTCGTTAAAATCAAAAAAGCAAAGGATTTCGAATCCGAGCAAGAGTTGAATAGCTCGTTGTATAGCTAGCTCGTTGTATAGCTAGCTCGTTGTATAGCTAGCTCGTTGTATAGCTAGCTCGTTGTATAGCTAGCTCGTTGTATAGCTAGCTCGTTGTATAGCTAGCTCGTTGTTGTTGTTGTTGAATAGCTCGCTTTGTACAAGAGCATCTAGACCATCAGCTGACATTTTTATCAGCTCTATAACTCCTCCTTGCACATTTGGCGATCAGCAGTGGCAAGCTGGGGTACTTTCCTTGTTAACGCGACTAAACCATAAAGCCAAAGCTCCAAAATGAAACTTAAACCAAATTTTAGTCCGCTCAAAGCAGAAAGTCAGAGTTTATGGAGTTCAACTTTCAAAGATCGATGAAGAATATTTAAGAATAGCTCGAGAAACGCACGATGATCCGGTACATCTTTCCTGTACTCTTTTTAAATCAAAAACCCTAGTCTTGTCCAATTCACAAAGAAGAATACGACAATGTCTGTTTCACAATTCCGCCCGTTCAAGTTCTCATCGAAACAAAAGCTTTTTGTGACGCTTTTGTGGAGATGTGCAACGACATGTTGAAAACAAATCTTTTCACTAGAATCAAGTAAATTTATTCTATGAAAAGCTTTCCAAACAACCAAATCTTTTAGAGGATTTCGAATCGACTTCACAAAATATTGCAAAAGATACAAAGCAAGGTTGGGTTCATTTTCCGAAAACACTTTATTGCTTTCAGGTTCCAATTTGTTTGCCCAGATCCTTTAAGATTTCACTCATATGCCGAGGATGCTGTCGATTTTTGTATTAGGTAGTAGAATCCTTTACAAGCCTTTACTTACAGTGAAAGCTTTCGATTGTAACCTTGAAAAGTTTCAGATATCAAGAACGTTGTCCAGAAGTCGAAGTGCCGAGTGCTCCGATTCTATTTAAAGAGGTTTTTATAAAGACTTAGGAGAAGCTTATGCTTTTTCTCTGCTTCCCTTCTTTTACCTTCTTTCTTGGTAGTTAAAAGAACCGTCTGTAGCTCAGTGGATATCTGCCAGTGAAAAGCAGAAGATCAGGGGTTCGATTTGCCTCGGTGCTCTCTTTGCCAAAATTGTTTTGGAAGGGAAAATGAAAAGCGAAAGCAAAAAGGAGAGAGGAAGGAAGAGAAAGGTTTCATTTGGTTCAAGCTGATCTATTCATTGCTTTGTGCGAAAAAAGTCTCTCATTGTTTTGACAGACAATTGTACCTTTTGAGATTGAAACGGTTGAGCTTTTCTTCTAATTGTAAGCAAAACTCGAAATTCAAATGATTAAGTTAACTAATTGAAACATTTTCAGAAACACGATCACATCTATGTGCGTGAGATCAAACAATTTTGCGACAAGTTGGCCAACTTTGCCGCCAACTATTGCACGAATCCGGATATTTTGAAAGTGCCGAAATACCAATTCCCGTGTGGTCTTTACAAATATCAATGTGTCGATATTTATAAAGAAGTGATCTATGGATGGGGAAAGAAATAAAGATTTTAAGATCTTTTTTTGATGACGATCTTTTTTGATGACGATCTTTTTGATTTGAAAACGCCTACCAGTGATTCCTTCTCGAGCGACTTTGCTTGGGTCGAATGGAGTTGAGTAAACAGAGTCTCTAGGCGCGTTTCGACCCTAAAATAGATCGATGACTATAGATTACAATAGTTACAATAGCTCAGTAGGTACAGTCAAAATAGTAGCACAAGATTAACAAGTACGCCGTAAACGAACGAACGAATGAACTTGTTCATCTTATTCTCGCAATTATCACAATAAATCTTATCACAACAAAAAAGCCTTTTTATATGCAAATGCAAATTACCAATGATTGTGTCCCTTGATTGTAGGCTTGATGCACGATTTGATTGCTTTCTGTGGTGTTGGTTTTCATGTTTTGCATGGCTCTCTCGGTTGGTCGATCGACGGATGAGGAGCGGTAGTTCGGATCGATTGTCACTCGTTTATCCGAGGGTCCGACACTGAAAAAAGTTAATATTTTGATGAATTTTGATAGAACAACAGCTAGGATTGAGGTAAGGTAAGGTTTTAAGAGTAAGGTTTTAAGATCGTTCAAATTCGAATTCGATTCGAAGTTCGAACCTTCTCCTCAAAGAGCCCTTTCGATCAATGGTGCTGTATGGAGAAGGCCGACCGCTAGACAGTGATTCCCAGCCTAAAATTTTGATAAATCTTTGATATCTTTAAATATTAGAAGTCAATAGCTTTAAATAAACGTAATACAGAAATCATTTTTTCAATTTTCCTGTAAATAACCTCCTGGTCTCATAGGTTCATGGGGTTCATGGGCGTATAGGGGCGAAAGACTAATCGAACCATCTAGTAGCTGGTTCCCTCTGAAGTTTCCCTCAGGATAGCAGGAGTTTGTATCAGTTATATTCGGCAAAGCGAATGATTAGAGGAATTGGGGGCGAAATGCCCTCAACCTATTCTCAAACTTTCAATGGGTATGATGTTGCAGTTTCTTCAGTGAACTGTGACCCTGAATGAGAGCTCCTAGTGGGCCATTTTTGGTAAGCAGAACTGGCGCTGCGGGATGAACCAAACGTCGGGTTAAAGTGCCTAAGTGTCCACTCATGACACCCCATGAACCTGGAGGTTTTAAGACCTCCTGGAGGTGCTCCAACATGAAGATTCTCGATGCTTAGATTGACATTGCTTTGCTTTCCGTAGGTTCGATTCCACTGGTTCATATCAAAATCTAAAAGTTTTATGAGTTGATTGAATTGTTTCTTTGGTATTTATTTGATATATTTGATATATTTGATATGTTTGACTTGTTGTATTAATAGTTTTGCTGTATTAACAGTTTCCAAGCTTACCAAGCTTCGGAGCTCTATGATAGGTCTCCGTTCTCTCATAATCGATCTCCCGATCACGATTTGGAAGCTAGAAATTGAAACTTTATGAGAAATCTAACAATTAGATAAATGGCTTTAAAGCTTTTTTTCTAAATAATACTAAATAAGTGATACTAAATACTAAATAAGAATAACTTACCCCAAATTTCTGACTCAACGTCTGATATCCATCGTTGACGTCAGCTGGATAGCCGATTCGGCTACGAATCGTCCCGTAACGAGATGGAGTTGGCGATTTCGTGAATCGACTCTCTTTTGGCTCTGAAACGGGAATTTTACATGTTGGTCTGAAAGTTTTAAAATACTTTAAGTAAACTAAAAGCTTATTTCGTGCTGTAGCAGACAAAGCAGCAGACAAACCTTCCAATGGTCGCTCCATGAACTTGAGAATATGCGAGTTCTCGTCAATGAATCTGGAAAAGGGTAAAATTCAGCAGAGCAAATTCAGCAAAGCAAATTCAGCAGAATTCAAATGTTTTCATAGATTTTTCATCAGAATTCAAATGTTTTCATAGAATATTTGTCCCTTTATCTTGCTAAGCCATACCGTTGCAATTCCCGCAGCTGTCCTTGACTCAACTCATCTTGATTCACCAAATCGACTCCATTAATGACGATCTTGTCCGTACAATCCAGCCCCAAAAGACTCATCCTTTCAGCTGAAAGTGAAGTTTATTAGCGTAAAGTATTGAATATAATCTGAAAAACCGATAAAATCAAAGCAAGCTCTAGAACTTTCTAGTGGCAAGAAAAAAAACGGCTTTGCTAGAATAAACAACTCTGACAACACATCGCTAAGGCACGAAATCAAAGCGATGAACAAAGGAAAAGGGATTTTTTTTTAGATCCTTTTGACTTTGTTTATGAGAACAGCCACCCCCATTTCAAAGAGGACCTCTAACCCCCGGGATTTGCCATCTCCCATATCCACAAGCTATTGAGAAGCATGTGTTCATTCCAGTTGTTCTCTAAAATTTCTTAGTCTCTAGCGCATTGTTGGTATCCCTAGAATTTCGATATTTCTCTAGCTACACTAGAATCTTTCAGTTTTCTTCAATTACATTGCTCTTTCTTCATCTTCAACTCCTTTAGACTCTTTGGGATCTAAATATGGGCTTTCTTCAGCTCTAACTGCATTACCTTGTGATTTTCTTATGCACTCTCGGTTTTTCTCAATTCTAAAGACCAATTGTAAGTTGTAAGATTCTAAAGACCTTTGACTGTATCTCTAACTATAGTATAATCTCTAAGTTTCTTTTTCTTTAAAGATTCATCTCATGCACTGATCTTCACTTCCAACATCTATTACCCATTCCCATTTATCCACCCATATTTACCCATTCCCATTTTCTTCCGAATCTGTGTTTTCCAAGCCCTCAACTTCCTTTTCAGCTTAACCACATTCCCATGAAAAATTCATGATCTCTGTTCTCGTTAAAGTCATCTATTCTCTATCCTTTTGCACAGTTGACTTCATTATCTTTATCAAATCTTTTTGTCTGTATTCACACTCAGTAGCTACTATTCTCAGTTTTATATAACCTATTTAAAGGAGCTAAATAGGAACTAAATAGGAACTATAAAGGAGCTTTAAAGGAGCTTTAAAGGAGCTTTAAAGGAACTAAATAGGAAGAATCTCTGCAAAGAATTTGCTAAATATTAGGTTGGTAAAAAAGAAATGAGCGTCGTGTTTGTTGATTTGTATTTTATTCACAGTAAAAGATTATTTTAAATAGTTTATTCTATTGGAAAGAGCCTGTCGAGTTCTTCAAGAAGGGCATCCATTTTCTGCGTGAACGTTGGCGACAAGTCATTGATGCAGATGGCGAATACCTTTTGGATTAATGTATTGTTATCTTGTTTTTATAATAAAATAAACTTTTAACGAAAACGCGCATTTCTTTTTTACCAACCTAATACAATTCGATCACATTCTCACAACAATTTTCGTTCTTTCTTTTCACTTCTTCGCACACTCTTCAAATGCAATGGATGTCTTTTCTTTAATATTTTTTTGTTCTTATTTCTATTACCTCTTGCTTTCAATCCCTCTTCAAATCGAATTCTCTTTTCTCTAACAAAATCTTTTATCTTTACTCCCCTCTCTTCAGTATTTTCCCTCCGGAAAGCCATTTTCTTTTATTGAAATCCGCCCCGACGGCTGGTGGCCCATCTTCTTTTCGGAGCTGCCAAAAATTCCCCTCTTCTCGCCAAACAAAACGACTGACGCTGTGTAATTCGTGAACTTGCTTGAACTTTTTCTGTGTGCCACCCAGCTCAGTTTTTAGGGGTCAAAAATTGAAATAACAAAAGAAAGAGTTAACTGGTGAAAATCCTATTTTGATCTAATACGGTTCCAATACGGTTCCAATACGATTCCAATACGATTCCAATAATTTTTTCAATTCAGATGCATCGGCAAAATCCTTACTAAAATAACTGTTATCGATTTTCTTAAATCTGACGAAACAAAACTTTATTTAGATTAAAAATACAAAAGAATACTTACAAGATGAGAATTTTAATACTATGATGCAAACTGGGCAAACCGCTGTGTACAAAGAGATCCCCTAGGAATTCAATCGAGAAAAAATACGTACTAAAAAAGTGTAACCTGAATAAATAACCTACAAATAAATGAGATTCACACGGAAAATTTTTTAATGGATATGCACTATTTTCGTTGTTTAATTAGGCAAAATGAAAAAAAAGCGAACCGGTGAGGTGATTTTGGGACAAGAATCGATAAAAATCACAAAACTTGTGTCAAAATTGGGATAAATTCGAGATTCGAACTTGCAAAAAAAGAGCAAAATGCGTCTTATGAGAATGAGAAAAGAGCCGTTCTTATCCAAAAATAATCTTTTCTGATAGCTACAGCTCTTTTCTTATACAAAGCTATACATGTACAACCTTAAACTAGAACCTGCTCTGAGGAGATTGTCGGAGATTTGCTGCTAAATTCAAGCGTTCTTGAATCGAAGAAATTCCTCAATCGTCGAGAAAATGTCGCGGGCGTTATCCTCGTCTTCGGAAAATTTCGCGAACTCTTCAAGATTCTTCGAGCCACATTGGACGTGAAGCTAAAATAGACAAATTACAGACAAATAGATCAAATAGACAAACAAATTACAGCTAGAATAGACAACTTGCACTGCTAAGCCAAAGCAAGCTCGCAAAAAAGTTTATGAGTTCACACAGCTTTCTTTAAATTTATGGTTGATGTGTTTGTAAATATAACAAATCTCAAGATGTACATGTGAAAAAAACTTTAGTTAAATGACTCTATAAATAACTCCTACAAATTATATCTGATTATATTTTAAAGAAACCCACAATACTGGCTAGTGTCTCTTTATCCTCGTCAGGTAGAGCTTTCACACCGGCGAGAAGTTTCTAAAAGAAAAACTATAAATTTTGTAATTAGTCAGGCAAATGTATTATTAATTTAATAAAGTAAACCGGGGTAGGCTAATTTCCGCAATTCTTTTTTGCGCAACAGGATCATTTGCGCAGCTCGCCATAGCTTTCTTCTAAGTAAGTCAATCTTTATGATTTTGGTTTCATTTTGTATATCTCAATAAGTGTAACAAAATGAGACCAAAATCATAAAGATTGGCCGACTTAGAAGAAAGCTATGGCGAGTTGCGCAAAAGATCTAGTTGCGCAAAAAATTTGGCGCAAAGTAGCCTATCCCAGTAAACCAAAATGTTTGTGAAATTAATCACAAACCCTGTAATTAGGGACCGGCTCGTAAACGATGAAAGCCCCCATCAATGCACCCGCAAAAGCGCCCTTCTTGCCGAAAAGGAATGCACCTGAAAAATCACAACATCGTTAGATAAAAAAAACAACCAGACTTATAGTCAATAGATAACTATTAATAACTTATAACTCATCAAAATAAAATCTTCAGGGTTTACCTTGTAAGAATAATTCTATAACTCATTATTATAAAATTAAAGCATAGCCTTGATACAACAGCATTTGGCCAATTGCTTAAAATGAATCCTATTAAGTTAATTTTTTTTAGTTATTTGTTTAAAGTTACAAAACCCTAGTCAGCCGCTTACAATTAGCGTGCCTTTAATCTTATTAAGATAAGTTATCAAAGATTTTATGTTTTTAAATAAGTTTTAGTATTACAATCCACAAAACTCTTACCTAATAACAGTCCTATGCTCGTTGCGGCGACTTCTCGTATCAGGAAGTAGTTTCGTTCGTCGAGCAACTAAAAATCAATAAAATGAAGAAAAATAGTTATTTTAGAACTTAAGTATCCTTATCTGAAGTTAATAAACCAAAGGTAAGCTTAAGAAAAGAAATAGCTTATACTTGGAGTTCCCATTGGTCTCTTTTGGCAATTACCAAACAGAGAACCTTCTTCACTTACAAGAATTGCAAGTACAAATGGGTGATTCTTAACAAATTTTACAGCATTACCCCTTAATTAGGCTAACTAATAAGTTAATTTGTGAGAAAACCTTTAACACGTTGACGACAATGGCGTTTTAGCACAAACAATCGCATGGGACAACGTTGTTTCTTTCGACACAAATGCCACTTGACATCAGGTGACAATGTCCCAGGCGAACGAATATGTGTCAGACAGCATCAGGTGACAATGTCGTCAACGTGTTAATAACACCTTGAAAAATCACCTTGTTGACGTGTAAAATCCGCACGGCGCTGTCCATGAAGGCGTGGGGCATTTTCTGAAATGAAAACAATTAGATCATTTGTAAGCAAACATTAAAAAAAAGTCTGAACTGAAAAATAGATTGCAAAAAGGTTTTGGTCGTTTGTTGTTCAATGAAAGTGAAGCAAAGGTTCAAAATGCGTCAGTGAGCTAGAAATTAAATGCAATTTTGCATTTATCTCGCCGACTAAAATGGAAAGATTTTGCAAAGAGATCTATAGTTCAATCTAGGTAATTTTAATGTTACAAAAGATAAAAACAGAACCAAATGATCAAGTTGACTAATTGAAGTGGACTCGTTTACTTCCTCACAAACCACCATTACACAAATCAAAAAGAAACCTATCAAAAGGAGAAATTTACAGGTGTTACTGGTGGGTGGAGGGAATAAATCTTCGCCTCTTTTGGCTCTTTCCCTTTTGCGCTTTTCTCTCATTTCCCCCGGCTCATTGTAGTTCGTAGCTGTCAAATTGACGTCCAGGCAATCGCCGCCTTTTTGAATAGACTCTCGTAAATAACCTTGATCAACCCAAAAATGAAACACTGCAGTATCAAATTGTCAATTGTAGCTCGAAAAAGATTTTGCAGATTATTTTTGATTGCTTTTTTGAATCGTTTGTTTTCGTCTTGCACTTGTTGACTGATGGCTTATTCAAAGCACTGTCGTCAGCTGTTTCAACATTTCAAATGCTTTCTTGAGTGTTGTGTTTCTATTTTTCTTTGCTCTTCAACTTCTTCAGTTGAATTTTCAGGCTTGTATGCGGTTTCATGCATTGCGACTACTGTTCAATTATCTTCTCATCGTCACTTTCGTGGATGGTGGTTTGAAAGAAAGAATGGATGAAAGTGAAGAGACTTTTCTAGCAGCCGATCCGATGTTCATGTTTATCAATGAGCCGAAGAGGCTGAGCTACACATATCAATTGCAACCCTCGTACAGTGTTGGATCAAAGTGGCCGTTGTATCCGAGAAAGGTTGGTTCACTGGGCTAACATGTTAGATATCAAATTGATTTAAACTAGGAATCTACATTTCAATAACGGCTAACCCGTTCTAGAAAGCCGAACTCGAGTACGCGTACCCTCCACACGGATGTGAGCCACTGAAAAACGTTGATCTCCTTGATAAAGTTGTGCTTTTCGAAAGAGGGTAGGTGTCGAAAGAAATGCCAAAACAAAAGCTAAATTTTGAAATACGGTCAAGCCTTGTTGTTGTTAGCAAACTTCTTTTTAACAAACTAAAATTTTATAGAGAATGCTCGTTCGTCGATAAAGTGATTCATGCTGAAGAGGCTGGAGCTTATTTCGCCATCATCACCGATTCGGCGAGAGGTGGAGACGAGGTGAGTTGTCCTAGTTATAAATAAACCTGACTATGAGCCAATGATCGTTTCAGGTAGTTGATATGATCACGGACAACACGAATCGTAGAGCCGATATCCCTGCTGCGTACTTGAGTGGAGCAAGCGGGTGAGTTGAAAGATTTGAATCAATCAAATCGGAACTACTTATAAGCAGGGTTTTCCCAAAACAGTATTCCTGCCTTTCTGGTATTGTCCCTGGTCTAGTCTGATTTGACCTGGCTTTGCTTCATGTCTAACTTGGCTTTACCTCCAGGCAAAGCCCACAAAAAGTCTTCTGTTCCGCAGAAACTTCTGAAAGAAACCCTGGGGCTCTTATTTTTCGATGCAAAAATTACAAATCGAACAAATTTTTGTGATAGATTCCTGGTAGCAACCCCGTTCTCTAGCTTAATCGACGTCAAGTGCTGCCCGCCTCCTTTCAAACGTTTTGCTTGGCTGTTTGGCCCAATCCACCGTCGAAGCATAGCACGAGCAACTCGATACTTCTTTTCCGCCGAATGCATAGAAAAATCCTTGGCGTATTTGACAGCTTTCAATTTAAGCTCCTTTAAATAGGCTTTGCGCTTTCGGGAAGCGCCAAGTGGTTCTTCGTCGTTCTCTTTCACTTCAACAATCGTTTTTTCTCTAGTTCCCTCATCCATCTCGTTCTTTAGTCAGACCTGATCGTAGAATCCACGCATGTGCACAGGTTCCTCTTCGAAAAATCCCTGCATCTCATTCTTGCAGCGATCTCGAAAATCTTCAAGTTCATCCAACTCTTCTGATCGATCTCCCTAAAAATAAAAATTAAACCTTGAATAGACAAAAACAAGCAAGAAAAAGTGCATTGGAGAAAAAGCAATGTTAAAATCAATAAAAGTGTAAAATACCTATTTTTGGTTAAGGTAATTTTTGGGTTACGGTATAAAAAGATCAAAATAGAAACGAAGCTTCTATTGGAGAGGAGGCTTCTATCAGAGTTTTTACGATAATTGGAACATCCTTGCTCGTAGCAAATCACTAATAATATTGTTTATCTAAAATTTAACATTTCAGGCGTCGTCTACGAGACTTTTTGCTGTATGGTGGTCAAAATGGTGGTTATGTGCTGGTGACAATCCCGTTGAATCACACGAATACCCTCTTGCGAGATGTACCCAGTAAACCGCCATGGGAACTTTGGTAGAATTTTGAAATTTTAAAATTTTAATTGAGAACTTGATTCTTTTATCTTTTTACTCTCGACATTTTGATCTTTAAACCAAAATACGCATCTTTTCCAAGAGTTCAGTTAACTTTTCGGGGGACGCCCCCCACCCCCCCCTACTTGAGGATTTGCCGGCGGGGGGGGGGGGGGAGGGGAAGCGGTTTTCTGTAGCTCTTCTTTGTCCATTTGTCTTCAACGTTCCACACGCTGTGTTGCACTGTTCGCCGTTCTTTGGTTATCTTGTTTTAAAAAAAAGGTGCGTCCCGCTTTCTTTGTTTTCCGTCCCTTCCCTCCACAAGCTCTGTATGTCAAAAAAAGGTTGAGTCCCCCCCACTTTCTGGATAAAGTTAATGCAAAGTTGTTTAGTTGTTAAATGGAAAATGATTACGGTAGTTTATTTTGCACTAACTTTATCAAAAAATCTTCTTTTCAGTTATAAATTTCGATTTATTAATTTTTCATTACTTCAATCATTTTATCCCATTGATATCCGAAGTGTTACCCTTTCATTGAGCTCAAACGATTTTATAATTAATTCTACCCTATCGGGGGCATATTCACTTTTGTTGTTTATTTTTATTAGGGCGGGTTTGATCCTTTAGAAATCTGTGATTTTTGTTTTTTTGTTTTATCAATAAATCAATCAATAAAAAGTCAAGCAATGATGAAAGAATAGAACTTTGTTGTTTCACTAATCACATTTGAGTTGTTGATAACGCTAATCTCGTTTATTCATAATAAAGTTATTTTACCAATATCATTCAGAGCGGTGAATCTGATTCACTCACTGAAAATTTGATCCGGGTTGGGCTTCAATTAGGAGAAGTGGTTCATTCACTAGAACAAAAAACAGTATTTGTGGTCATTCAGAAACCAACGTACTTGCAAGGAACAGATTATTGATTGGGTTGACTATGAGCTAAATGACTGAGCCAAAGAACAAGATGATGACAAAGTTTGTTGTTACATCGAGTTCGTAATCTTTGTAAAATTGATATATTTTACCTTCGAATTATGGAGATTCTTATCTTTTCTTGTTTGAGATTTATTCAATTTAGATTACTGTTCGTCTTCACTCTTTCAGTTGTCTTTCCTTCAAGTACCGATTCTCAGGGGCCAAGGCCAAGGCCAAGCAATGAACATTGTCAAAAATGGCGCGTCGGAAAGGGCCCATTCAAGGACTTGTTAAATGAGTTGCATAAATCCGATTGGGAAGTTTTTAATAGATAAATGTAGCCAAGATTAAGGGCTACAATTCTCTATATAACACTTGAAATTTTGAATAAAAATTAAAAGCGCGCGACAACTACTTTTCCAAAAAGTTATCCGGATAATCTTGACCCTGTACATCGGAATTTTTCTTTTGCTTTTTAGATCGCCCAAAAAAGATATTAGGCTGTAAATTTGTACCCAGGGGTTCTGAGGGTCAACGAATCGTTTGGCACTATCCATTTTATTGAGTCTACCAACTGGAACTCGGGCTTAATCGATCTAAGCTTTTAGATTTCGTGAGAATCGGTTTAATTCAAAGCGCTCCTTTCTTCTGCTTGATGCACATTGATGTTTTCAATAGATTCGAATAAAATAACGTTTATTCCTATCATAATTAAATACACCCAATTCACCAATATATGCAAACAAACTAATAGTGAAAAAGCTCGAAAAGGGCTTATTTTCCGGCATAAGCGCCACCTCCGGATGGACCCTGAAATAGAAAAAATTATTAAATTTTACTGAATACTTTAAATAAACCAAATATGTGCTGTACATCTATTTTCTATGTTTAATTTAAATTCAAATTGTCAACTCACTCCAGCGTATCCTCCGGCGCTTGGTGGGGGTCCGTATGATTGTTGTGGTGGGGGTCCGTACGATTGTTGTGGTGGGGGTCCGTATGATGGTGGTGGGGGCTAAAAAATTGGGACAATGTCTTAGGTTTGAAGAACTTAAAAGCTATCTTGATCGATCGACTTAGTGATCTCATATCATAGAATGCCCTAAAGTCTTACAGTATCGCTTTAAAACAACTTACTGGTGGAGCAGCGTATCCTCCGCCTCCTCCGCCGCAGCTGAAAATAGAATTGTTGAGTTTTGAAATAAGTTCAGATTTGTTCAAAGTTTTAGACTTTTAGTTTTAGTTTTAACCATTTCTGGATCATCATAACCGTCTATTGGGCATCACAAAAGACAGTACTCTTAATTGTTTCTAATAGACTATGCAAACTAAACTTACCTAGAGACTGGAGCACCACAAGCTGGAGCTGGGGGTGGGCATGGAGGTGGGCAGGGTGGAGGGCAAGGAGGTGGGCAAGCTGGGGCAGCTGATTGACATCCACAACCGCCACCTCCACCACCTCCAAGAGCGCCAAAGAGGAAAGCCTCTGACACGGCAACCATCACTGGGACGAGCAACAACAATCGAGTCATTTCTGGAAAGGAATCAGGTGGATGGAAAGTTGGAAGAAAGGGAGAAAAGCCTTAGAGTTTCAAGATTCCGGAATTTCCGAAAGTTCAAAGAAACAATACGCTTTCGGAGATCTAGATTAGACTAGGATTGTTACGCTTATCTGAGTCACTGGATCAGCTACAAATCAGCTACATAGCTTAGACTAAGCTAGAAAATGAGGAGAGCCAAGAGCAGAGAACTCAAAACTTCTACAGTACTCAAAGTACTGTAGAATAGAAGAAGAAGCTGAAAATGTTGAGTGTTGGTTGTTGATGTTGTCGGAAGAAACGGTTCCTATTTATACTTGAATCTCAATGCCATTCGAGAGAAAGGCGGTCCTCAGCTCCACCTTTTTCTCAGCTACAGTCTACACCCCTTTTCCCAATCTACACACTTTCTTTCAGCTTATCGTTTCTCTTGATCAACCTTTACCTCAGAGAGAAAAGATTTACTCTCAAAACTTTTCCAACTGGTCATTAACAGTCCATTCAAAAGGGTCAAGAGTTGTGACAAACTGATACAAAAGTTTTCTCTCATTTCAGCGAGAGAGAAGTTTATGCGAGAGTTCACACCTCAAATGTCTAATCGGTGACAATTTTAGTGATCACAATTTATTGCTTGTACAATGATTGTCTAGTCTAAAAGATTTTTGATGAACAGATCTTTCAATGATTTCAAATGGATCAAACTGTTCGCTAAATCAGAAGATCTTGGTTAACCAGCTTTGTGGTCAAGTTAAACTTATCCACAGCTTTGATAAGTTTAGCTTTAGCTCGAGGTTTAGTTATTAACTCGTCAGTAAGATCGCTAGTAACTTATTAACTTAACTGAATAAGTTACTAGCGAGCTAAGTAGAGGTTTAGTTATTGACTTTTCGTCTACAACTTTCAAGTTCTTAAATCTTCAAAAGTCTCTTGAAATTGAATCTAATCTAAAGCTTATTTATTGAGTTGATTCTAGTCAAGTGACAAAGATTTTGTGGATAGCTGGATGGATTTTGTGGATGGATTTTGTGAAAGTTCAAGAGTTTCCTGGGAAAATTAGTTTACTAGGTCACAGTTTTTACTATATATTAGCTTGTTTTATTTTTCAGGCGCCCAGGATCCTCTAGCAACTCCAAACAACCAGTGAAAGCTTTGAGCCTAATCATTCTCCAGTACTTTTCCCTCTGAATCTTGTCTTTCACACTTTTTGTACATATCGCGTTCTTGTCAAGAAGTGAAACTTTCCCATCGAGTCTGGAGTGGTACTCGAGGAGAAAACAGATCTAATCTCATCGATAAGTGAGGAAATCTTTTCTCAAAGAAGCAAAAAAACACGGGAACATTGAATGGATGCTCAAGTTGTCGATTCTAGATTTTCTCGAGAATGTTTCAAGCATTTGAGTTTTGATCATTTAGAGTTTGATAAGCTTTATAATTTCCGAACAATGTGATCTAATAATAAGATTTTTTTTTGTTAAAATAGGTTTTGGACTATAGAAGTAACTCAAATCCAACAGATTTTAGTCAAACTCGACATTTTTTTATTTATTCCGGCTGTAGTTGACTGATTTCAATGCTGGGAACAGGTTTCTTATGTACTATTTATGAATTTCTTGGAAACCAGTTTTTGAATCGTTCTGAAAATTTGGATATAAGCTTGATTTTTGATTCTCTACAACTTTTCCATTGACACCAAAATGGGTTTCTTTTGAAGAAAGTGCTCAAATTGTCACATATGACAATAGCCAGCAGTTTTCAATTCACCAACCCAATAGGAACCGTGTTGGAATCGTATTGGAATAAAATAGGAACCATATTGGAACCGTATTGGAATCGTATTGGAGCCGTATTGGAATAAAATAGGAACCATATTGGAACCGTATCGGAACCGTATTGGAATCGTATTGGAGCCGTATTGGAATAAAATAGGAACCATATTGGAACCGTATTGGAACCGTATTGGAATCGTATTGGAGCCGTATTGGAATAAAATAGGAACCGTATTGGAATCGTAACAAAGAAAATGTCATAAAAACAAGGCTAGCGCGTCTTGTCGCCTATAATTCTGAAGCACCCTGTACTAGTTTTTCTAGGTGATGTGGCCATTAGCTGCTGCCAATGGGTTTCTTTTGAAGAAAGTGCTCCAACTGTCACATATGACATTAGGCCGCAGTTTTTAATTTACCAACCCAATAACTCAAATCCAACAGATTTTAGTCAAACTTGACATTTTTTTATTTATTTCGGCTGTTGTTGACTGATTTCAATGCTGGAAATAGGTTTCTTATGTACTATTTATAAATTCGAGCATGAAAATCTACAAAAAAAGGCTTTAAGAATAGATTTTAAGAATTTCAAACCAAATAAGATAACAAGAAGCTTTTCTCAAGCTTTTTGAACTCCATTTTACTTGAGAATTGCATGGTAATGAACGCCTGGCTTGCATGGTAATGAAAAATCCAGTCTAGCTCTATTTGGTATTATTTGAAAGCCGGAAATGTCCTCTGAACAATGATATAAAAAGTTAACAAAGATTTTTTCTCTAGATAAAGTTATAGGCCTTCAAAATACCCGGAAACTAAGTAAGAGCCTAATATTCTTATGGTGATTCGTTTTATCACTAGAAAGTAGTATCTGAATTCAATATCGCATTTCTTTACTACAAACTAGTTTTAACTCTGACTCCAAATTCCCTCTTCTTCAAACCTTTCTTGACCAACTAAGACACTCAACACTTTCTAGAACTCTTAACAAAATTATAAGAGTATTCAGAAGATCATCTTTTCTTTTGCAGAAGATTGTCTTTTCCTTTCTTTGTGACTTTTTTCAATTCTTGAACTCTAGCAAAGTCTTTTAAAAGAGACAAAGAGAAAAACAAAGTTGACCCTGAAAGAAGAAAAGAGTTCTCAGTTCTCAGCTCTCACCTCTCAAATCGTTCATCTTTTCAAGAACCTGTACACTCAATAAAACAATGCGAGTGTAAAGTCATTGCTTTTTTTAGATGTACATTAGATAAGAAGCTGCAAACTTGCCTCTCTTTTCGCTTTTCGTTGCAATTTCTGTCTTTCTGTCTAGAGATCGCGGATTTTTCGCAAATCCGTGAGCTTTATGAGCACTTTTACTGGCCTTTATTCCTGTTTTGCAGAAAATTTTTGATGTTTGAAATTTGGAGGTGCAAAAATGGCGCTGTAAAAGCACTTCAAAGCATTGCAATTACAGATTTTGAGTCTCGGAGCATAGATTTTGGATGTCTAGGGGTTATTTTTGACGCTGATCACGAAACACATGTTTTTAGCCTAGGGTTCTGCACGGAAAACTAACGAAACGTGAAAACAGTCATTTTTTGGCTCTGCCGCTCCTTACTAAAATAGTTGTAAAAACTTTTAAAAAAGAGATATCTCAAAACGGTTTTTCTACCAATCGATCCGTCTTGAATTCAGCTTTAGGATGAGCTATAAAACGTCTAAATTGGACAAATTTAAGGTACTCTCCCAAAAAATCGGAAAGGGCTTTTCCATCAACCCAATAGTTATCTTATTTATAAGACGCAAAATTGTGTCTGTTCGTTCACTTCATAACTTGAGTCCTAGTGGGAATTTTGGTCTGATTTTTTGAGACAATATATAATCGATTACGGCGGTTTGATCTCTTAAATCAGAATTGAAAAATCTTTAACCGCTTTTGAGTAGCGTTGAAAAAACTGACGGTGAGATTTTTGGCGGTGGGATCAAAGGGATCAAAGGAAAAAATGAATAGGTCGCCAAAAAATGAATTTTAGCTATATTTTCGTAGAATATATTAGGAAAATATGTTTATACTTTCAACTAGGAAGATTTTGAAGAACTTTTATATTTTGAGAAAGCGGCGAAGGCGGAAAAGTTCAAAGGATCTCATTTAAACGGGAAAATTGCCTCTCAAAGTCAGATCAGTTATTGAAATGCAAATTCAGTAGTAAAATGATAAGCTGTAGTAAGTTTGCTAACGATTGCTAAGCTTTGAGTCATGTAAATTATGTGTTGACCCAAATCGGCCAGCAGTTAACTCCGGCCTTCAGCCATAAAGGCATTTAGTGCCAAATAATGGGATTTAATGCCTATTTAGTGCCAACTCAAATTTAGTGCCATTTAGTGCCAATTTATGCCAATCACTAGCATCAAATGGTTCTCAATTATTAATTTTTTAAAAAAAAACCCTATAAAAAAAATTATTTTTTAAAAAAAAAAAAAACATCAAAATATCCAATTAAAATAAAAAAAAATCCAATTTTCTTTCCTTTTTTTTTTTTTTTAAAAACCAACCAAAAAAAAAAAAAAAAAAAAAAACAATCCTATTCCAAATTTTTTATTTTTTTTTAAAAAAATTTTTTTTTTAATTTTTTTTTAAAAAAAAATAAAATTAATATTTTAATTTTTTAAATAACACACCCCAAAACCTTTTTTTTTTTTTTTTTTTTTTTTTTTTAAATTTTTTTTTTTTTTGGGCTTTTTTTTTTTTTTTTTTTTTTTTTTTTTTTATTTTTTACTTCCCCTTATAAAAAAATTTTTATTTTAATAATAAATTTTTTTTTTTTTTTTTCCCCCCTCTTCTCCCCAAAGCTTTCAAATGGCTAAAATGTTGATTGTAGACAGGAATTTCCATGTTAAACCAATTCAAATCTAATGCCACAAGGTTTGAAGTTCAAACAAGGAAAAATGCTCACCGATGACAACAAACGGATTCGACTCGAAAGATTCCGCGAACTGGTCAAGCGGGTCGCAACTCCGAATTGGGAGCGGACATTGTTCACCGATGAGAAGCTCTTCTCGTTCGAGCAAAGTTACAAAGTTACAAATCTAATGCCCTAGGTTGACCTCACTAATCATTTTAGTGGCTTAGGCTTAGGCTGAAGGATTGATGAGGTAAAGTAAACGGGCAGAACTCAAATTCCATATCGTTATTCGGATCTTGCGTAAACAAATGGTCGATTGCATTTATGTGTTAAAATTTCAAGAAGAGTG